TGTAATTTTTTTATCTTTTTTTTGTCAAAAACTATGTGTCGGGTTTAACTCCTGATAACTTTAATAATTTTTTTGTCCTTTTGTCCTGCGGCCTATATAATTGTTTATCCACAGGGTAAAACAACTTGTTATTGTTTTGTTTATTATATATAATTGTTTTTCTTATGAACTCTTTCTCACTGGCTGTTGCAGCTTCTCTCTTAAAGTGGGTTGTCTTTGCTTTGCATGTTATTATTTTATTATTTATATAAAACCCAAACACTCGGTTACTGTTAATTAACAGTAAAATGTTTGAAATGTCTGAAAGTGAGTTGTCTTTTCTTTGCATGTTATTATTTTATTATTTATATTATTTATATACTAAAACCGGGTGAAAAATACTGTTCATGAGCAATGAATGGGCGAAAATAGCCCTCACCTGCTTCCTATTCTCAGCTTATTTTTCTTAAAAAAATTAATAAAAAATTTTTGAAAATTTTGAGTTTTAATCATAAGGACAAAATAAAAGATAAAGTGGATATAATCATGATTGACTTTTTAGTGTAAAAATATAATTTTTTGTTAAAATAAACAGTAGCACGAGTTTTTCGTTAAAGTTTTTTTTTGTATTGAACAGTTAATTTACGATTTTGCCCCTCCTACACACGTGTTGTTCATCGTGGAAGGGGAGAAGGATGGAACCAGAGTCTTCCATTTGCTTCCGGGCTCTTCCATTTGGTCTTCATTTGCTTCTAGAAAGAATCTCTAGACCTCTCTCTTAGAACAACGAAACATCCTACTCTCTTCAACAGCGTCTCCTTCCTCCTCCTCCAATGGACAACATCTCCCCTCCAGGCTTCCCTCATTCCTTCTCCTCCGTTGGACAACATCTCCTCCGCTCTTTCTCTGGGTATTTATTTCATCTCTATTTTCCCTCATATCCCTTCTTTTCGTTCAATTTTTTTTTTTGATCTCTCAGAAGCGTTTTTATATTTCTGTGTTTGTCTACATCATTTTTTTGTATTACTGTGTTTGGATGTTAATCAATTGAATTGCTCCAACTAATTTAAAAATATAAATTCGGATATCCTAGTGGGTTTTCTGTGCAAATTTCGTTTTAGTTATGATAAGGTGTTTATGGATTTGGAATTTTATGTGTTTATGGATTTTGGAATTTTCAATATGATTTCCAATTTCCTTTGCAGCATTCTTTTATAGGTTTTTGAAGTATCTATGTGATTTATGTACGATGCATGGACACGCGAGAAAGCCACCGTATCCTGTATCTGACACGCTGAGGATACGGATACGCGGATGATACGCATGGATACGTGTTCGATACGTATGGGAGTGAAAGGAGTGAAAGGATACGTTTGGGATTGATGAGATACGCGTATCGTATTGTTCGGATACGTGTATCCTACTTTTCGGATACATTTGAAACTGAAATAGGAGGATAATCACAAAAAAAATCACAAAAAATCCACATAGAATCGTGATTGATTGAACTTAGTTAACTGAAATCACTCTAAAATCAGAGGATAAAAAGGTCGTACCCAGTGCACAAGGCTCCCGCTTTACGCAGGGTCTGGGAGAGGTGAATGTCGGCTAGCCTTATCCCCATTTATGGAGAGGCTGCTCCCAAGTCTCGAACCCGAGACCTACCGCTCATCAGAGGATAATCAGAAAAAAAATAAAATTCGGATTTACCTCTCAGAAATCACTCTGTTTGGCAGACTTTCACGAATCCCCATTGACCGTCATCTGCAACTGTTCTGTGACCCGTCGTCTCCATCTGCACCTGCGCCGTCGTCTCCCTCTTCTTCGTCTACAACTGCTCCGTCGTCTCCTTCATCTGTCTGCAACTCCTGGTGAGTGGTAACCGGTGAGCTTTCGTTGTTTTCGCCAATCTCAGCTTTTACTGATTCAACCCATTCGAAGACAATAATATTATAATACCCATTCGAAGACAATCTAATTTCCCGAGCACAATAATATAATATTATAGTACCCATCCATTCCACTACCCCATAGTCCATTCAAATCTGACGACTTTTGCTTTTCTGTTTTTAACTTTTTAGTTATTATAATATTATTGTATTTTGTATATTATAATATATTATTAGGTAGTAGTATGGATATTTAGATTATAATAACTTTGTTTTTCAAGTTTTAAGACTAATTGCTTGTTGGATAGACTATCTTTCTTACTGTTTAGAGTTTATTGAATAATAAATTTGAATGCTTATTTTATAATGTTTTAGATATATTTATTTTTATTTATTTATTTATTTATACATATTTTTAATTGCCGTATCCCTAACGTATTGTGTCCTCGTTTTTTGAAATTTAACGTATCCTCATATCGTATCGTGTCGTATTCACGTATCCGTGTCCGTGTCCATGCATTCCAAGACATCATGACTTCAGTACACATCTGATCTCCATCTCTGCTTTGTTCATACAGTTGAAAGATTAGCCTAGAGTCCCCGTTAGTTCTTATTTCCTAAATAATTGTGAATTAATGGTGCAGGGGCAACTCCGAAGTTGGTTCTTCAATTGATGAATTTTAAGGGTCTGGGTATTACTCATGTCAAGAGTCATCTTTAAGTAATTGATTTGATCCAATCAATTTCATGATCTATATATATTTTTCTGTACTAATTGTACTATATATATAAGATTCAATACTTTGATTAAATATAAATTAAGGGTTCATCTCTGATTAATATTGTTCTACATTTTCTGCTTTGATTTTCATCATCAGATGTATAGGAGCAAGAAGATGGAAGAGCCCAATCAAGGTGAACAAATTAACAAATTGCACAGAGGCTCATCTACTCTTCCAATCATTAATACAAAAGTTAGGGTTTACATATTTATAAACTTGAGAGATCTTGCTTTCTTATTATATGACAGATCTAGCATAATAGCTCCAATCAAACGCATAGTGTCTATTTTAATTTTCTCAGTGTTAAATGGCCACTTCTCCTTTACAAAATGGTGCGCTGATGAGCAGATATTATATTATATATTTTACCCTATTCTTAGTTATAATTTATTAGTTTATTTTGGTGAATTTTGATACTTTTGTGATGTATTTTCAATTTAGGACATCCGACTTCCTCTTGAGAAAAAAAGTGATCAAACGGACAAATTTTGTAGTGATTCCAATTGGAGGATGTTCGTGAGTCTTTCGAGATGATTGTATCAAAATTCCAGGTTTCTCTACGAAGCCGTTTGACCGTGATGATGAAATAAAGATCCAGCGCGCAGCTTTCCCAGATTGATGTTTCTGAACGTTTTGGATATTTTGGAGGTCAAGATGGCATATTTTGAGTAAGATTCATTCTTAGGATTTGTAGGGGACGTTTTCAGCTTTTAAAAGAGATATTTTGGGACCAAATCGGAATTGATTTGGTCGATCAAAAGACTAATTTTATGATAATTCCGAATTTTAGTTCAAATAGGAAATCTTTTATTTTCTGTTTTATTATTTTATTATGTTTCTTAGTTTTATTCTAAGGAAAACTAATGAAAATGACTTGAAAACTTTGAGTTTTAATGATAAGGATAAAATAAAGGGTAAAATGAATAGTATCATGTTTGACTTTTTAGTGTAAAAATGTGGTTTTTCGTTAAAGTGAATAGTACCGTGGACTTTTCGCTGAAACTCCCTTTATTCTAAGACCTTTTCTAGGTAGGATTTTATTTTATAATAGTATAAATAAGGCTTTTTAGCCATTAGGGTAAAAGGACGCAACATTGGGGGAAGGGAGCACGCACTAATTTAAAGAGTCTTTCAAGTTTATTTTCTAGTGTTTTCTATCCTTATTTTTAATAATATTTTGTTTATGGTTGTTTGTAACTAATTTCCGTTTGCTAGGGCGAAGTCTTGAGCCTTAGCATGAATATGTAGTCTTTATTCAATTGCTTATGATATTATGCATGTATACTTTTGAATTATTAATCACTGTGCTTAAACTGTCTTTGTGCCTTAATGCTTCGCGACCATTAGGATGTTTAGATAAGTAATTTGATGCAATTTGGTTGGAATATCACCGGAGGATTGAGTATTACTTTTTGTGATTAATAATAATTGTAATTTCACCTAAGACGAATATCACGCTCTTAAGGGTTGCATGGTTTTTCAAAAGGGTTTTCCACAAAACTTAATGAGTCTTGCATGTTCATATTTGATCTGAATATCACAGACGGATTGCATGTTAGATATACGTTCTTGCTTGAATATTACGAGGAGAATATGCATAAGGAAAACATAACCTTCAAAGTTACATGTGTAATTTATAAGTAAATGGTAAAACTACATAGGATTGTTAGGAGGACGGCGGAACCCTAGGCTTTTACAATTTGGTTTTCAAAACTATTTTCTTTAGTTTTTCTTTGTCAATTTATTTAATTGTTTTTATTAAATTCGTTTTTATTATTTTAGGTCATAAATCAAACATTTTCCAAATCTTGTTTTAAATAGTTAATTAAGAATTAGTTTAAATACAAATTATTTATTCAATCACTGTGGACACGACCTTGCTTGAGCCGTTTATACTACAACTACCTTGTTCTTTTGCAAGTATTTTTAAATGTTTTTATCCTTACTTTTGCAGGTGGTAAAATCCTTATCAAGAAATTAGTACCGTTGCCGGGGATTGTTTCAAATAATTTGTGTTTATCATATTCTTATTTAATTATTTTTGTAAATATCTTTTTATCTAGTTGTTGATCTTATTTTTATTTTTGTAGGTTATTGTTTGATTAATTTTGAGAGCAATTCAATGATGAAAGCTACCGGAAGGAGGATTGCCTTTATGGGTTTATTTAGCAGAAAAGGGATTTTATGGATTTAAACCTACAGTTTGTGCCCTTTGTTGTTTAAAGAGCTATGATATTTTGCAATGCCCTGAAAGAGAATGTTTTCCTGAGTTTGTCGAAAAGTATATCAATATGAGAAACAACTCAAAAAGGCATTGGAACAATCCCTATTCAGAGTTCTACACTCCAGGTTTAAAAAAACATCTTTATTTTATGTGGGCATGTAATCAACAGTGTTTTGAGCAACCTAATGTGCCAGAAGAGCTTCCGGTGGAGAACAAAATTTCTATCTTATTGGAATCAACTGAGTTGTACATTAAAAGAATCAATTAAGGATTTCAGATTCAACCATTAAACTGTGGGAAAAGTTATGATGATCAAGAGGAAATTGGTGTAGAAACGGAAGAAGAGATTGGTGTAGGAACTGAAGAGCAATCTGCCACCCATTCACGTCCAGGGGAGAAAGCGGCACATGCTGACCCTATAATCCCACTCGAACTGCTACCCATGTTTATGTACCACCACCAAAACCTTTCCCACAAGGCCTGCAGGAAGACATGAGTGTTAATATGTTAGGGGAGGTTCACACAAATTTAACATCCAATATGTCGCATGATCAATTCTCAAATACACTGATCGATTTGAATACGGGGCAAACAATTACTGATACAGTTTTTGTTGCTGAATTAGACATTCCAGCAGCACAGCAGGCTCAGTTCTACAGTTTTTGTTGCTGAATTAGACATTCCAGCAGCACAGCAGGCTCAGTTCTACATGGGAAAGAAGGGGCAATTTAATGGTAGCCAAATTCTTCGGGCAGTGCAGAAATTGTGGTGCTAAATACAAGGTTTAAGTCAGTTCAGCGGAGACGTAAGCCTTGCTGGAAGGGACCTTATTTGATTTCAAGGACTCAGTCTATGAAAGATTTAGCAACGGAATTTAAATGCACAGTTCAAATCACTCCGTACCAATTGCTAACGTCTGATGTTGTTAAGGAGTGGATAATTCTAAAAGAGCAAGTGATGTGATCATCAATTCTTTCCATCTACGTCCAATTATAACGTTAACTAAAGCGCTAATTGGGAGGCAACCCAATTTTTTCTAACTCTTTTCTTTTTATTTCGTTTATTTTATTTTCCTGTTTTTATTCCTAATTACAAAAATCACAAAAAATAAAAAAAAATCGGAAAATTGAAAAAAAAATGCAATTTTTATTTCTTGTTATTTTTCTCTACTTATCTAATTACGTTTCTGATTTGTGATTGCAGGTTACATTTGGAACTGATTCAGCCTAAACACAACTACTCACGGATTCAGTTTTTGTTGCTGAATTAGACATTCCAGCAACACAGCAGGCTCAGTTCTACATGGGAAAGAAGGGGCAATTTAATGGCAGCCAAATTCTTCGGCCAATGCAGAAATTGTGGGTGCTAAATAAAAAGTTTAAGTCAGTTCAGCGGAGACGTAAGCCTTGCTGGAAGGGACCTTATTTGATTTCAAGGACTCGATCTATGAAAGATTTAGCAACGGAATTTAAATGCACAGTTCAAATAACTCCGTACCAATTGCTAACATCTGATGTTGTTAAGGAGTGGATAATTCTAAGAGAACAAGTGACGTGATCATCAATTCTTTCCATCTACGTCTAGCTATAGACATTAACTAAAGCGCTAATTAGGAGGTAACCCAATTTTTTCTAACTCTTTTCTTTTTATAACGTTTCGGATTTGTGATTGCAGGTTACATTCGGAACTGATTCAGCCTAAACACAACTACTCGTGGATTCACAGCATTCATCTGTTCACCTCAGTATGCATTCAACTATCCAGTCATCACAGCTTTGCATTCAACATTAAGGTGCAGAAATTTAAAAGGAAAGCCAACTGGAGTTTGAGTTTCAAAAACGTTACAGTAGGTTTGCAAAGAAGACTTTGTAATACTTGGACCCACTCCACTCATTCACTCTCGTTTCAATATAAAAATAATAATACCACAATACAAGTTTGGGGGTGGACCGAGTAGTACAGAGGAGACCAGTACTCAAGCTAAGTTCAGATCCAGATTTTGCACGAATTTTCTTCGACTCATCATTCATCACGATTCATGCAAGCACATGAAAAGCAATAAATAAGCATATAGAAATTCACTGATCTAACACATGCGAGAACAGATCAAAGAAGAGGGAGTCGGAAATTATACCTTTGGCTTTGGATCCGAGCATTTCTTGTTTTGTTTTCCAGTGCATCGCCGGATCTGAGATTTTGTAGCAATTCCGTTGTCTCTTCCATGGTACTGACGTCAGCTCAAAGTTCCTTGCACAGAGAAAGACCACATGCATGTGTTAGATCTTGCTACATTTCACTGAAAAAAATCAATCTGAACCGAAACTAACAAAATTTGAGGATGATTTTACCTTCGATATCCCCTCTTCTCAGCTCACTCTGGTATGCTGGGTTTACAGTGATTTGGGGGGGGGGGGGTGTATGTTGCTGCTGGGGTCTTAGTTGCAGCAGGAATGACTACATTAGAGCGAGATTGGAGCGGCTATGGAATGGATGGGTTGTGAGACTGGGCGATGGGCTTAAGGTTAGAGACATGAGAGCATTTCTCATATTTTAGAGAGCGAAGGGGCTGAGACAAATGAAAGAGAGGGTTCTGATATGGAGAATTGGAGATGCAAAGCTCGGGTGTTTTAGCTTTTCAATTAGCATCCTAGGGAACTCACCATCTGGCTGCACGACACGTGTACAAATCTGGAGCCTTCCCTGTCTATCCGAGAAGGCTGTTTTGAAATGGGGAAATAAAGAGCCGTTTGGCCCTGGGTTTGATGAAAAGATGAGCAGTTGGCTCTGGGCAGAGCAAAACCCAAAAACATGTACTGAAAAGTCATGTACACTTTGTGTTTTTGGGTCCAATTCCAAAACATAACCAGAATCATGACCCATACATTAATCCGCAACTTAACATTTACTTTCTTCTTCCCCACCTCTTACTGTAGAAGTAAATTGGCGCATTAGAGGAATCCAATTATACTTTCATTGGACATTATATACTAGTAAAAGTGCGACAAGGGGAATGGAAAACAACATACCACGCCCTCATCTGGGTTTTCCAGATTGATATTTGGATGTATCCACCCAGTGCGGTTCGCCTACCCAAAAAGAAGATAACATGTCAAGAACTACACTTCGAGCCAAACAAACAAGAATTGTATTTGGTCCTTACGTATATAAGGTCTGGAAACTGTACAGTTTTTCCAAGTTGAAAACATCACGTAAGTTACCTGTAGTGCTGCAACAGCTTCTACAGCACCAGATGCTCCCAGTAGGTGACCAATCATGGACTTTGTAGAGTTCACTCTCAACTGTAAAACGTAAAGATCTCATCGAACATGGAAATAGGAATCAAGAAAACAGACGATGCATGTTATGTACTGTTGTTACCTCAGGATTCTGGCCAAAACAATGAATCAGAGCATTATACTCCTTGACATCTCCGGCCGGCGCGGATGTGGCATGTGCATTAATGTAATTAACATCTTCCCTAGACACCCCAGATTGTTCTAAAGCCTTTTCAATGCAGAGAATAACCCCGGCCCCTGTTTCCAAGGACATCAATAAAAAAAAACCATATTGCATAGTAAGATAGAGATGAATGATTAGAAAACGTGTTTGTGAGACCATAGAGCTTGAGGGAACCACAGGATACGTCCCTACGGACTTTGCACCTTCAACCTTACAGACGATGTGATCCTATACAGAAAGAAAAAAAGGATATCCAGACAGACACCCAAGTGCCATTGCCAAGGTCATAGATTTAGAAGATACCTTAGCATGTTCTAACTCTTCTAGATGCAAAACGCCAGCTCCTTCCCCCATAACAAAGCCATCACGGTTCTGTCCAAAAACCAAAAACAAGATTTCGTTAAAAACAACACCTGTTAAACGTTTAACTTATTCTTTCGCAATGCAATAACTTTGCACTTGTTAAACGTTTCTAAAATTAAGAAACTCAACTCTCAAGCTCTGTAGACATGACTAGGTTTAGATATAAATTACGAACACATCATTTCAAAAAAGCTGACTAGATTCCAACACAAATTTACATTGAGACAACCAATATATGACATGCCTTTCGATGATTTTTACCATTATTGTTCTTAACAATATTTACAGAAGTTTCATCATATAACCAATCACAGTGGAAATAAAAGAATAAATGAATCTAGCATAGTTATTGGTCGCATTACACTATCCCAAGGGCGTGATGCTTTGGTCGGATCATTGTTTCTTTGTGACAGTGCTCTGCATGCGACAAAGCCTCCCAATCCTCCAGTAATTGCATAAGAACTAGATTATTGTACGTGCAAATCTGAGTAAAACTAAGAAATAACATTTGCAAAGAATGGGAGCAATGTTGACTTTGTATTTTAGGTAGGATTCCTAATTGATATCAATTCCGTGTAATCTCCTGTAATCTCGTGTAATTAGTTTTCTTCCTACGTTAGGGTTGTACACCTTGTATAAATACCTCTCATTGAGAAGAATAAAATCATCACTCAAAGCATTCTCTTCTTGGCACCAGAGCTAGGTAAGAAAAAAAAAAGCAGTGCGCTGTGCGCAGAAACAAAATCACCAGCCGCGCAGCCAGTTGTGTTGCGCCATCCGACCAGCGAGCGACGCCGTCGTTGCTGACCTGAGAACCCAGAACTACCAGCCGCACATCCAGTTGTGCAGCGCGCCGTCCGACCAGCGAGCGACGCCGTCGTTGCTGATCCGAGTTCACCGAGCCGCTCCCTGCATCCACCACCACAAACCAAGATTTAACCCGCTACCTGAAGTTTGTCCCAGATTCCGGGTAGACCTAAATCGCCATCGCCTTGAACCACGGCTTTCTACTGTTGGTTTCATCTGCACCACAAGATTTCGACCGCAAATCTATTTTTTTTTGTGCCCAGACTCCGTGACCCACTTGCTGCTATCTTGAAGAACAGCAGAAAAAATGGTGCTATTGCGAAAAGAAAAAGGAAAAAGAGTTGATGTGCTATTGCAGAAAGAAGAAAGAGAAAAGGGGTTTTTTGTTTTAAAAAAAAGTAGGAGGGACGGATGAAGAAGTAAAGAAAGAGGAAAAAGACAAAAAAAAAGGGAGAAGAAAGAAGGAAACAGCAAAAAAAATAATAATAATAATTTGTTTGTTTTTTGGTCATTGTTTTACAGGACCTTTGGTTGGAAGTTTGGACGTTACCAATCACCCATACACATTGCAGCAAACTCATCCAGAACAATGGCGGTCCAAACTCATGCACTGATTGCCAAAGCTAAGGTAGCTTCTAAACATACAGACAACGATGGTAAGACTTTAAAAGTTTCTGCATCTGTTACGAATAATACATGGATAATTGATTCCAGTGCTATTGAACATATGATTTGTGAGACAGGTACAAATCCTAAAACCATCCACCAAAACCGTTGTGAGTGTTGCCAACGGTAATGTTGTTCCCATTATTGGAGAAGGCACTGTCTCCCTGTCAGATACCCTTAGTCTTGATACCGTGCTTGTTGTTCCTTCTCTTGACTATAATTTATTATCTGTTGCTCAAATTACTGTCGTCCTGCATTGTCTTGTGATTTTTTGGCCTTCCTTTTGTGTTTTTAAGGACATTCGGACTCGCAAGACGATTGGTTATGGTATTAGGAAGGGGAAGCTCTACTACTTGGAGCTGACATCGAACAGTTCCCGAATGTTGACTCACACTCTTGCGGTGGAAGGAAATTAGGGGGATATGAATAAAGCTTCGGAGGTTTGGTTGTGGCATCGTCGACTTGGACATGCTTCTTTCGGCTATTTACGGAGGTTGTTTCCTAGCCTATTTGTTAAGCATGATGTTTCTAGCTTTAAATGTGGTGTTTGTGAACTAGCTAAAAGTCATCGTGCTTTATTTCCATCCAGTTTGAATAAAAGTTCTGTTCCATTTATGATAATTCATTCTGATGTTTGGGGTCCATCTAAAATTGCTACATTTGGTGGTGCTAATTGGTTCGTTACTTTTATTGATGACTGCACGCGTATGACTTGGGTTTGTTTGATGAAATTCAAAAGTGAAGTTACTTCTTTATTTCAGCAGTTTTACAAAATGGTCCAAGTACAATATATATAAGTCACAAATACAGGTTCAGGTTCTCAGGAATGATAATGGTGGCGAATATGTTCTCAGGAATGATAATGGTGGCGAATATGTTAACTCTGAACTTCGTGCCTTTCTTGACCATCATGGGATTGTTCATCAAACTACATGTCCATATACTCCACAACAAAATGGGGTTGCCGAACGCAAGAACCGTCAGCTTCTGGAGGTTGTTCGTGCTTCTTTACTCGAGGCGCATCTTCCGTTATCCTATTGGGGAGAAGCTCTCACCTTAGCTGCGTATCTCATTAATCGTGTTCCATCCCGATCGGTTGATTTTTAAACACCTCTTCAGGCACTTTCTTCACATGTTGATGCTCATGCAGTCCCTAATCTTCCACCTCATGTGTTTGGTTGTGTGGCCTTCGTTCATCTTCATGAACAACAGCGAAGTAAGTTTGAACCTCAGGCCTTACGATGTGTGTTTGTGGGGTATGCATCTAGGCAGAAAGGATACCGTTGTTATCACCCTCCGACGAATAAGTTGTTTGTCACTATGGATGTTGCGTTTCATGAGAATGATATGTACTTTGCCAATCCCGAGTCTTCACTTCAGGGGGAGAATCAGAAAGTAGTTCAAACTCTTGATTATACTATTTCAGATATAGATAGAGTGAATGATTTGGATTTAAGTGGTGATGTCTTGGAAATAAGTGGTGATCATTCACACGAAAACAATGATGTGAATGAATTGGAATTAAGTGGTAATGTCTTGAGGACAAGTGGTGATCATTCACATGGAAACAATGTTGAAAACCTTGAAAGGGACGAGTCGACATCGCCAGATAACTCATTACCTGATAGCTCACTGCCAGTTTCCTCACCACAGGACAGCCCTGTGTCGCCAGCTACCTCACAGTCGATCTCAAGTCCCAATAACCATAATCAATTGTCTTCGATCCCGGATGCACCACTACCACGTCGTCTCCCTGATCGCGTTAACCGAGGTATTCCTAAACTTACTTATGAAGCCGACCCTAAATGCGAAACTAGGTATCCGGTGAGTAAGCCCAACCCTGAGTCTAATGTGTTATACCTGTTAAGTAATTATGTGTCTACCAGTCACCTGTCAAAATCAAACAAGTTGTTTGTGCATCAATTATCTACTGTATCTATTCCTAACAGTGTGCAGGAGGCTTTAGCTGATCCACGTTGGCAAACAGCAATGAATGAAGAGTTGAAGTCTTTGAAGAAGAATGCTACCTGGGAGATCACAGATTTGCCAGCTAGCAAGAAACCTGTGGGATGCAAATGAGTCTATACTGTGAAATACAAAGCAGATGGGACAGTGGATCGTTTCAAGGCAAGACTGGTAGCAAAAGGATACATCAAAAATATGGAATTGACTACACAGATACATTTGCACCTGTAGCCAAGATCAACACAGTTCATGTTTTGTTGTCCTTGGCTGCAAATCTTAATTGGCCCTTACAATTCGATGTGAAGAACACCTTCTTGCATGGAGACTTGACAGAAGAGATTTATATGAATCTTCTACCGGGATGTAATGCTCCACATAAAAAAAAGTGTGCAGGTTGAAGAAATCCTTATATGGTTTAAAGCAGTCCCCTCGGTCATGGTTTGGAAGATTCACAAAATCTATGAGAGCATTTGGCTACAAACAAAGTCACTCTGATCATACTCTGTTCCTGAAAAGACGAAATGGGAAACTTACTGCACTTAGTGTGTATGTAGATGATATGGTGGTAGCAGGTAATGACCCAGAAGAACGTGCAGCCTTGCAAAGATATTTGTCTACAGAATTTGAGATGAAAGACCTTGGATCCTTGAAATATTTTTTAGGGATTGAGGTATCGAGAAGCAGTTCAGGAATTTTCTTATCACAGAGGAAGTATATTATTCATTTGTTGCACAAAACTGGCATGTCAGCTTGTCAACCAATAGCTACACCATTAGAAGAAGGATTGAAGCTTAGTGTTGATCCTAATCAGGTACCAGTTGACAAAGGGAGATACCAAAGGTTAGTAGGTCGTTTAATGTACTTGGCACACATAAGACCGGACCTTGCTTATGCCTTAAGTGTAGTGAGTCAATACATGCATAATCCTGGAGAACAACATATGAATGTAGTGATGAGAATTTTGAGATATTTGAAGGGAAGTCCCGGCAAAGGAATTTTGTTTAAAAGGAATAATCATCTTAGAGTTGAAGGTTATACTGATGCAGATTGGACAGATTCAATTGATGATAGGCGCTCAACATCAGGTTACTTTACATTCGTTGGGGTTAACTTGGTTACATGGAGAAGTAAGAAACAGAATGTGGTTGCCCGTTCCAGTTCAGAAGCTGAATATAAAGGTATGGCTTTGGGGATTTGTGAAATTATGTGGCTTAAGCTCCTACTTCGTGATTTGGGTATACTACATGATCAGCCCATGAAATTATTTTGTGATAATAAAGTTGCCCGTGACATTGCACATAATCCGGTACAACATGATAGAACAAAGCATGTTGAAGTTGATCGGTTCTTCATCAAAAAAAAAAATTAGAAGGAAAAATAATTGAGCTACCGACAATAAGAACAGAAGATCAGTTGGCAGATATCCTCACGAAAACTGTTTCAAGTCATTAGTTTTCAAGTTTCTTACACAAGTTGGGCATGAGTAACATATATGCACCAAATTGAGGGGGAGTGTTGACTTTGTATTTTAGGTAGGATTCCTAATTGACATCAATTCCGTGTAATCTCCTGTAATCTCGTGTAATTAGTTTTCTTCCTACGTTAGGGTTGTACACCTTGTATAAATACCTCTCATTGAGAAGAATAAAATCATCATTCAAAGCATTCTCTTCTAGCAATACCAAGAGGTATCATCACTGAATCTGAACCATCACAGAGCATAAGGTCCTGCGTAAGATTTCAAAGAAAATTGTATATCAGTTATTATAATATACTTAAAGATCGTTCATCAGTATATCATTATTTTCAATTTTGCATCGAAACTACCACTAAATTACTTCACGTTGTAGGAATACTTACTGCATTGGCTTTAATGATATGATTTGCCGAATTCAAAGTACAGAAGCTGCTTGTAGCACAAGCAGTAGAGGTTGAATAGTTTGGGACCATCCAACCCTGCAAGTGTAAGAGTAAATATCAGTTAAAAGGACAAGTACAAAATCAGCAGCCATCACGAAGTGTAAGAGTATATATATTATAATCTCACAAGATCCATTGCGAGCATGGCAGAACCCATATTTGTGGTTGTGAAAGGTGCACAGAAAGGGTTCACCTTCTTATAGGAAAACCGTAAAGCTTCAATTGCATCATAGAAGATCCGTTCAATATCAAAACACAAAATGGATTTATCAAACATGACTGAAGTGATGAAAAACGCATCAGATCTTGTCCCAAAATCAGATTTTGTGGATCAGTGTGAGATTATCTGGCTTGGAATTTAATTTCTGTGAAAAGAATCTTTTGCGTTTACAAGATGTTTTACTACAGGGGAGAGATACTAGAAGAGAATGTTTTGAATGATGATATATTCTTCTCTATAAGAGGAACTTATAGGTGTACAACCCTAACATAAAAGGAAAGAAAACTAATTACAAGTGATTACATGGGATTACATATCAATTAGGGATCCTACCTAAAATACAAAAGTCAACACTTCCCCTCAAGTTGGTGCATATATGTCGCTTATGCCCAACTTGTGTAAGAAACTTGAAAACTTGTGACTCGAAACAACTGTTGTGAGGATATCTGTCAACTGATCTTCTGTTCTTATCGCCGGTACTTCAATTATTTTCCCTTCCAGTTTTTCTTTGATGAAGAACCGATCAACTTCAACATGCTCTGTTCTATCATGTTGTACCGGATTATGTGCAATGTCATGAGCAGCTTTATTATCACAAAATAATTTCATGGATTGATCATATTGTATACCCAAATCACTTAACAGAAGCTTAAGCCACAAAATTTCACAAATCCCCAAAGCCATACCTCTGTATTCTGCTTCTGCACTGGAACGGGTAACCACATTCTGTTTCTTACTTCTCCATGTAACCAAGTTACCCCCAACAAACGTAAAGTAACCTGATGTTGAGCGTCTATCATCAATGAAACCTGCCCAGTCTGCATCAGTATAACCTTCAACACTAAAGTGATTATTCTTTTTAAACAAAATTCCTTTGCCCGGACTTCCCTTCAAATATCGCAATATTCTCATCATGACATTCATATGTAGTTCTCTAGGATCATGCATGTATTGACTCACTACACTCAAGGCATAAGCAAGGTTCGGTCTTGTGTGTGCCATATACATCAAAAGGCTTACTAACCTTTGGTATCTTCCTTTGCCAACTAGTACTTGATTAGGATCAACACTAAGCTTCAATCCTTCTTCTAATGGTGTAGCTATTGACTGACAAGCTGACATGCCAGTTTCGTGCAACAAATCAATAATATACTTTCTCTGAGACAAGAAAATTCCAGAACTGCTTCTCAACACCTCAATCCCTAAAAAATATTTCAGGAATCCAAGGTCCTTCATTTCAAATTCTGTAGACAGGTATCTTTGCAAGGCCGCACGTTCTTCCGGATCATTACCTGTTACCACCATATCATCTACATACACAATATGTGCAGTAAGCTTCCCATTCTGTCTTTTCAGGAACAAAGTATGATCAGAGTTACTTTGTCTGTAACCAAATGCTCTCATAGATTTTATGAATCTTCCGAACCATGCTCGAGGGGACTGCTTTAAGCCATACAAAGATTTCTTCAACCTGCACACTTTTCTTTTGTATTTATCTGGAGCATTACATCCCGGTGGAAGATCCATATAAATCTCTTCTGTCAAGTCTCCATGCAAGAAGGCGTTCTTCAAATCGAACTGTTGTAAGGGCCAATTAAGATTTGCAGCCAAGAATTCAAAACGAGTCTGATAGATTCAGTTTCTGTGCTTTATATTTTAGGTTTTTGGCAATGCACATGATTTCTTTATGCTAATGCTTTGATTCCGTTGTTGAACCAATTTGTTTCTGTTAAATTTTGCATGCAAGAAAAGTAGTCTCTTTGTCACCATTAGGAAATCTCTCGATTGTTCTAGATCGAAATGTGAATTTTTATTATCGGTGATGATTCCGATTGATTTGGCTTCTGTTGTCCTTAGAGTGGAGGTTATAAGTGAAGATGATGCAGGGGACACCAACAACACCTTCGGCTAAGCTGCGAAGGACTCCGTGTTCCACTCCGGGTGGTTCAGTTCGTTTGAGGCCGCTGAACAGGCGAGAGCAGGCAATGTATGATCTTATAGCTTGGGACTGCTTGGATGAACACACTATAGTTTTCAAGAATCCGAATCATGAGCGGCATTCAAACCCGTAAACCTTTGGTATGCATCACTGGAAAACTTTCATATTCTTCTTGCTTTCGCTAGTCTTATTATGTTCGCTGCTGAATTCTGTCAACCGCGCAGAGGTTCCGATGTGTGAGAATATTTTGATGTACGATATTGTAATTTTTGGTACATTCCTTTTTGTTTTCTTCGGAGTCAAGTTTCTAGGCAGAGTTGTTTTTACTCAAGTAACTTATTTGTTGTGATTTAAATGCGACAGGAATGAACGGTAACTGAACATCTAGCTGCTAACTTGTAGACTTCTATATACATTATATCCCGTGCAACATGGTCTTCTGCTGATTCTAAGTTGCCACATTTTCTTTTGAGAGCTACAATTTTTGCATACGGGCAGACTAGTAGTGGTAAGACATTTACCATGAGAGGAATCACCGAAAATGCAGTGAGGGACATCTTCAAACACATGAAGAATGTACGTCATAGTTCATACCATGACCATATAGCCTTTGGAATCCTCTCGTAGACGCCAGAAAGGGATTTTTGTTTTGAAATTTTCTGCTTTGGAGAACTACAATGAAACTGTTGTTGATCTTCTGAAACGCAAATCTGGCTCACTTTGGCTTTTGGATGACTCTGAGGTATTTACAAGAAACTTTCATGATCGAGATCAAATGGATTCCTTTTCATGCTCTAACATTTCATTCCCCCTTTTTAATGTAGAAGGGCACCATAGTTGACAAGCCACAGGAAGAAATTGTTGAGAAGTTGGCGAACATTTGAGGCACTTAATTGGAATTTGTGAAGGTAATGTGTTAATTTAAGTTCATTGCAAATTATAAGGTGTTTGTCCAAAACTGAGATGATTTGTTGAATTGATGGTGTACAATTGTTGTTCCTATGAACAAATGTGGTGTTAACTATCTGATTGTAATCGTCTTTCCTAAGCTACTGGCAGTAACTTCTTATCATCCAGTGAACATATTTTCCCATTTGAATGAGAATTGGTGACAAAATGTTAAAACCTTTCTGCATTGCATAAGATGATCCGTGCATCATATTTTCTGTTTTGTATGATCTAATTGTAAAGTTGTCTTTGCAGCTCAAAGGCAAGTGGGAGAAACTGCCCTAAATGATAAAAGCTCAAGATCACATCAGATAATAAGGCTGGTATACATGATGAATTGATATTTTTTAAAATGTTTCATGAAAGGTTGACTCTTATATAGTGCTTTATGAAGACCGTAATATTAGCTTGTCATCCTCCTTTATTTTCGGTTCTTCCTTTCTTGAGTTGGAATCTTCCTTTCTTGAGTTGGAAACTTGGGTTACACAATTGAAGTTGAGTCAAGTTTCCTCTGCAGAACAATGTTAATGTGGCAGCCATAAGTCATCATGCATACAAGCATTATTTTACTCGAGCATGCATAAGGTAAAAATCACCAATTTGTTTATTTTTTTCCAGACCATAGAAAATAGCCTCCGGGAGAGTTCAAGGTCTGTGAAGGCTTTTGGAGCGAGTTTGGTATGTTTATCCTCACTCAGGTTTTTTGGTAGTAAACAAGAACAAAATTTTCTTCCATGGAATTTTACTAGAATTCTGGATATCTGCAGAACCTTGTGGACCTTGCTGGAAGTGAGCATGCCTCCCAAACAAATGCAGATGGTGCAAGATTGAAGGAAGGCAGTCACATTAACCGTAGCTTGTTGACACTCACAACCATTATCAGGAAGCTAAGGTAAAGCTGTTGTCAAAATGTTGATGACTTAGAGCATCTGTAGCTCTTGTTCCTTTAGTTTTGTGCTATATGTTCATGTTCAACTTATCCTAATCCTGCCTTTTGCTTTGGTGGAAACAAAAACCTTGAACTTATTTGCATTTTAGCATGAAAAGCTCTAATTTACGCAAACAGACACAAATTCGTGAAATTACATGGTACTCATCTGTGAGCATGAAAGTCCATGCTCAGCAGTGGTATCTAAAAAAGAAAAGTACTTTTTTTGCGATAATAATGGAGAATTCCTGTATTGTAATGTGTTGAAAATGTAAGTGCATGCAAGCTATCTAACAAGTCTTTCTTTCAGTGGTGGAAAAAGAAGTGGTCACATACCATATCGGGATTCAAAACTTACTCGACTACTGCAGTCTTCACTTGGGGGAAATGCTCAGACAGCGATTATATGCACCATTAGCCCAGCCTTGAGTCATGTAGAGCAAACAAGGAACACACTCTCGTTTGCAACTAGTGCCAAGGAAGTCACTAATAGTGTGAAAATAAACATGGTACACGAGTTAACTGCAATTCCTTCTCTGCATTGTGTAACCTCGTATACACTTCTTGCAAATTAGTTAGTCTTAAAGATAAAACTAGCCTAACCTTGTGTAAATAATTTACAGAAGGAAGTAGCCAGACTTGAAGCGGAGTTACAAAGTCCAGAGCCTTCTTATTTGAGGTCTATACTGGAAGAAAAGGACTTGAAAATCCAACAGGTATGATGCTCGGAAATACAAAAAGATTTCTGTTTATCAAATTTTAATATTTTAGTCAACCTCGAGTCCTAGAGATTCTGTTCAATTGATGGGAATGAAGATTGAAAATCATGCTTTTCGGCGTACATTCAAAATCATGTTTGCTCATTTGGTTTCCATCCACCAAAGTTACAATATGGAATAGTGATAAAAGGATAATTCCTCCCTGCCCCTATCTCCCAGATAAATTATCCAAAATAAATAATGTCCTTCTATGTATGTGCTTACTTTTAAGTTTTAACTGTAAAGAAACTTCATTTTAAAGATGGAAAGGGAAAGTGCAGAAGGTACTATTGGGGTCGGACCAATGTGGACCTTCTGGTCAAGTCGCTATGTGTCTTTCTTTTCCTGGAGAGAATGAAACAGTTCCTACTCATAGTAGGGAGATCAGTTGCTTCTACAGATCCATCCATGCTTGTGAATGAAATACGAAAGCTTGAGCAAAGACAGAAACAGCTTGGTGATGAGGCAAATCGAGCACTTGAAGTACTGCTTGAGGAGGTAGCTTTGCATCAGCTGGGAAATAAAGAAACCGCTGAAACTACAGCAAGGCTTCTGTCTGAAATAAAGGAAATACAAGCCGTTAGATCCATTTCAGAAGAATCTGTGACTGCTGAAAGGGCCAACTTGAAAGATGAGATCAGTCGATGGCAAACTCAGGCAGAAGATATTAAATCTTTAGAAAGGAAGCTTGAGAATGTTCAGAAATCAATAGACCAGGTGGTTGTTTCATTTTCAAATAGTGAGGAAAATTAAGAATGCAAGGCCCCGTCGAAAAAGAAAAAGATCCTTCCTTTCAACTTGAGAAACAGTCCAAACATGCAGCATCCAATTCGTTCCCCTTGCTCACCTCTGAACCCTTCTCGTAGAGTGATGGATTATGAGACTGAGAACAAGGCGCCGGAGAACAACATGCAACTCCTAGTGATGACACAGTGGCTGGGAGTGGTAAAGTTACTTCACCAAAGAGTGATGAAAATGGTACCCGTAAATCATCCAAAGAGGGAAGTTCTGTTGTGCAGCATTCAAGCACAGTTATGGGTGATGTTTCTATCACTATCTTGTGTTCTTGAGCTTTAAATCCTGTTGTGTTGCAATTATTGTGGTTTAATTCAAGGGCTTAATTCCCTGCATGCATCCCTTTCTTTTTCCAGATTCCGACAAAGGAAAACAGACGAATTCGAGCCAGGTCACCCTCATGTCAGCCACACATCACACAGCCCTCAGGCTCTCGGGTGATGGATTCCCGCCTGGCCTGTCCACCGGGGCTCCCCTGAGCCCCATTGCCTGCATGGGCTGGAGCCAATTGCTAGGGCAATTGGGTGATTGGAATCGCCGGTCCATCGGGCTAAAGAGCACGCTGGACTTGCTCTTAATTGTATTTAAATGTATATGTGAAGGAGTTTTCTCACTTCAGATCATTGTGAACCCCGACTCGTGATTAAACAGTAGTCCTACAAGTCTACCGTCTCTGCGTGGATGCTTGATTAATAAAGACAGGAACAGAGGAGTAGTAGTCGCTTAACATGTTCATCCAAATTATGTAGTTCTTTGATCACCTTGTAGAAATTTTGTACTTATAATTTCATTTCTCCATGTAGGTTTATATATCTGAATAAAACTAAGTTTTTAGGTAATTAATGTTGAATTCATATTACTTCTTTCATTCACGTATCTGAAAAATGCCCGGATTTAACTGAAAAGGTACACATCATGCCTTTCTTTTGGATGCTCGACTGTTGTGGTTTCCATGTTTTTGTGATTTCTAGAATATTAACCCTTCAATATATAATCCTATTCATTTCTGTTCTCATTTATCCACAGATTGCTGAGGAGGCAATGGTCCTATTGATTCAACATTATCCTTCGACGTCAGTTCAAAGTTACAAGTAAACTGAGGTATGCAAAGGTTGTATGTGTTAACTACTAGTGCAGATGTTCTCTTCCGTTTCTCATGTTAATATTTTTCAAGTTAGTTCACGTAGAAGAGTTGTGAGTCGTATAGGTATTGCTTGAGCACTGTGGTCAAACTCATAGAGTATGATGGCGGGTCAAGGTGAGTGAAAGAAGGGAAACAAATATGAAATAGTTTACAAAGTAAATAGTTCTTTATAGGTTTTATCTACTATGTCTTACTCACTCAGAGTCACAGATATCTTTAGGATATAAATGTGGTTTCTGTTTTTGTAATAACTAGCCACCTACAGATGAAATCTTTGTTTCTGCAGATTGAAAACTAATATTATATTACTGAGAAGAGCAAATATTGGAGAAGCTTTTCTCTATTGCTGGCATTTGAGGACTGAATCGGTAGATTTCTATTGATATCAACTTTGAGATGATTTGTAGATGACTTTATCTTGTAGAAATGACTTTCCATTGGTTTGATTATCTTTATGATATTTCCGTTTTTTATTAATGATATTTTTAGATTTTAGGTAAGAGAAAAGCAAGTGTAAGTGATAGAATGGAAGATATTAGTCTTTGATTTGAAGTTGTGATTAGTAGATTTTTGTTACAGTCGCTAGTTGTCACTAATTGAGTTTTAGTTGTTACTAATTTTTTTTTATCATATACTAGCATATCACCACACATAAAGTGTGCATGAAAACTTTTTGTTTTTGTTTTTAAAGTAGGAGAGAGGAAGAGAGAGAATGTTGGAGTGGGGAGAGAGCTTTATTTTTTTTTTATTTATTTTTTTTTTAATTAGAGATTTGTTAGTGGGGAAAGAGCTTTAATTTTAATTTTTTTTAATTTTTTTAATTAGAGATTTGTTAGAATAATATGTAGGTGAGGTTTTGAAAAAAAAAATTGCAAAATTTTGATAGTTTGAAATCACATGTAGGTGAGGGTTTGGTTAATAAAGAGTGTTCTATTACACTATATTTGGATGAGAGAAATAAACTTGAAATTTGGATTAAAGACAGAATTTATAAATTGACATACACCAATTCTCTTGTTTGGATTCATAAATATAGAAATTTAGAATTTCAGCATGGAAAAAAAACTTGGAAATTGGAACCTCCAATTCCTAAGTTTAAATTCCATGTAAATAGGTTTCATTTTCCAATTTCTATGATTGAGAGTTTAAAAACAACAAATTCAATATTTAATTCCATTGTTCTTTTAGGTTACCAAAAACAATTCACAAATTCTATAGAATAAAATTTCATCATTTAAATTTCCGTCATTTTAAAATTCCTTAGTAATCTGAAATTTCTTCATCCACACATAGTGTTAATATGTAGTTTAAATATATAAAAAGAAAACAGAAAGGCAAACACAAGACAATAGAACAAACGAGTTTTCGGTTTGCAAACTGAAATGGTCATCAAACAGGCTCTTAGTTGTAGAGATGAGTGAAGTGCAAACAAATATGTACATAGCCAAACTCCTAAGAAATCTGAAATTGCGGATCATCTCAAGCAGACGGTTGCTCTTGCTCCTCTTCCTCCTCAATATCAATCTGCCTGCGTTTTGGATGATCATATTCATCATCGACGATATCTGAGGATTCACGTGGATGGGGCCTCTTCCCAAGACTACTCGTTGGTCTCAAGACAATATCTGACGATATCTGAGGATACATGTTATCGTCAGGATTGCTGTTAAAAAAACCGTTCTCTGTGAATTCACGGGCAATTTCTTGTACCAGATCCTCTTGCAAGTGAAGGTTTGAGGGTAAATCCGGGGCTCTTAGGTTGTATGTGTTGTTACCATCACCACCTGTGGAATTGTCGCTGTTTGCAGGGGCTTTGAAGCTGTTATTCCCGCTTGGAGCAGGGCCGTGACTACCAGGCACATTGGAGGTGGATGGTGCTGCCGCTGGATTGTTGCCTCCAAAACTCACTCCATTCCTCCCAACACTCCCATTTGCACTTGGGCAGGGAAGAGATTGTTGTCCTCCCCCGCTGTTATTGGACATCTCCTGTAGCAGTTGCTGGATCATTTGTTGCTGCAAGGCCTGGTTACCCTGGGAGCCAGTTGAATGAGTTTGTTGTAGCAAGCTATTGGAACTAAGTGACCGCTGCTGTAGCTGCTGTGGCTGTCGCGAGGGTAGATGGGCACTTGACAAGGCACTACCAGGTAAGTTGTGCATGGATCCCGGTATTAATGCGGCGGCACCTTGGAATGTTGATGATGGGATGCGGTTGGAATTATTGAAGGAAGAAGATGCCTCCTGTTGAAGAGAGTTTGCATTTGAATTCATAGAGTTGTGTCTCAAAAGCAGATTCTGGTAAGCTCCAGGACCGACCATCTGATGGTGGTTGTTCATTTGGTTATTCAGTCCAGGATGCAATGCCATTAGCTTATTGAGTGTGTTCCTGTCAGTGGGCAAACCCTGAGCACTTGCTAACTGCTCCATTTCCTGCATCTTTTGCAGCCCTAAGTCTTTCAACGACTGCAACTCCAAACTCTTTGCGAGCTGCCGTCCAGTTGTCGGTACCCTGGAGAAAGCAATCAACATCAGTGTAGCCCTTCAGAATCGAAGTCTAATACCCAAGAATTCAACAAAAGCACTTCACTGATAGATTCATAAACTCACATATTGCTGTTTGTTTGTAGATCCTGCTGAGAAATCCCATCAGATCCACTGTCAGCTATTGTGCTTTGGCATTTCTGAGCAACTTGAACCAACTGATTCACCTGGAGAAAAAGTATGCTTCATAAGTGCAAGGCATAAAGTCTGCCCAATTGAACCTACTTTTATTATCTGCTAAAATTTTGGTCTGTTTAATTAAATTGAATCACTGACCAAAAGAACACAAAGATATTAGGAATGTTAGCACAAGTACTAAAATCAAACTAAGATGGTTCACTGGAAAACAATCAGATCAAGGAATAACACCAGTACAACCAATTTAACATGTCTTAGAGTTAAACTGTCTTTCTAGGTTCCAGAATTGCACATTTCTCATAAGTTAACACATGAATTAAATCACTGGATATCACTACCAGTCATCATATTCTCACAATTACCAAACTCAAAACTGAGAGGTAAGGTAACAATCAAAATTAATGATTAGAATGAGAAAATTGCTTCTAGCTAATGCATCTATCCAGTTTAATGCATAAGTCAACAAAATTCACACATCATTAGATAAACAATGCTGACGGATGGATACTCAAAGGATAGGAACATCTAAATAAGATATTTGTAACAAAAAGAAAAGCATATCTACAAACCCAGTTGAAATGGAACTGAAGAGAGAGAAAAGAAACAGCACAATGAAGTGCATTAAACAAGGGAACTCACAGCAGGCCGTTGCCGCTGATGATCTAAATATTGCCTCAGCCTATGATCACATACACCACCATCATAGGGACGCTTAATGGAAGATACTGGCTGCATTGGTTGTTGAAATTGCTGTTGTCTCAACTGCTGCTGTTGTTGTTGCTGTTGTTGCTGTTGCTGCTGCTGAAATTGGGCTCTCTGCATTGGATCCTCATCCTCCTCAATATCTGAGTCGGACGGTTGCTCTTGCTCTTGCTCCTCATCCTCCTCATCCTCCGAATATGAGGATCCACTGTCTTGGTTGCGCAATAGGCAGTGCACGCCGCAGCTTTTAATGGGACACCCATTGCGAAAACGAAATTCAACTTTACAAATATCCTTGTCCTCATCATACCAAATTCCATCAACTAACGCAAGCCTCACATGAGTTGCCTTTAAGTCCCCATGATAAAATATCAAATGGTCCAACTGTATTTCTCCGTTGATGGAAATATCCGTATCATCAGACAAAGGATGATAAGTAAATGGTTCAAGAACATAAGATAGAGCCAATCCTAATAACGTCTCCCCCTCTTGTAATTTTAGAGGAATTTCAAAACGAAACTCACTGCCTCCAACAAATTCTAGTTCCAAGTCGTATTTACACCTGTGCCATTCATCCCCTACATATTCTGGTAGAGGTTGAATGGTTGTGGGATGGTTAGAGGTATAGCTGAACCATTTTGGAACTTCATTGCCTGGGTAAATAATGCTCAAGGGCGGATATTCTTCCTGCAATAATAGATATATATAGTTAACAAAGTACAAACATTTGTGATCTGATCTCTCTTTCAAGTATCAACAAAATTAATTTTCATTTGAACATAAATTAAGAAGAAGAGAGACCAACCTTATTGTTTTCCAACCTTGCCACCAATATATCCTGCAATTATAGATATATATAGTTAACAAATTACAAACATTTGTGATCTGATCTCTCTTTCAAGTATCAACAAAATTAATTTTCATTTGAACATAAAGTAAGAAGAAGAGAGACCAACCTCATTCAACAAGTTGTTTTCAAACTTTGCCACCTCATCACTACTTAGTCCAGAGCAGTTACACAATCTAAGCTCCTCAAGCGTCGGGTGCAGTTGTGGAATTTTCTTCAATGACGTGCAACCATCCAGACATAACGATTCTAGTTTTGGTGGAAGGGCTGGAATTTCTCGAAGCCACTTGCAATCCGACAAGTCAAGAGTCAACAAGTTGACAGCTTGGCTAATACAATCCGGAAGGCTAACAAAATTGTTTCTTGACAGATCAATTTCCTGCAATAGTAGATATATATAGTTAACAAATTACAAATATTGTGATCTGATCTCTCTTTCAAGTATCAACAAAATTAATTTTCATTTGAACATAAATTAAGAAGAAGAGAGACCAACCTCATTCAACCACTCGTTTTCCAACTTTGCCACCTCATCACCACTTAGTCCAGAGCAGTTACGCAAGCTAAGCTCCTTAAGCGTCGGGGGCAGTTTTGGAATTTTATCCAATGATGTGCAGCCATCCAGATCTAACTCCCATAGTTTTGGTGGAAGGACTGGAATTTCCCGAAGCGTCTTGCAATCCCTCAAGGAAAGTTTCATCAAGTTGACAGCTTCGCTAATACAATCCGGAAGGCTAACAAAATTGTTTCTCGACAGATTAAGTTCTCTTAATGTGGACCAGCAATCAAGAGGCACAAAGAAATCACTTTCTGATAACTTGCATCCTGAAAGATTAAGAGACAGCCTGGATGAAACTTCATCAAACTTCACCTTCTTTCCATCAGGGAGGAGTTGGATATTTTGCAACTCACAACCATTTGCGTTCAATGTCTCAAGCCCACTAAAATAAGCAATTGGTGGCAATTCTCTTATGCCACTTTCTCCTATATACAAACATTTTAGGGAGTTGGATATTTCTGGGAAACTCTCGAGCCTTCTGCAACCTGAGAGAGAAAGTGATTTTAGGGACCTCGATCCAAGTCTTGTTGGAAACCTTGTAAGCTTAGAGCACCCAGAAAGACGCAAACTTTCAAGTTTATCGAGGAATCCAACCGAATCATCAACCTCGACCAAACTTGTGCAGTAACTTAGATCCAACTCCCTTATGTTTGGGCTTCCGGATAAGTCGGGGACATTTTGCAACTCACAACCAAATGCATTCAACTCCGCAAGCCCAGTAAGATACGCAATTGATGAAGGCAATTCTCTTATGCCACTTTGTCCCATATACAAATACTTCAAAGATTTCATCTTGTTCTTCTCTATTTCTGGAAATCTCTCCAGCCTTGTGCAACCACTAAGATTAAGCCGTATAAGGGATCTCAATCCAAGTCTTGTTGCAAACCTTGTAAGCTTAGAGCACCCAGAAAGATGCAAACTTTCAAGTTTATCGAGGAATCCAACCGAATCATCAACCTCGACCAAACTTGTGCAGCCACTTAGATCCAACGCAGTTATGTTTGGGCTTCCAGATAAGTCATGCATTTTTTCCAAAAATTCGCAACCACTTAAATTCATCCGTGTAAGCTTTGCCAAATTCTATAAAACCAAAAATAAAAACAAAACAAAAGTTCACACGCTTTAAAAAGAATATAATAAAACACTAGAGTACTTCTTTGGGAGATAAAATATATGTTTAAATAACAATATGATTCAAAATAATTTAAAGTATGTACCTTAAATCCCTTCAATTTTCTTATGCCACTGTGTGGCGCATTAAAACAAACAATATTTCTTGGATGAAAATTGGACGACAAATTGAGCACAACCGTATGCTTAATATCAACAATGGATCGTCCACCCAAGTCAAACCACCTTAAACTGTTGGGCAAATAATCAACGCGTCCGGAAAAGTTTGCATTACGGTTTATAAAAAATTCAAGATTTTTCATCTTCAAGAAGCTTTTTGCTTTCAAGGTTATCACCTCTGGTTTAGGCAGATTCACAACAATGCCTCTAATTGTCTCTGTTCCCTAAGATGGAAAAAGAAATAATGTTAACAAACAAGTCACAATAAAATCATCTTTTTTTTTTCTTTTCAAAATCATGCCAATTAAATCAAATGTAATTATGTACGAACATATATTCTACTTACTCTGCAATCAATTAGAACATCACACACATCTTCATGATGCCACAACCTGCTCCGCTTGCCTGGTTCAGTGAGCGATTCTTCGTAAACTATATGCTTACCCATTTTTTCTAGCAAGTTATGCATCAAAATCCGATTATGCTCAATAGCTATGATGGCTTTCTCAACGAGTACATCAATAATATCTTGACGTGCATTGAGCGTCAAACTTCTTAACATTTGTAACACGTAGTATTTATCTTCCCCCTTGAAGAAACATGCAATGTCTAGGAAAACTTGTTGCAAGTTTTTATCCCAGCCATAATAAGTTTTTCGAAGTGTTATTTGAATATCTGTATAAGGTTCTCCATTGTAAAAATCGTAACTGTTCAATACATCTTGCCAACGACCTATATTTTCATTGTGCAGATGAGAACCTATAAGATTAAGAGCCAACGGAAGGCCTTGAGCATGGACTATTGCACGTTGTGCGAGGCTCAAATAATCATTTGGAGGTCTATTTCTTTTGAAGGCATTCCAACTAAAAAGCTCAAGTGCTTTGTCGTATCCTAACTTTTGGACTTCATATATCCATTGACCTCCATAAAATTTTAGCAATTTTCTATCTTTTGTGGTTATGATCACTCTGCTACCCTCACCGAAACAATCGACATTGACCCAGTCTTTTAACCGCTCCAATTTATCCACGTCATCAAGAATTAAGAGAATCTTCTTTTGCCTCAACCGATTCTTAATAAGACTGGTTCCTTCATGAGCATTGACAAAGTTCAACTCCGCACCACCTAGAATTTTAGATAGAAGAGTCTTCTGTAGTTGGATTACGCCTTCACACTTTGTCAATGTTTCTCTAACATCTGCCAGAAAACAACTGCCTTCAAACTTATGAGCAATTGCATTATAAACATCTTTTGCAATTGCTGTCTTGCCTATTCCAGATGTCCCCCAAATCCCAACTACACGACGATCATTTCCACCGACATCTAAAAGCACTTCCACCTCTTTTGCACAAGACTCTATTCCAACTGGGTACTCAGCCACATGCAAATATGTGCGATTTAATTCTTGGGTTGAAATCTCCGCAACGATGCGGTTAATAAATGTAGCTTCACACCTACCAGTTAAAAAAACAATGACACATTTAATTTTGTTAGCATGGTACGGTAATGACACTAGCAATTTGGTGGCCTTTACCCTTTTTTTATACTCCAATTCATTGATAACTTTTTTTATCCGAAAACTTATTATTGTTATTTTGTTAATTTTTTAGCTGTAATCCAATTTTTTTAGCCGTAAAAATATCTTATCAATCATGATATAATACACACGTGTAAAGTTGTTACTTAACACCATCTTTAGTCATTGAGGTAATCTAATATACTTGTTACCTATTTAGTTATAATCAAGATTCATTATTCGCATTTCAGACACATTTAGTAAATCAAGCCATGCATCAAGATTTAAGATACAAATTAAAGTTAAAAACCAAATAGAAGTTACAAACTAAATCAAATAGAAGTTAAAGTTAAAGCTACAAACTAAATCAAAATCATTTTTTTTTGTTTTAAATTCTAAAAATACATCAAATATCCTATTAAAATACATAAAAATAGCAATAATTTAATTAATATTATCATTTTTTATATGGAAATAAATTCAAAATTAAAAAAACAGTTAAGTTACGAATATACCTAGAATATATCAAAAATGAAAGCACTTTAATCAAAAGTTCAAAGGTAACAAATGTTTAGTTTATAAATGTCTAAAATGAGGCATCTAATTCTAATTTTATATGGTATTGTATATATTGATTTTAAATACCATTATCATACCAATTATGTTGGTATGGTACAATTAGTGCACCATTACTAATGGGTACAAAAATTGGCACAAATTCGGTGTGGTACAATTGGTAATTTGGCTGGTACGGTAATATGGTGAAAAAATTCACACCTAGTAATGAATTTATTGCAGTTACATTTTTAAGCTTTTGGAAACAGTTTTATAAAAAACTCACATATTTGTTCTTATATTAATTTTATTTTACCCATTTAGTACTCTTATTGGCTAATAACTAGATTAGGATGCTGCATATAAAGATACTGATATCGTAGAGTTATATTAAAGTTTGATGACATGATGTATTTTGGGACGCATGGTTCGATGTACTAGAATATGAATAATATGTGGCAGATTTTGGAATTTTGTGTTGTTGTTGGGCTACTCTAAGTGCTAACAAAGTCAAAAAAACATTTGCAAATTAGATTTAGGCCTAACCCGTTCAAATCAATCCCAACCAAATTGTCGACTATGGTTTTGGTTTGCTTCGGTTTAATTCAGAATTTTTACCAAGTTTCAACCAAACTAAATCATTATATCGTAATTGATTTGACATTGTTTTGGGGTAAACAGTAAACTTGATCCAATCCGGATTCTGCACTTTTTAATTCTCAATTTTTTTTTCTAACACTTCTTAATTCTTCAATCAACCAACATGATTCAAAGTAACAAACGATTTAAAAAAAAAAGTAAAGATGTTATTTTTATCATCTATTTGTATTACTCCCTAATAAAAATAAACTCGCATGTATTGGTAGACCTTAACTTTATTAGAAAAATGATACAAATAAATAATTAGTGCAACACTATTTTTAAAAAAATTCCAAATTCCCAACCATACATTTTTTTTGCCATTTTTTTTTTGGTTAGAAGAATACAATAATATTGAGCCCTAATTTATAACTGATATTCTCTCTTTGTTTGAAAATTATTGATTTAGCTTGATTTGCTTTATTAGCACACTACATATTATTAAACAATTAATATAATGACTGTTTACGCCTAATAAGATTTAAAAGTCAAACAAAAATTTTGAATACCCCAAAATCACTTTTAAGGTGTATCCCAAAAATTATTTTTCTGCAAGCTCTCAAAGCCACTCCCACCCTCCATAATATACAAACTCTAACTAATAAAAGTAAAAATCCATTGATAAACTTTGTTTTATGCATTGTATGTCACTTTCTAATTTGAAATCACCAGAAATGCATGCATAATCATACAATATGTAAGGTGTGTTCAAAAACATGTGAAGTGTATTTAGTATGTGAGATATACTCAACCGTATGTGTGATGTGAATAAAACAACCCTAAATGCCATTAAATTGAGAAAAATATTATATTTGTAAAAGGAAGTAGTAAATTCTGAAATATAGAGTAAAAACAACTCAAAAACCATATGCAGGAAGGTCAAAAATAAACGTACTCTTTCTCGTTGAGAGTATCTCCTTTCAGATTTGCTGCTTTTGTAAGAGCTGTGCTCCATCTTTGCACCTTCTCCGGGTCATTCTCATTTTTGCGGCTAGGAACAGCAAACGCAACACCATAACTATTTTTTTGGTGTCGGACATCCGATGGATCCACCTTGTAGAAGATTGGCCTTGTCATTTGTCCTTTTGACTCTCTACATTCAAAGATATGTACGAGCTCGTCCAAGCACCATCTTGAAGATGCATAGTTTTCAGAGAACACGATGACAGAAATTCTCGAGTTTTCAATTGCTTTGAGAAGAGTTGGTGATATATCTTTTCCAGTTGGAAGTTCCCTATCATCAAGGAAGGTGCGGATTCCGAGACGGACCAAGGCATGGTACAGATGATTTGTAAAATTGGTGCGTGTATCCTTACCTCTAAAGCTCAAAAAGACATCGTATTCCCATGAAGGAGTAGTGCTGAAGGAAGAAGAAGGGACAAGTTGATTGGCCATAGGAGAATTAAAGCCAGACCATAAACTAAAGAAAAGAGGCTCTCAAAGAATTGGAATATGCAGTATGGTATGGTGTATGGACAATGGACTCTCACTTGTTATATATATATATATATATATATATATATATATCAGTCATCATGCTTTTTCTCCCTACCAACGAAGCAGCTTCTTACTTACTACCTTTCAATGTGACTGATAAAGTCAAAGGATTAAAGTTTGACACGAAACTTCTCCTCTCTTTCGTTGCAATTTCATTTCATCAAACAGTTTGTTTTTTTGTTACCGCCGCGCTCCTTTTTCGTATATTCAAAGATCTGATGATCTTGATGGGTCAATTCATCGTCTCATCACACTATTATTAGTTGGAAACCACTCAGCTACAATTATTTACCTTTTTCTTTCGGTTATATAATAAAATGATTCTATTGGACAAATTATTTTTTCCACTTTCAAGCAATGCGTACCGATGAAATGCAATTTCTTTTACATAAAACATATTAATTAGCACCATAAATATGAAGGAAATCAAATTAACCACTGACATGCCATCAAATGTACATGTTTGAATTTTTATTTTTACACTATAAATCGATACTAAAAAACTCATAAAAGATTATGAAAAAATATAAAACACATAATAAATATGCATAAAACACGAAACAGATGAAATATATATATGAAACACATCCAATCTTAAGTGAGGTAGTGTTGTTAGTGTTTATAATAAATTTATGTATACTAGTGTATATAACATCTAATGTAAGTTGACAAAGAATGATTTGTTTCAATTATACCAAAAAGAATTTCACCATCTAAATCACTTAAATGTGGTGAATGTCTGCCGTTGGATTAGTCAAAAGTGCCATTAGGCTCAATATTCAAGGCAGCAAGTGGCCGGACAACGGACGTGGGTGGGATCACTTCCTGTAGAAGCTGGGCGCGTATGGGATCGTGTGCGTCAGTTTCCGTGTTTGTGCTTCAACGCATGGCTCTCCACTTGCAGAAGTGGGCCACTATAATAATAGATCAGTATAGAAGAGAAATCTTTGCCGCGTACTCTTTGTGAGGATTCATGAGTTCTCAAATTATATTCGTTCATTGTATATCGTGCGATCATAAATTATTGTAAATTTTTATTTAATATTAAATATAAACTGTACTTGACATAAAATGATCACACGATGCATAATAAACGAATGTGATTAGAGAATGTTCAAGATCCTCACAAAGAGGATCTGGCAAGCATCCTCTCTCTTGGTATTAAATTTGTTGAGAGGACAAAAAATTTCAAGAATACGAAACGAGTCTGATAGATTCAGTTTTTATGATTTATGTTTTAGGTTTTGGCAATGAACATGATTTCTTTATGCTAATGCTTTGATTCTGTTGTTGAAGGTAGAGTTTCGTTTTCGCCAATTTGTATCGGTTAAATTTTGCAATCCAAGAAAAGTAGTTCTCTAGGAATTCTCTGGATTGTTCTAGATCGAAAATGTGAATTTTTATGATCGGTGATGATTCTGATTGATTTGGCTTCTGTTGTTCTTAGAGTGGAGGTTAGTAAGTGAAGATGATGCCGGGGACACCAGCAACTCCGTCGGCTAAGCTACGAAGGACTCCGGGTGGTTCAAAAGTCAGCGAGGAGAAAATTTTGGTCACTGTTCGTTTGAGGCCGCTGAACAGGCGAGAACAGGCAATGTATGATCTTATAGCTTGGACTGCTTGGATGAGCACACCATAGTTTTCAAGAATCCGAATCATGAGCGACCTTCAAACCCGTACACCTTTGAGCACACCATAGTTTTCAGGAATGAACGGTAACTGAACATCTAGCTACTAACTCGTAGACTTCTATGTCATTATATCCTGTGCAACATGGTCTTCGGCCGATTCTAAAGTTGCCACATTTTCTTTTGACAGCTACAATTTTTGCATACGGGCAGACTAGTAGTGGCAAGACATTTACCATGAGAGGAATCAGCGAAAATGCAGTGAGGGACATCTTCGAACACATCAAGAATGTAAGTCATAGTTCATACCATGACCTTTTATATAGCCTTTGGAATCCTCTTGGTACTGCTATAACCATTTTGTTGCTTATGCCTTTGTTGCTTTCTTTTTGATCTCGTAGACGCCAGAAAGGGATTTTGTTTTGAAATTTTCTGCTTTGGAGATCTACAATGAAACTGTTGTTGATCTTCTGAAATGCAAATCTGGCTCACTTTGGCTTTTGGATGACTCTGAGGTATTTACAAGAAACTTTCATGATGGAGATCAAATGGATTCCTTTTCATGCTCTAACATTTCATTCCCCCTTTTTAATGTAGAAAAGCACCATAGTTGACAAGCCACAGGAAGAAATTGTTGAGAATGGCGAACATTTGAGGCACTTAATTGGAATTTTTGAAGGTAATGTGTTAATTTAAGTTCATTGCAAATTGTAAGGTGTTTGTCCAAAACTTGAGATGATTTGTTGAATTGATGGAGTACAATTGTTGTTCCAATGAACAAATGTGGTGTTAACTATCTGTTTTGTAATTGTGTTTCCTAAGCTACTGGCAGTAACTTCTTATCATCCAGTGAACATATTTTCCCATTTGAATGAGAATTGGTGACAAAATATTAAAACCTTTCTGTATTGCATAAGATGATCTGTGCATCATATTTTCTGTTTTGTATGATCTAATTGTAAAGTTGTCTTTGCAGCTCAAAGGCAAGTGGGAGAAACTGCCCTAAATGATAAAAGCTCAAGATCGCATCAGATAATAAGGCTGCTAGACATGATGAATTTATATTTTTTTAAATGTTTCATGAAAGGTTGACTCTTATATAGTGCTTTATGAAGACCGTATTATTAGCTTGTCATCCTCCTTTATTTTCGGTTCTTCCTTTCTTGAGTTGGAAACTTGGGTTACACATTTTTAAGTTGAGTCAAGTTTCCTCCGCAGAACAATGTTAGGGCTGGTTTGGTATTGCTGTGCTTTGAAAAAAAGCTGCTGTGAGAATAAGCGGCTGTGCTGTGAGAATAAGCGGCTGTGAAATAAAGCCAGTAGAGTGTTTGGTAAACTTTTTTGTGAAAGTGCTTTTGAAAAAAAAAGCAGGATGATAGTGTGTCTTTTCATTAAATGAGCACTGTAGCTCTGTGTGCTTTGAAAAAACTGGCTTTTTTTCAAAGCAGCAAATAGCAGCTTCAACTTTTCCTTTGATTTTCAGCTTATTCTCACAGCAGCTTCCAAAATAAGCCTTTTTTTTTCAGTTTACCAAACACAAAAATGACCCTCAGCTTTTTTTCACAGTGGTTTTTTTTTAAATCACCTCAATCCCAAACGGGACCTTAATGTGGCAGCCATAAGCCATCATGCATACAAGCATTATTTTACTCAAGCATGCATAAGGGTAAAATCACCAATTTGTTAATTTTTTTCCAGACCATAGAAAGCAGCCTCCGGGAGAGTTCAGGGTCTGTGAAGGCTTTTGGAGTGAGTTTGGTAATGTTTATCCTCACTCAGGTTTTTTGGTAGTAAACAAGAACGAAATTTTCTTCCATGGGTTTTTACTAGAATTCTGGATATCTGCAGAACCTTGTGGACCTTGCTGGAAGTGAACGTGCCTCCCAAACAAATGCAGATGGTAAAGGATTGAAGAAAGGCAGTCACATTAACCGTAGCTTGTTGACACTCACAACCGTTATCAGGAAGCTAAGGTAAAGCTGCTGTCAAAATGTTGATGACTTAGAGCATCTGTAGCTCTTGTTCCTTTAGTTTTGTGCTATATGTTCATGTTCAACTTATCCGAATCCTGCCTTTTGCTTTGGTGGAAACAAAAACCTTGAACTTATTTGCATTTTAGCATGGAAAGCTCCAATATACGCAAACAGACACAAATGCATGAAATTACATGGTACTCATCTGTGAGCATGAAAGTCCATGCTCAGCAGTGGTATCTAAAAAAGAAAAGTACTTTTTTGCGATAATAATGGAAAATTCCTGTATTGTAATTTGTTGAAAATGTAAGTGCATGCAAGCTATACAGGATATGTATGAAGGAGCAAAGACTGCCGTAAGAACTCATGAAGGACAAACCGAAAGCTTTCCCATAACTGTAGGATTACATCAAGGCTCATCCTTAAGTCCTTACCTTTTTGCGTTGGTAATGGATGAGTTAACAGGACATATTCAAGATGATATTCCTTGGTGTATGCTTTTCGCAGACGATATAGTGTTGATAGATGAAACTCAAGAAGGGGTAAATGCAAAGCTTAACCTTTGGAGAGAAGTGTTAGAATCTAAAGGTCTTCGCCTAAGCCGATCAAAGACAGAATATATGGAGTGCAAGTTCAGTGCAAATGGAGGCCAAAACGAGTTAGGGGTGAGGATCGGAGATCAAGAAATACCAAAGAGCGATCGTTTTCGTTACCTAGGATCTATCTTGCAAAAGAACGGAGAATTAGATGGAGATCTCAACCATAGAATACAAGCTGGATGGATGAAGTGGAAGAGTGCATCCGGCGTGTTGTGTGACCGCCGTATGCCACTGAAGCTCAAGGGAAAATTTTATAGGACGGCAATAAGGCCGGCGATGCTGTATGGCACAGAATGTTGGGCGGTGAAGCATCAACACGTACACAAAATGGGTGTAGCGGAGATGAGGATGCTTCGTTGGATGTGTGGGCACACGAGAAAGGATAAGATTAGGAATGAGGATATCCGGGGTAAAGTAGGAGTAGCCGAAATTGAAGGAAAGATGAGAGAAAATCGGTTACGGTGGTTTGGACATGTGCAAAGAAGGCCTACTGACGCTCCGATTAGAAGATTCGACTATGGGACAGAGGTTCAGGGCCGAAGGGGTAGAGGAAGACCTAGGAAAACTTTGAGAGAGACCCTAAGAAAAGACTTAGAGTACTTGGATCTAACGGAGGACATGACACAGGACAGAACACAATGGCGTTCTAAGATTCATATAGCCGATCCCACTCAGTGACTTGGATTTTCCAAATCTCCAACCGAGAAGTTGTCCTCGCTCGAGAAATTAAGGGAACACTACCTCAACCTACATGCTCCACTTACAAAGATTCAACATACAAGCTTCAACAAAAGGAAATTCAAAGAACTTAGCGAAGAAGGCTTTGGTGATTTAACACAATACGTTGAAATGAAGGAAAACTTATTTATTGATATCCCCAATAAGTTATAAATATGTACATATACTTGAGTCAAAATAAACAAACAAGAGGGAGCCTTCACAAAGGTTGCTTAGGAGAAGTCTCAGCAGTCGGTAGAGCCCCAGAAAGAGAAGGCACCGGAGGGGGATCATTCGGAGCCTCAGTACTGGACAGAACCCTAGAAGGAGGAGGCATCAGAGGTTGATCATTTGGAGCTTTATTACGCGGTACAGCCCCAGAAGACGAAGGCAATAAATGCCTTTGGAACAAACCCACAAATCTCTGATGATCAAGTAAAACCTGACCATCAGATTCCTTCATCTGGTCAAGCTTCCTCTTCATGTTTGTAGCATAGTCATGTGCGAGCCGGTGCAACTGTTTATTCTCATGCTTGAGCCCTCTAATCTTCTGTTTGAGACTCATCACTTCAGCAGCCAATGATTCAACTTGGCAGGTTCGAGCAAATAGGCGTTGGGCCATATTAGACACAGAACCTGCACACTGAACACTAAGAGCCAGAGAATCCTAAACAGCCAACTCATCAGACCGTTTGGAAAGTAGTCTGTTATATTTGGGAGTGAGAAGGTTTCTGGCCACTACCGCAGCGGTCATATCATTCTTCATCACGGAATCCCCAACGGTAAGAGGACCAGTAGGGGAGACGAAGGATGGGCGCCATATGTTGTCTGGAGAAGGCGGGGCTGCCTCTTCAACAAGGTTCAAGTCAAAACGATGGTCGGAGGGGCCAGACATTTTCAAAGGTGTTAAAGAGAGAAGAGGTCGGACAAATCAAGATCTTAGAAGTGCACGAATGGAGCTTCTACTGGTGGATATTCAAGTGTGCTTTGGAACTTAATGTCAGCCCCTATAAAAATCGGCACTCGACGAAGCTTCAGAAATCGAAGAGGCGCCTGCTCAGAAATCGAAGAGGCGTTTGCTTTCTCAAAAGCTGGGCAGCTCAGAGACCACGAGGGTCGATCTCAGAAATCGAAGAGGCGTTTGCTTTCTCAAAAGCTGGGCTGCTCAAATACCACGAAGGCCGATCTCAGAAATCGAAGAGGTTTGCTTTCTCAAAAGCTGGGCTGCTCAGAGACCACGAGGGCCGATCTCATAAATCGAAGAGGTTTGCTTTCTCAAAAGCTGGGCTGCTCAGAGACCACGATGGCCGATCTCAGAAATCGAAGAGGCACCTACTTTTCCAGCCTTGTCAGCACCTGTCACACGCACTCAGCTTTGCGGAAATTATGGGCATTCTGTCGAAGATTTCTGGCGAAGTAGAAAGCACATAAATCGTACTGTTCAATCACCCACTTCCCACACGCAACAGTAGCTCATGGGTACCACATATAACTTTGCCAAAGTTCCCTGACAAAGTTGAGACTACTTTTCCAGCCTTGTCAGCACCTGTCACACGCACACTCAGCTTTGCGGAAATTATGGGCATTCTGTCGAAAATTTCTGGCGAAGTAGAAAGCACATGAATCGTACTGTTCAATCACCCACTTCCCACACGCAACAGTAGCTCATGGGTATCACATATAACTTTGCCAAAGTTCTCTGACAAAGTTGAGACACGTGAAGCTTGCAGCTCTCACTACATCGCTCTGACCAAGAAGGGTAAAAGAATAGCAAAGAAATAACACTAACAAAGTTTAGACACATAAATTTTGAAGGCCTAGCTACCATATTATTACCCACAAGGGTAAAGGAACAGTACCACTGCTGGATAATTGGAAAGTCCCGGTGTGTCAACCTCTGTGCTTCGTGGCAAGGTAGACTAGCAAACATGCCCAACCTTTACTCACATTCGAGAAAACACTCCCAACAAGATTGCTTGCACCAAAATCGAAGAGGCATCGCCCTCCGAATCTCGAGAGCCTGACTCCCAACATGATTACTTTCTCAAAAATCGAAGAGAGGGTAAAGGAACAGTACCACTGCTGGATAATTGGAAAGTCCATGTGTGTCAACCTCTATGCTTCGTGGCAAGGTAGACTAGCAAACATGCCCAACCTTTACTCACATTCGAGAAAACACCCCCAACAAGATTGCTTGCTCCAAAATCGAAGAGGCACCGCCCTCCGAATCTCGAGAGCCAGACTCCTAACATGATTACTTTCTCAAAAATCGAAGAGAGGGTAAAGGAACAGTACCACTACTGGATAATTGGAAAGTCCCTGTGTGTCAACCTCTGTGCTTCGTGGCAAGGTAGACTAGCAAACATGCCCAACCTTTACTCACATTCGAGAAAACACCCCCAACAAGATTGCTTGCTCCAAAATCAAAGAGGCACCGCCCTCCGAATCTCGAGAGCCAGACTCCTAACATGATTACTTTCTCAAAAATTGAAGAGAGGGTAAAGGAACAGTACCACTGCTGGATAATTGGAAAGTCCCTGTGTGTCAACCTCTGTGCTTCGTGGCAAGGTAGACAAGCAAACATGCCCAACCTTTACTCACATTCGAGAAAACACTCCCAACAAGATTGCTTGCTCCAAAATCGAAGAGGCACCGCCCTCCGAATCTCGAGAGCCAGATTCCCAACATGATTACTTTCTCAAAAATCGAAGACACCGCTCTCCGAATCTCGAGAGCCAGACCCCCAGCATGATTGCTTTCTAAAAAATCGAAGAGGCATCGTTCTCCGAATCTCGAGAGCTAGATCCCCGACAGGATTGCTTGTTCGAAAACCGAAGAGACACCACTTTCCCAACTTCAAGAGCCGGATCTCCTTGGATAAAGCTTGTCTGTAATCTTCACACGCAACATCAGCTTTCCAGATACCACAGACCACTTTTTCAAAGTGCTCTGACAGAGTTAAAACTCGTGAAGCTGGCAGCTCCCACTACCGTGCTATGACCAAGCAGGGTAAAGGAATAGCATTATTACTTGATGTTAGGGAGACTCCTATATATGTCGGCCTCCATCCCCAACGGACAGGCAGACCTGCAAAAATGCTCAACCCTTCCTCTTATCTGAGAGGGCACTCCCAACGAAGCCTTTCGAAATATTCAGCTTTCTTTCCCCCCGATAATACCTCTGTAAACAAGCTATACTAGAGCAAGAATATCTCATATCATCAGGGTTAAAAGCAAGAGTATCCCATATCATGCTTTTTCCCTGTCTTTTCCTTTGGCCTTGTTCTTACCTGCAAGACAAGGAGAAAGAGAGCAATCAGTCAGCACTTGGAATCAAGCTTCCAGCCAGGAACTGACTGCCTGGAACCCCTTACCTGATTACTTACCTGGCATTGCTCTCGAGTACTTATCTTCAACATCTTATGCTTTTAGGGAAGATACCGCATCTGCCTGAGGAACAGATAGGGCAAGTGAGAAGGATACAAGGAAGCATGTGGAGACAAGCGTAACAGCACACGTGCCGATACATCCACTACTCTGTCAAAAGCAAAAGTATCCCATATCAGCAGGGTCGAACGTACTCTAGATTTGATGGACTTGTTTTGACCCTTAAATTCTTCAGTCGGCCTTATACTCTGGAGGAAACCAGAAAACCCTCCAGCCCAGTTCAAGAATAAGCCTGTGGAAAGTTACTTCTTCAAAAGCAAAAGTATCCCATATCATCTCTTCTCATTTTTCTTCTCTTTATCCTTCATGCTGCCTGCAAGATAGGGAGAATGTGAACAATCAGTCGGAGCTCTGATTGCTTACCTTGTCTGTTACCTCTTTCAGCAGATCCCCTAGCTCGGCGACTTGGGGGACTCCTACTACATGGTTTGTATCGCGCTTGACCAAGCTTGAAACTACAAGTAAGCTTCAAGTGACATTGATACATTACCTTGTGCATCTCCACCAGTTACAGATACCACCCCTGGATGGAGGAAGAGTACTTCCAGAGAAGATGCCACATCTACCTATGAGACAGATAAGGAAAGTTAAGACGATACCACACTCCAGTACTTAGAAGTTTCGTGGTTACGAGATCATTCTCCCACAATATTTCCTAATGTCATTTGTACTAAATCATTCACTTGTACTCCCTAAAGGAGAGCTTGAACCTATGTACTTGTGTAAACCCTTCACAATTAATGAGAACTTTTATATTCCGTGGACGTAGCCAATCTGGGTGAACCACGTACATCTTATGTTTGCTTTCCTATCTCTATCCATTTATATACTTATCCACACTAATGACCGGAGTAATCTAGCGAAGATCACAAAAAGTGACCGTTTTCACTACCTAGGATCTATCTTGCAAGAGAACGGAGAATTAAATGGAGATCTCAACCATAGAATGCTGGATGGATGAAGTGTAAGAGTGTATCCGGCGTGTTGGGTGACCGTCGTAGGCCATTGAAGCTCGAGGGAAAATTTTATAGAACGGCAATAAGGCCAGCGATGTTGTATGGCACAGAATGTTGGGCGGTGAAGCATCAACACGTACACAAAATGGGTGTAGCGGAGATGAGGATGCTTCGTGGGATGTATGGGCACACGAGAAAGGATAAGATTGGGAATGAGGATATCCGAGGTAAAGGAGGAGTAGCCAAAATTGAAGGAAATATGAGAGAAAATCGGTTCCGGTGGTTTGGACATGTGCAAAGAAGGCCTACTGACGCTCCGGTTCGAAAATGTGACTACGGGACAGAGGTTCAGGGCCGAAGGGGTAGAGGAAGACCTAGGAAAACTTTGGAAGAGACCCTAAGAAAAGACTTGAGTACTTGGATCTAACGGAGGACAAGACACAAAACCGAGCGCAATGGCGTTCTAGGATTCATATAGCCGACCCCACTTAGTGGGAAAAAGGCTTTGTTGTTGTTGTTGTTGTATTCAAGGGAGGACCCTCCGACAAGATCTACATGGAAGTCGAACTCAGAAGATTGCTATGGTTGGAGCAACACTTCTCGGATCTTGGTAATGCAAGCACGGCACTTTTAGGTGATGAACCTGCAGGCTCCGTTTCAGCCGGGTAAATTCTTTCGAGTATTTTTAGACTTAGTACCCCAATCACACTGATCATATATTTGAAATATAATCTGCTGAAATATTGATGTTCTATGAATTTGCAGCATCAAGGCTCTCAAAGCAATAGAGGGAGTACTTAGCTAAGAGGGTGAGTTCCAAGCTGACAGCGGACGAGAGAGAAATGATGTACGCGAAATGGGAGATTCCGCCCGGAGGGAAACAGAGGAGGTTGCAGCTGGTGAACAAGTGGTGGACAGACCCCCATAACATGCAAAACGTGCGGGAAAGCGCTGAAGTTGTTGCGAAGCTGGTCGGCTTCTGTAAATCGGGTGAGCACATTAGCAAGGAGATGTTTGAACTGAATTTCGCGCAGCCGTCGGATAAGAAGACGTGGATGGGGTGGAACTTGATATCAAATCTTTTGAATCTGTAAACAAGAACTAAAGTGCTTTCTCTTCACTGTTGTTACAAATGAAGGTTTTGTTGTATAAATTTCTGTCACGATCAAGAATTGCCATGTATGTATTACTTTGATGCAATGAATGTAAAGGGTTATTTTAGTACTTCTGTTCTGTTGGGCTCGTGAATTCGAACACATGATTCCGGGTGTGAAAATAAATGCTTTTTCAACCGTGTTGCTTTATTTGAAAAACCAAATGAGAAATAATATTAGAAATACTATAAATATATATAAATTGCAACCCTATGAAGCTTCACTTTTCCCTGCGATTGGCTTTGGGTCTTTTCTGTGCAGCTTAGGTGGAAGGCGAAGAAGGCCCTCTGCTGTGGGCCCGAGGCATCAGTGGTTTTTTCGTTTAAATTGTTTTGTAATTCCCTTATGAGCATTCCAATCCGCTGTAGCACAATACAATGAATTCTCATTAAACAACCAAGTTCGACTCCTGGCAGCGGAAAAATGTTTTTATTATATAATCTTTTATTGGCACGGAAAAGATTAGTTGTGAATTCTTTAATTATGAATTTTTTATCTTTCAGATTTTCATTTGGAAACCAAAAATTAGTAGACAACCAATTTCTCATATTTATATAATTAGTCGTTAATTCTTTAATTATGAATTTTTTATCTTTCAGATATTCATTTGAAAACCAAAAATTAGTAGACAACCAATTTCTCACATTTATATACTTCTTTTAAAGGAGATATCCCACCATCCATTGGTGACATACCTCCCCCATGTAGCCCCGATGCATGAGGCATTAACATAAATTTCTCACATTTATATACTTCTTTTTAAGGAGGTATCCCACCATCCATTGGTGACATACCTCTCTCATATAGCGCAGATGCATGAGGAAGAAACATATTTTTGGTCTCCCAAGTCAAATAGTACGTCAAAATAGAGCCGGTGGAAGGATTCATGCCCAAGGAGTACACCTATGAGAATGTGAACTTGGATTGGAGCTCCAACTCTTTGCTCACTTTGCGCTAAACAAATCCTTTGGAGTTACATTTATATGATCTTTTTTTTTCTCAATAATACGGTAAAACAACATAAAGTTCTGAATTATGATCAAATTTCAAGTTTATTTTTCTCAACCAACCAAAGCATAAACCTTAGAAAGAAAAATTATGATAAAAAAATAAGGAATGGTTTTTATCACAAATGGTCTCTGAAATTTACCCTCACCATCAAGATGGTCCCTGAAATTGAAAATCAATCAATGTAGTCCCTAAAAATAAGTGTCGCAAATCAATGTGGTCATTCCGTCACAATTTTGTTAAAAATTTCGTTAAGTGCTGATGTGACACATAAATGGGCCCCATAAGTTTTACGGATTTTTATCACAAATGGTCCCTGCAATTGACCTACACCATCAAGATGGTCATTAAAATTGAAAATCGATGAATGTAGTCCTTGAAAATAAGTGTCGCAAATCAATATGATCATTCCGCTACAATCATGTAAAAAAATTTGTTATGTGCTGATGTGAGTTAATAATTACTTAAAAAAGTTGTCTAAATATTTTTTTGAACAATAGAATATTTTTTTTTATAATAGGACCTACTCCGAAGAGAGATCCCTTCCATAAATTCTCAAAGGCACAAGGCTTAACCAAGGCCTAAGAGGGGGTTTGGAAATAGTTTTCAACTAACAGTAGACGTAACTTGGTTATAACCTCATTATCTCAAGGCAGACCTCGTCGTTCTTTGAGTCACAAGACCACCAGGAAAGCGCCAAACAAGCTCTCAAGATTTAACAGTGATGTCCCAGAAGTCGTTGACAATTAGCCAAGTTGTCACCAAAGGTGATCTCAATCCAGATTCAATTCGGTGAAGGGTGTCGAATTGTGTAAAAATGAGTGTATTGAGATTTTTTTTAGAGAATAGACAGCGAATAAGGTAGATGAATGTGGACTAGGATTAGAGGTAATTGTAGGACTGAGTTTTTGGGTTCACAACTTTTTATTAACTATTAAATTATTAAACTTATTTGTAATTTTTTTAAATTTAATTAGATTTGTGTGATTCATTTATGTGTTACATCAGCACATAACAATATTTTTGACAAAATTGTGACGAAAATGCTACATTGATTTGGGATACTTACTTGCGGACTACATTGATCAATTTTCAATTTCATAGACCATTTTGATGTCACGGGTCAATTTCAGGGACTATTTTGAATGTTGCGGGTCAATTTCAAGGATCATTTGTGAGAAAAAAAGACTTATATGACCTATTTATGTGCCACATCGCGCTTAACAGAATTTTTAACAGAATTGTAATGGAAGAATCACGTTGATTTGTGACACCTATTTTCAGGGACTACATTTTATTGATTTTTAATTTCAGGGATAATCTTGATGATGATGATCAATTTCAGAGATCATTTGTGATAAAAACCTAATAAGGAATTTCCCAAACAAAAACAGGAAGAAAAGGGTATATAAGTAATTTGACATGTTTTCAATCGCAAAAGCAGGACTCTAGACGAGAGCAAGTGATTGTCCCAAAAAAAAAAAAAATACGAGAGCAAGTGATTGTCCCAAAAAAAAAAAAAATACGAGAGCAAGTGAAGCCGTCAACCCTTCTCCCTTTGCTCCCTCTCTTCGTTTTCTCTACTTTTATTTCGTATCGAAGTAGAACGACGATACAAAATTCAGAGACAGATTCTTTCGAATAATCAAAGCAAAAAAATCAAATAAATAAATCGGAGAATAATGGGAAGAGAGGTTCCACAGCAACAGCAGCAGCAGCAGGTGGCGCTCGCTGTGGAGCAGCTGCTCGCCGTGAATCCGTACAACCCTGACATCCTTCCCGATCTCGAAAACTACGTCAACGAGCAGGTCTGTATCTCTATCTCTATCTCTGTCTCTTGATTGAAGGAAATCGATACTTGGGTTTGATTAATTTCCATTGAATGACTGGGTGATTTGCTTATTTTTTAGGTTTCTTCGCAAACCTACAGTCTCGATGCCAATCTCTGCCTTCTTCGCCTCTATCAGGTAATTTGAGAGTTGGGATTTTTAATTATGGTTGTGTTTTGTTTTAGAATTAGTGCGAAAGTGAATTCTTTTTAATTGGTTTATGTTTTGCAATCCATAATTTACTGCAAAAATGAATGCTTTTTAATTGGTTTTTTATTTTTTAGAATTCATAATTTACTGAAAAGCGGAATTTTTTAGTTGGTTTTTGTTTTGGATTGTTTAATTTACTGCAAATTCTTTAGTTGGTTTTTGTTCTAGACTGTATGATTTACTGCAAAGCTGAATTCTTTGTAATTTGTTGTTGGATTTTGTTTTAAATTGTATGATTTACTGCAAAGCCGAATTCTTTGTAATTGGTTTTAGATTTTTGATTCTATAATTTTGCTTGCCAAGCTTTATTCTGTTTAATTGGTGTTTGTTTTTTACTCTGTAATTTACTGCAAAACTGAACTTTGTTGTTTTTTTTTTTTTTTTTTTTTTTTTTTGCTTCGGGTGCAGTTTGAGCCGGACCGTATGAGCACCCAAATTGTTGCCCGCATCTTGGTTAAGGTCTGTATGAATCTTGTGCTTTGAAACCTTTCTTTTATTTGTAATTAAGAAGGGTGTTTAATGTTTATGATTGCTAATTGATGTGCAGGCATTGATGGCAATGCCCTCTCCTGATTTCAGCCTCTGCCTCTTCTTAATTCCCGAAAGAGTGGTATAGTTCTCTCATTCGTTTCCTCCTCCTCACAATGTCATTATTTTCGTTCACGTGTGATGAAGGTTCAAATAGATTGTGCGCTGTGTGTCTGTGAGTCAAAATTGCAGAATGGTTTTCAAGTTCCTTGTTTATTCAGCTCTTATTAGTTTCTGGTTTTCTGTGTTTGTCATCTCGGAGAATTCCATTATCAATGAGATATTTCGGGTTATGGAATGTTATTCTGCTTCTTTGGTCATTGAATATTGTTCAGCTAATTCCCTCTTTTGTTTGCTCTAATAATTCTTTATCAGCAAATGGAGGAGCAGTTCAAGACGCTAATTGTTCTATCTCACTACTTGGAGGTATGTTTCTCTCTGTAGTGTTTGCATTCGGGTCCTCATTACTCATGCATAGCTTATAAACCTACTCATTTCCTTTGCAGACTGGACGATTCAGTCAATTCTGGGATGAAGCATCCAAGAATCGTCACATAGTTGAAGCTGTTCCAGGTATTTTATAGATATGTTTTTTTTTTCTTTTTCCGTGAGATATATGGTTTCGATTTACAGAATTGTTATGGATTTTGTCCAGCTACTGGTTTTTTGACTAACATCTTTCGTTTGTATTATATGGAATGTTGTGTGTTACGCATGGACTTACAAAATAATTGGCTGCAGGTTTTGAGCAAGCAATCCAAGACTATGCAGTTCATGTTCTTTCCTTGACATACCAGAGGGTTCCCAGATCTGTGCTTGCTGAGGTATATTTTTTATATTTATACATATTCCGCAAAGTGTTTAGGACTTCAACGCTTAATCCTACCAGGGGAGGGGCATTGAATTTTTTATATTGGGCTCTGCAAAACGTGTAATCAATTGTGCTGTCACAGGCTATCAACATCGAAGGTTTAGCCCTGGACAAGTTCCTTGAGCACCATGTAGCTAATAGTGGTTGGATTCTTGAGAAAGGTCAAGGCAGGGGTCAACTCATTGTTTTACCTCGAAATGAATTTAACCATCCTGAGCTGAAGAAAAACACTGACGATGGCATCCCATTAGAGCACGTGGCTCGCATCTTCCCCATTCTTGGTTGATCATCGTCTCTGCTGATCTCTGTGCTTATGGACACTCTTGCCATATTTTGAACACAAACTTGAGCATTCTGAGACCAGCTGCAGCTCTAACTTTTACGATTACATGGCTCAGTTGCTTCATTCCGTCTTCGGTAGCTTTGGTTTATTCTGTTTGAGACTTTTGAGTTTTATGTCGAAAACTAGACGGCTGCTTATCCGCGGGATTCCTTGACTGTAATTTTATTGAAGCTATAAATTTTCTTATTCGAAAACTTTTCCGAGGCACCACAAAACCTACTCCTCTCCCTCCTTTCTGTTCTTCCTTTTAGCCGTTTTCGATCGCTTAGATTGATAGCTGTTTCTTCTCAGTTTCGGCTGGCTCCTTGATCATAAAAGAACGAAGACATTTTAGACAAAATGATCTTTGAGATTGACACAACTCCTTTGGTCTTTAAGATTTCAAATCGATAGAAGTGATTATTAAGTTTGCCCACCATCCCTTAATTATAGAAAAACTAATGAAAATGACTTGAAAACTTTGAGTTTTAACGATAAGGACAAAATAAAGGGTAAAGTGATAGTATTAGGTTTGACTTTTTAGTATAAAAATGTGATTTTTCGTTAAAGTGAACAATACCAGGAGTTTTTCGTTAAAAAAGAATCAAAATAACAAAAACACTCTCGATATAATAAGCAATGGGCCAAAATAGTTTGACAAGAAGTGAAGATATTTTGTCATTTTTCTCCTTATTTAATGGAGATTTTCACTGAAGAACCAAAATAATTGACGATGAAAAAACTTAAGAGACCAGCTTTATCGATTTTAAATATTAGGAACCAAATTAAAAAATCATGTTAATATTATACACTATTTTGACTAAAAAACTCTGAACAAATAAAATTTCACCCATATTATTTGCTCGTTATTGTATAAACAATATTATAAATTGACAATCAAACTTTGAACCTCGAATGCAAAATAAACACTCTCAACCAAAACTATTATTAATTAAATGGTAAAACTTTTATTTGGCCAAATTGGACAACTTATTGAATGAATATTTTACAGTGATCTTTATATTAAACGCCAAGTCTTGGCCTAAAATTAGCGCTTAAAGGCAAGAATCGCTGCATCTCCACTTCTACTTCTACAACAGAAGGACCCGATATCCCGCACTTCTTCTCCGGCAATGTCAGTTTTTACGCCGGTCTACAAATTAACACGACGGAAAATAAAAGAATCGACGGCCTGCAACTCTAAAGTGGAGCTCCAACGAGCAATATATTTACAGGTTTGAAATCTACCGTCCACGAACTAACGGAGAAAGAGCTCCTAAGAATCTCTTAACTGTTGACTATTTACTCTCTTGTACTATGGTATAACTTCCGACTGAGATTTCTTTTCTTTTCATGAACAAATCACTGCTGTATCGTACACGACCTGCCTCTAGGAAGAGTATCCTCTCAACGAACGCCGGTTCCACTGCCTTTGTTTCTCCCTTGTTCCTGACATTGGTAACACGCACTCTATAGTTTCTTATCCGTGGATCAGCATCTTTTGGAAAATGCTCGAGCCAAATGAAGGCGGGAGTGTATTACTGAGGAAAATTGATTAAAAACTTCAGTGGCATATCGTCTCTCCGAAGTTGACCCAGTTCACAAAGCTATCGGGATACTCCTCGAGAACGTTGGAACTCTCCCCGTTATGAAAGGACAACCCCGTTCCTGCCTGCTCCTTCCCCTACAGACCCAAAGGCCACAACAGAAGAAGTATTAACGAATGACATCGATGTCATATGTTGAAGCGAAGAAAATTATTTTCTGAAGGAACGAAATTCTACAGAACCTCGGAATTAATCAATTGGTTTCATAAATGGCAACTATTAAGTGACAATATTCATTGTAGATGGTTACTCACCTTCATGCTTGATCCATATTCACTAGTAGATGGAGTAGAATCCCCAATTATTCCGTTAACAACATTCTCCGCTGATAGCCCCTCAATTGGAGATGCAAGTACTGACGACCTGCAATTATTGCATCTCAAGTCTCAGCCAACAGACAATGTTCAATACACCACCCCGAAAAAGAAAAGGAAGAAAACATGCTTTCAGGATTCCCATCCTCTATTTAAATTTTGTTGATCTCTTTTCCATGATCAACGAGAATATTATCTCTTCAGAGCTCAATTAAAAAAGTACCTCTCAAATGGCTCCTCCTCACAAGAATTCCCAGATGAAGATAGCCAGTCCAGGTCAACAAAGTTTGAGAAGTTGTACGTATCTCCACGTTCGGAATAGTAAATATGCTCACTTTCACACCGGTATCTTTGAAACTCTCCAAAAAGTTGCCTGCGAGGCATCGAGGGAGTGTACCTATAGAGAAACCCAAACCATTGAAGCGTCATGATTTGTATAACAAAACCATATCATCCAGTCTTCAGAAATCACAATATAAATGAGTTGAAACATAAGCAATGCACAGAGAAGTTCACTAGCACGTGATATGCCATAAATTCTTCCTCGTATGGTATGGAAAAACAGAGAACATAGAGACAAATAACCAAAATACAGTATCTTATAGGAGTAAAAATTCTCATTTTGTATTTATTAATACCAACCAGATAGAATACAGGATTCATTCCAAAATCAACTATTTCACTCTATGGATCACTCCAAAGTACTTTTTTTAGGTTTCCTAGTTTCTCATGTGCTCTTTGATGAGTTTCTTCTTTTGATTGATTTCTAAATTTTTGATAAGTTACGTAACAATAAAGACTTGGTAAGAAGACCTTGAAAATGCAATATCACTCTCAGAAGTTGATATATCAGGTGATGACTCTGAAAGAATCTTGCTTTCTTGTTGTGATCGATCAGGCATACAAGGGTTTGTAAATTTCTCCTGCTTAACATGTGGGGATGACATAAGTGAGCTGCTTTCTTGAAGAATGTTGCCATCGGAATAAGATCTTTTGAAAGTGGACCTACAGATATAAAAGGGATCAGGTGAGCAAATGGTTCAGCAATCAAATTGTAGGAGCCATGCATGAGTAGAAAGCAGCTGAAAATTACACAATAAATACAAGATTAAACAAGTGTTACGGCCCGTTTATCATTAGTATTTGGTACATGTGTTAATGAAAAGATATCCATCATAAGATCATGCTAGTGAAACCTCATCGCAACATATTCATAGGGGTTAAAGTAAGCACACAAATAAGTGCCAATATTTCATTGGAAGTTTCATTTTCCATTTTGGACCAAAGGCTCCTGTGATGTGGCTAAAAACATACAATGAAACAAAAAGATGATTGAATTAAATTTACTCCTTGAAATACCAAGTTACCAACAGGGTTTTATCAAACTGAGCTAATTAATGTCAGAAAAATCGCATAGGACTTATAGGAAATTCCAGCATGACTTGTGCAATGCATGGAGACTCAAATTGATTTATTCTATCTGACAAAAATAATGATTCTCAAGGCTTTGATTGGGCTACTACACACCTTCCATCTAGATCCTTATCTTTTGGTTCATCCTTCCCGGAGTAAAAATTCTGGTCAGAATCCAATTCCCACAGTGCAGGTTTGCCTTGTTGTGGTTGAAAATGCCCTAGAAATCTGCTCAAAATATAAAAGGAAGAAGTAAATTCTAGCAGTATATGCATGAAATAATAAAAATTAACATAAATCAACGCAAGCATCGGCAAACAGAACTTCTAAAAGACCAGTTTCAACGACAGGCGACAATAACTGTACAATAAGTTATAACTAACAACCAGAAAAGGACACTTTAAATCAGGGGAAAGAATTAGCCTCTTAACGGTGCCAAAGTTGAAAACAGTTAAACAAGAAAATACAAGACTCGGACTTGGTGCAGAACTTACACATTAATTGCATCTTGCTTCTCTGTATCCATGTAAGCATTGCTGTAATACCGTTGAAGAGTTCTAAAGAATTCCTGAGACTGAGTTGCTGCTCTCCACTGACCCCTTCTCTCAGAAAACATCTGTACAGAATTACAAGTTCAAAAGTTTCAAAGAACCATAGTGAAATAAAGAATCAAGGTCATTGTATAACCAATGATTTTATTTCATTTATTTATGTATGTTTTTTGAGTTGGATCTAATCAACCATCAGATCCAAAGCATATTAATTCAACAAAAATCGAAATCAAATTTATTACCTTATTATGTGCAGCGGAACCACCATACTGGTGTGCAAGTGTGTCACCCATTCTTTCGTAAAATCCCATCAAATCTTCAGCCAAAGTAGCATCAAGATCTATCCTTGGATTGTCTATAGCTCCCAAAGCATGAAGCTGGTGTCCCAATGCAGCCAACCCATATGCATACTGAGCAACATTTGTGCGATCCAGACAGTCTATGCAATTGGTTCTAAGCACCCCGCTCTGGAACATGGATGGCTTGACAGAATGATTACCATTTGCAATATTTCTGCCTCCACTTGGTTTACACTCTATGTTATCAGCATCCCCATTACCATTAGCTTCCCCATCACCATTAGCATTATGTATTTCGGGAAACAAGTTACTGTCGAAATGCCTGTTCCACATTACACTGTCAATGTTTTAACAACGCGATTTTCTGAAGAGCATTATACAGCAGCAAACCTCTTATGAGATTATATTTATCTTATCCTTTGAGTTACATTTTTACTAGGGTAGTGAACATAGAAGCGAAACCACTTTCTCAAAGAGAGTGCCCAACAGGAAACGGAAAATTGTTCCCCAGTCTAGATGCACGCAGAAAACTGGTTCAGATCTTTTTCAATTTAGAGAGAAGAATAAAAGTTTCCCCAGGATTTAGTGAGGCACACCAGTAACAAAAGATGCACAATAAAGGACCGGTTCTATCTGCACTTTTTTCTTTTTTGTTCCAATGACTAAAAAGAACAAATGGTGAAAATCATAACAGACAAACAGCAATTGTTCTCAACACATCAGAAATTGTACAAAATATTTGTATGGTTCATATATCCAATAGTAGGCATGCACAAATATTATTGGAGCATGAAAACTATTAAACGAGATGACAACTTACCCAGAGGAAGGCCACTTAATGACACCGTCAGGTCTCAGTGCTGGGTTAACTTGACAATAGAAGAACCCAGTTAGTGTCAATGCATATGTAGCCACCTTGCCCAAGAGTAGTAAAGCATCCGTAGCTTTGCTGGACGGAGGAGAAACAAGGGTAACATTTTCAATCATAATAATTTAGGGTGCCACATTATTAAATTAAATATTACAAATCAACCAGAAGCTATACCTCCGGGGATGTTTGTGGAGGTCCCAGTGAAGGAATTTCAGACGGTTCTCATCAGATAGGTCTTTATTAATGAAATCAATTGCATTAGCAAACTCTCTACGTAGTATCGATTCTCGAGGCCTCTTCTCTTGTGTCTGTTGATTGGCGAAAAAGAAGATAAAGAAACTAATAATTAGAACAGAAACATGAACCAAGAGGGCAAGAGGGCAAGAGGAGAACCAAAAAGAACATGCCAATTTCAGATCAGCATGTGTACTACATTTAGGCTCAGAAGGCAGATTCTAGGTGAAAATTAGTTTCTTCGATGACATGCAGTTCGAGAAAGCAAGAAAATAAAATGATGAATATTAATATGATACAGCATCAACATAGAATCTCTCGCTAATGAAATTTACCTTGATCAGATTCAATATAATAATGGGGTTCCCATATCTCTTAACAAGATTTTCAAAGTGCAGCCTAGTGGCTTCATAGTTTTGGTCCTTTTTTGACACTGGAAGGAGACAAAAAATTAGTTACAGGAATTCACAGAATAAATCTTGACAGATGCAGCTTATGCAAGGACATACATATTATATCTGGTTTGATATTTAAACGTGAGGTTTCCTGTGACCAAAATAGAGGGATTGAGCCCCGGTTCTGCACAACAGAACTTATCTGCATCGGAAACCCCTCAGGAACATCCTCACAGACAATCTGTTCTGTCTCAACGTCATTAGCTACTCTTCCCTCTTCATTAACACCACGTTTCAGATACCTATATGAGTAAAAGCAACAGGTGAGTCATGCACAATCCACACATGTCGATAAGTGTGTGAACCTCCGAGAAATCTAAAGTTATACAAGGGTACTATGAAATAAAATATCACATCACAATTTTGACAATCATGGTAAAGATCATCCCATCACTTAACTTCTTTAAAGTACGGACCACAAAATCAGCACAATAAATCCCAGATGTACCAGAATAGCGGGTTCCTGATTACATTTTACAGGATTATTCAAACCCAGTAGCCACCAGTTCGAACATACTCACCAGGAAGCCAATACAATTTTCTCAAACCATGTCAATGCATCCATTTACATTAAGCATGGAATTTGATAAGGGAACCAAAGTATGAATGCCGCCTCACCTGGTGCCTGCATAATGACGTGAACGTCTTGCAATAAGGGTCAGCTTGAAGTCACGTCCAGATATAGAGAGAGTGGCCTACATTTAAATATCATTAATCCATCAGTATAAAATTCTAAAATAAAGATCAAAACGAGGGCAGAAAGATTGCACTCAAGTTTTGCTATAAAATATGAAACAGACAGAGCAGGTAAAGATTTTAAGAAAGTAAATAACACAAAAGCACATTCACTTGAACAGATAATCTTCTACAGGACTTCACTCCACTCACTCCACAAAGGAAACCAAAGATGTGAGCACCTTTGTATTAAAAGGCAGTAACAGGTACTAAATTTTGTAGTTAAAATAATTTACATAAAAACAGCGCCATTAACGGGTATATCTGAAACCTGTACTAAAGTACCATGTGTTAAACTAACCAGATGAAGCATTAATAGCTTCTTTCCAAATTGCCTAAAAACCCTTCAAACTTCACCTGTTTAAAGAAGCCATAAACCAATGCAACCGTCCAAAGAGTATTTTGGAGGTGATTCCGAATTCCCCGAGTTAAAAACTCATTCCAGACAAACATGGTTTCATAAAGGACATTTCCTGTCTCATTCTTACACATGTTCTTTTGCAGACTACGCATAACATGGTATGAGTAGCTGAAAAAGAAGTCCTTTGTAAGGTCCACTGTGCATAAGAGCTTCTTGTATCTGAAGCCATCAAAGAAACAGAGAAATTATTAGCTGTTAAAATCAGACAAAAATTTAGAATAAAACATATGGTAAGAAAAAATAGCCAATTGGGTGAATTGTAACACAGAATATGAAAGGATTTTACACCATAAACCTTGGTAACACAATGCTTCTCCATAAATGGATAAAAAATGTAACTAAAATTCAAGAACTATGTCCTAATATTTGCAGAATTTCATTTAAATATATACCACATGCAGACAAACAAAAACCAGCAATTAATTTGGGAATGAAAAAATCAACCCCTTTATAACTTGTACAAATGATTAAAACGAGGAGATGGAGAACAATTCAAACTGTAAAGATATACTAATCCTAATCTAGAAGCCCAGACAGCATATCATGACATTATTATAAACCGAGGGGGAAGAATGTCACATCGTAAAAAAAGTAATTCCCTTCAAATAGATGAATAAAATACAGTTTTTTTTCTGAGCAATATTCATTGTTTCCTTCAACGTCCCCTAACTAAATACATGTAAAAGAAAAATGGACTAAAGACCTGTTTTCATTTTTAGAATTAGTAGTACTGGATTGGACAGAAGAATTCAGAAGCGGTATCATTTCACTCTTGGAGACTGCATATACAGTATGACCACAGATTGCGCCTATTTGTCTTCTTTTCGTGATAAGCAGCATGTAATAGGGCCCTAAAAATTTAACGAATCCTGAAAGCAGAAACCTAAAATGAGTAGTGAAATTATTTTAATTTTTCATTAGTTGCACAAGAAAGTGATGTCAAAGTCCTATACCAACAATTCCATAACAATTGGTGACAAACTTCAATCCACCGGTAGCCTTATTCCCTTCATGTATCCGCCACAACAGGTCAGAACATTCTCTTTCAGTGTACGTGGTAGAATCTTCACGAATGTTAAGCTCACAAGGGTCCAACCGGTCAATCTTTAGTACTCTCCAATACGTTCTACTCTTATCTCTCCCGATCATGTAAAAGTTCTGAGGCATGAAAATGAAAATGTATAAGTTAGTACGCATCAAAACGCAGTTTCCACGAAGTATAATTAACATTTAAACTGATGAAAATGCAGCAATAACTAAACATGTCATAAATCAACAAAATTTGAGATTTCATATGGAGGCAATACAATAAAGCAAACACATTTCTGATTCAAACTTCACAATTAACCAGTGTAAACAATTTCAGCCCACCAAATGACAAGAGATTGAATAAAAACGGATCAAATGGAGCTGAACCATTACCGCTCGTGTCTCGTAAAGCCGGAATTTCTGCATATCTACGTGTTGGGAAGGAGCCCGAGTTTCGCCGCCACCCAATTGAGACATAGGCTCATTCTCTGAGGACGCCATCGATTCAAGCTTCGAAATTTTCAGATCCCCGAGCCTCAGGCTCAGGGTTTCTATCAGAATGGCATGCACAGAACAACCAAATCAGCCACACAAAATCTTGTACGACCGAAGAACTACTCGAACTTCATTCACCTAACGAACCCCATGTATGAATTGTGGGATTTGGCTGCTTCAAATACAACATTCACAATCAAAATCCCAGCTTTACAAGAAACCAAAAAAATAAAAAACCTTCAGCTGCAGACTTTGACCTTGCCAATTCCAGCTCCTCCTCTTCCCATTCGCAAAACCAGGGAAATCGAAATCTGGGTTCGATTCGGCAAAGTAAGATTGAGCTTTTCCTGGTATAAATTTCTGATCTTTTCGAACGAGCAAATCGAATAAAGGGGTCGGAGAATCAAAATTTTCAGGGATCGAATAACCCAATTGCCAAAATTAAGCAGCCAATTGGAATATATACGTACAATTATAGATATTTACAGAGAGAAAACGCAGAGACAAAAGATAGAGGAGAGAGAAAATGGAGGTTTGAAAATGGAAGCTTTATATGGAAGGGAAAAGCAACTCGGAGAATATCAAGCAGAAAATTTTGGGGGCGGAAAAAGATGATAAATATAAACGAAAAATTAAAGAAAACAAATTGTGGAAAAATAGAAGAGTTGGGAGGTTCGGGAAGAGAAGGGGGTTGAGAGCTCAAAAGACAAGAGCGCTGTAGAAATTTAGGAAAAAAACATAGGAACAGACCTAATTATTGCTCATGATGTTTTAATATTATTATTTTATTTTATTTTAATCTAAGTTTATTTTAATAAGGTTTTCATTTTATAGAAAGCGAATTATGATCACCTGCTTGCAAATTCACGATAGTTTTCTCTTGTAAGGACCAAAAGGATCACAAGAATACTTTAACTTCCCTTAATTGCTATCGTGTAATTCATTATGACAAAAATCAAACTCATAACAAACCGTATAGAGTACCGAATTGAAATTCGCCTAAATGTTGAGCCACCCGTGGTGGTTAATTTTTTTTGTACGGTTTGGTATTTTTCTTTCAGAAAAAGGGAAGGAGATCTCACAGACCCAAAGGTGGCCACAACCTTGGGTGACCGCTCAGTCAGTCCACATATTATTTAATAAGTTTTTTTTTTTTTTTAAAACTTCATATGGTTTTTTATTTTTTTATTTTTGGAAGAAATATGATTTATATTCTTAATTTATTGTGATATATTTTATGTAATTAGTTGCTAATTTTGGCTAATTTTCACTATAATTATTTGCTAATTTTGGCTGACCTTGGTTGCTATTTAATTCCTTTTATCGGCCGACATAAATACCAATTATTGAAGTTAATTAATTGACCATAATGATCGTGTTCATTAGTCTAATTGCCAATTGTAAAATTTTTGACTTTTTGTTGCTTTTTAAAGATTACTAATCTTAAAGGTTAGTTATTGTAAGAGTTTGATTAAGTAAATTAGACGCAAAAAGCATCATGTCGTAATTAGACCATCGTAATCACTAATCAATGCTAGAAAAACAGAAATTTCAAATTTATCCTATTAATTTGGAATTAATACTTCGTTTTATCTACAATTGGCATTAGTAAGTTCTATCACAATACTTTCAATTTATGAATATATGATTATATAGAAGCCTAGGGATTTGGCTAATAATTGGTGAAGGCAAGACGGGGTCCAAAGTAGAATTATGTTACGTATGTGGAACTATCAATTGTACAAAAGAAATTTCAAACACTAGATACAAACAATATTGTGTAAGAAAAGAATCAAGTTTGAGACATCAACAATGAGCAAAAACTCATAATTAATTGAGTTAAAAATCCTCTGCTGAAAAGTTATTACTTAATGTGGTCTGGTTTGGTTATTACTTGGTTTATCTTGTCATATTTTCTACACAGCTGGTGAACTACGTAAGTTTTCATCTCACTACATTTCTCAGGATATTCATAAAATGCTAGTATAAACGTGTTGATCGTCAGCAAACCCTAGCACCGTAACCCTAACCCTAACCGCACTTGCTACAGTATAAACACTGTAAACAAGTAACAACTTCACAACTCATGTGTTATGAAAGGAACGAGTCACTCACGGACTGCCGAAAAGAGAAAGTTCCACTAGCTTTGACTTCAATGGCCGTACCAGAAACTACGACTGTGAAATATATCAGTTCTTATTGATTTATTTATTTCCAAAGCATGCATTTTGATGTTGACAAAATATATATTATATATTTTGCTGATCGCTGATATCGGACGATCGCCAGGTGGATGTGCAGTGCAGTTATGAAATTAAACCACTCTGATTTCGTCCTGATGCAGTTGCATCCACGATTTCTTGTCATTTTAATTTAACACCTGTCACTCTGCTGTATATATAGCTAATGATTGAAATTGATTAGCATTACCGTTCACATTAGCATATTGACCTTAACAAAATAGAAACGTGTTTCCTAGTTCAAAGCATGATCAATTATTCAAAACAGAAACGTGTTTCATAGTTCAAAGCATGTTCAATTATTGATGCTTTGGTGAGATTTCCATGTGCTCAAAGTCTCCATATGATTTGCAAGCAAGGTTTTGAAAAACGCTAAGCATTAGTCGAGATGATGATCAAATCAAGTGTCTAAGCAAGGTGTTGACGAATCAAGCGAATTCAAGTAAATTTATTAAATTTTGTAAAAATAAGTTTATGTTTATACTTAAAAAATATATAATTGTATTAAGATACAAAAATTGAAAAATAAAATACATATAAATTAGAAAGTATTAGAACATATTGAAAACATGAGGAACCAGAATATAATGAGTGTTTATTCAAGTATTCAATAAGTCTCTTACAATTTGTTTAAAAAAAATAAAATGTAAAATAAAAGTTATTTATTTTCTGTTTAAGTAAGAGTCGGGACCTAAGTGGATGCCTAAGCTAGTCTAGGCAGGCGGCTAGATGGGCTAAGCAGACATCTTTCTTAATTTTAAACGCTAAGGGGTTAATCAGGACGATGACCAACCGCCTAATGTCACTTAATAGTGTTTGCAAGGGAGTTTGATTGGACCAATTTTTCGATATGAATATCGTATCATTGTTATTGTCATATTCTCTAAAGTAAGAGTTAAAAATTGTTAAGAGTTATCAATCTAAGTCTGCATATAGTTAATATAGGCATACATCATGATTGTATTTTAAGAATTTAAGACATAGTATTAATAGATGAATACACGTGTTGTGCATACCTGAGTTTAGCAAGCTGACTAGAGAATATTGTGCTTCACCCCATATGCATCCAAGTTCTCTCCTTGTTGTTTAGATTATTTTAGTGTAATTATCCGATCGTTTGAAGAAAAAAAATACACTTGCTATAACATTAAAGAATTTATAACGGTGTCGTCGTCACATTAAAAAAGTTTATCGTAAATGTAAACTCTCGTTGTGTTTAAAGAAAGTTGCATAAACTCACTGGCAATATGACAAGTAACTCAACCTTTTATAAGCCCTTGTAATGCTTTTCTTTCCACCAACTATGTGAGACTCTTTTACTCATTTATGTGAGACTCTTTTGCATTCACATCCTCACACGTCCCCCTGTGAGACTCTTTTACCTTTACATCCTCACATGTCCCCTAGGTAATGGATTTTGTGAGACTATTTTACCTTGACATCCATGCGTGCTTTGATACAATGAAAAAAGTTAGGGCTTAGCATAAAATCAATTGGTAATATGAAGATTAGTTCAACCTCTTATAAACCCTTACAAGATTTCTTATTTCACCGATGTTGAACTCTTTTACCTTCACACCTCATAATGTTAACAACCATACCCCAACCACGAGGTGTTGCCATCACAAACAACAACTTTATAATGCTTAATCAATTTGGCTGGGAAGTGGGCACTGGTAGGCTGTTGTGAACTGGTGAGCCAGCATATACCATATGGGTGAGGCAAGCTTGAGTATATACCATATGCAGTGTTAGTAACCAAACCATATTCTTTTCTTCTATGAACGACCTACCAACTATAATAATACACAGAAGTACAAAAGAGGTCTTTTTTATTGTTTTTTTCTTTCTTTTGATAATACTAGTTCCTTGTTAGGCACGTGTGAAATCATTGCTAATTTGTTAAGGATATCATTCAACTCATTTGATAATTCGATTCCTTTATATATTAATCAACCGTAATGTTAACAGAATCCATGAATTTCCCCGCTCTCCTCTTAATTAAAAGCATAGAATTTCATGAGCTTTGCGTAAATACCACCCAAACAAAACAGCTTGCCAATTTTTCATTCACGTAGAGGTAACTCTATGAAAACCTCCCTAAAAAAACTCTTTTAAACTCACCATGTGTCTTTTTAACATGTTTGTTCATTACTCCGAAACTCCTAAATTAGGGACAAAACCAGAATTTCAAGATGGGCTGGACTGAATATCCGAAAAAATATTATTTCTTACTGAAACATTGTTTTGACAACGAAGAAAATATATCTCTACAACGTTTTTCAAGAAGAATTGATAAATTACAATATTTGAAGTAGCATCCTAACCAACAGTATAGAGCACATCAGCCTCCCTCACAGCTGGGACAGTAGTGGTTATGATTGTCCATTAAAACGTCTCCACATCTATAGCAGAAAGCAGTTCTGCACCTGTAATAAAAATATAAAAAAAACAGAAATTCAAAGTGCATTCAAGAATTTACTGAACGAAACTAGTTGAAATAGTGTCGAGTAATTTGTATATTACAGGTTAAATACAAGCAGAGCAATGGGGTAATGCCTATATCAAGCTCTAAAAAGCGGAAAGCTTGTTCGTATATATGTAGTAAATTTACAGGTTAATTTGTAGACTAGTCATATAAACGAAGAAAATTCAAGTTTAAGTTCTGTAGCAGAAAGCAGTTCTGATCTAGAAAGTATTTATGTTTCTTCTCGTTCTTTTTGAACGTAGCCAAACAGTGTCAAACAGTCACGCTTCAAATGAAGCTGAGGCTGAAGCTGAGCGGAGCAACTATGCCAGTTATTATGTCAATCTATCATCATAGTTCTGTTCACTCTTTTCACAAATCTAGTAAAATGTATCGAGGCATGGCAGCCTTATTTCTCTACATACTCCTTCGGAACTCCAGATTACTCCTCATTTCCCAGGCAAGGACAAAGGATTCTAAAGATAAAAAATTTAGCTCAAACACATTTGTTATTTGAGAATATAACCTTAACGGAGGTGACAGAAAGCCAACAATTTCTTCAACTACGGATTTATTATTGTATTGTAAAGCTACTCACGGGTAGATGGTTTTCAATCATCTGAATTCCGGGGAGTCAGCAATTGCTGTTTTAGAGGTTGAACGAGATTACGAAGTGAGGAATCTGCTTTATATTGTTGATGCTTAATATATAAAATTTTGCGCAATGGTATTTGCCTTCTAAAGTTGTACTAACTGGTTTTGTTTATCCAATGCAGTTTCGTCATCTTTGGTTCTTATCTAACTTTAAACAATAACGAGCAAAACACGAGAACATAATCAACCTCATGAGATTTACACAACAACCAAGGAAGGCAAAGCAATCGAATTCCAAGTGATTTGATTATAACAGCAACAAACAATGAAATTTTTACTGCACATGAATAACCAAGAAGTAATTTCAACAAATAATTGAAGTAGCATAGCAGATAAAAAACTGACCTGTACATCTTCATGAACATGTGCAACCCCCCGATTTTTCCACATAGAACCTACATTTGGGGCATCTCCTCCATTGTTGCTTCTGCGCAAGGTCCATCAACATGATATATGTTGGGGAAAAAATTTAGAGTACACAACTCTAACACAATTGTTGGAGAGACAACACAAGTAAACAAATTACTTGTATTACACTCACAAGGACACAACTTTAGAAGCAATGACACTCACTTACTTTCTAGAGACACTCTAGATCACTCACACTCCTACAAGACTACTCTTAGTTCTCACTCTCACTTGGTTGCCTACTTCTTCTTGGTTTCTTACTTCTTGGCTACAAGCTTACAACACCGCACCCATATTTATAGGGCATGTTTGACGACTTATACATTCACTAGAATTTTCTAGTGCATTGATCATGCACACTTTTCCATCTCTTTTGCTAAATCGACTTGGGCTTTTTATAACAACCACACAATTTGGCTTCTAGGTCTTTCTACAATCAACCCACCGACTTGGGCTTGCATGACAACCTTACAATTGTGCACATTGCTAGAATTTTCTGGATTTGTGTAGAATGGGCTGGGGTTGGTCTCTTTTAACACTCCCCCTCAACACCAGCTCATTCTTTTCTCCATGCTGAGTTGACGACGAAACTTTTCAAACTTGCTGGTACTCAAACCTTTAGTGAACAAGTCCACAACTTGTTCATCTGTATTGATTTGTCTCATTTCAATCTCTTCTTGCAAGACCTTCTCTCTAATGAAATGATAGTGTACCTCCACATGTTTAGTCCTTGCATGAAAGACTGGATTTTCCGCCAAGCAAATTGCCGATTGGTTATCACAGTACAATGGTACTGGATAATCTACTGGTTGATGTAGATCACTCATCAACTGTACCAGCCATGCATTCTCTTGAGCTGTCATTGATGTTGCTCTATACTTTGCTTCTGTGGTTGACAAAGACACCGTTGGTTGTCTCTTGCTGCACCACGAAACTACTCCAGAACCAATTATGAAGACATACCTAGTGGTCGATCCTGGTGTCATGATCTCTTGCAAAGTCTGCATCACAATAGCTAGCCAACCAACTTACCGTCTTCACCTTTCTTGTACAAGAGACCATAGTCAATTGTACTCTTTACATATCTCAATATTCGTCGAACCGCTTCTAGATGAGGCTTCTTTGGATTTTGCATGTACCGACTCATCACACCAACTGCATAAGAAATGTCAGGTCAAGTCAGAGTCAAGTAGATTAGACTACCTACCAGTTGTCGATACATTGTTGCATCTTCCAAGCCTCTGCCTTTATGTGCACACATCTTGGCATTAGGTTCCACCGGTGTTGAGATTGGCTTACATTCAAGCATCCCAAACTTCTGCAACAAGTCTTTTGCATACGTACTCAGGATGAGCTTCACTTTTAAAGCCCATTGGCTGCATCATGTAGATCTCCCGATCTAACTCTCCATGCAAGCAAGCATTCTTCACATCCATCTGGTATAGATTCCAATCTTTGTTAGCTGCAAGTGCAAGTAGGACTCGTACGGTCGTAAGCTTTGCTACTAGACTAAACATTTCATCATAGTCTAGTCCATATTGCTGAGAGAAGCCTCGAGCCACCAACTGAGCCTTGTACCTTTCAATTGAACCATCAGGACGACGTTTACCTTGTACACCCATTTACAGGATATGGGTTTCACATTCCTTGGCTTTGGCACCAAATCCCAAGTCTGATTCTGCTTAAGCGCAATGATTTCTTCTTCCATAGCTCTTATCCATTCAGAACTCTGTGATGCATCTTCAAACGTCTTAGGTTCTTTTACTACTCCATCAACTATAGCATCATTGGCATATTTAGGATTTGGCTTTTGTACTCTTGTTGACTTCCTTAATTGTGATTGTGGAATTTATTCTTCCACTTCACTAGGTCTAACTTTTCCTGGTTGTTGATACACACCAGTTTGCTAATGGCTCTTAGGTACTTCTTGCTCGACATCGTCTCCAGAAAACAAATCTTCAGACTCATCTGGACTTGATTAGATTTGGGCAGCTTGGTCTCCCAGTTTCCCCTGCAACGTATCTTTAAACTCTTTCGATTCGGGCAACGCCTCATTTTCTGAGCACCAACAAGATGATGCTTCTGCGTCTCATTCTTCCTCCACGGCTAGAGACTCTACGACATCCCAATCATCTTCACTTTTCTTCTCTGAGTTGGTGACGTTACTTTCTGCAGGCCTTTTGAACTAGCAATCCTTCGCCATATGGCCCTTTTTTCCACAATTGTAGCACTTGCCCTCAAACCTTTTATTATTCTAGGAATGACCATGGTTGCCGTGATACTTCGGAGCTCCCCCTGACCAAGAACTCCCTCATCCTTGATGACCTTTGTCACCATTTGTTTTAAATCCTCTGCCAACACACCACTTAAAGCTACCTTTACTTTCGGTGTAGAACGCTTCCTCCACACCTTTTGATGAGACCCCTCCCATTTGCTTTGCCAAAGCTTCTTGATCGGCAAGCAAATTCTCAAATTCAACAAGTGATGGTTGGGTCAGCCATCCTTGTATTGTACAGCGGCAACGAAGCCTCGATATTCGGGTCTCAATCCATGGATAATTATTTTTTTTATCCTGGATTCTACAATGGCAGCACTAAGATCTAACTCAGAAATTTCACGGCAAATAGACTTTACCTTGTGGAAATATTCGGCAATCGTCATGTCTCGTTGGGTCATCAATAACAACTAATTCTCGAGAAGCTGCAATCTTGTATCATTCCCCTTTGAAAAGAGTGTTGCGAAGGTGTCCCACACTTTTTTCGGTGTCTTGGCCTTCCATATGTGCTCCAACATGTCATCCTCGACTGTGGTTTTTAGGGCGAACATGGCTTTCCCTGCCTTGATCTTCCACTTTCGCAAAATGCTGCTAGTGTCTTCTTCCGGCTGCGTAACTTCATTACCGCCGACGACATCCCAAAGATCTTGGCCTTGTAGGTAAGACTCCATACACGTCGCCCATGTGTTGTAATTTTTGTTGTTCAACTTCTTGATTCCTCCAACAACTTGAAGATCTCCCATTGTGTTGGCAGAACTTCGATAAGCCGAACAAGACTGACGAATAATCTTGCGAAGTACTAAACTTCTCATGATTCTCAAAAGCTTCACTAGAGACGGTCCCTGATCATACCGCTCTGATACCAATTGTTGGGGAAAAATTTAGAGTACACAACTCTAACACAATTGTTGGAGAGACAACACAGGTAAACAAATTACTTGTATTACACTCACAAAATATTACAACACTCACAAGGACACAACTTTAGAAGCAATGACACTCACTTACTTTCTAGAGACACACTCTAGATCACTCACACTTCTACAAGACTACTCTTAGTTCTCACTCTCACTTGATTGCCTACTTCTTCTTGGTTTCTTACTTCTTGGCTACAAGCTTACAACACCACACCCATATTTATAGGGCATGTTTGCCGACTTATACATTCACTAGAATTTTCTAGTGCATTGATCATGCACACTTTTCCATCTCTTTTGCTAAACCGACTCGGGCTTTTTATAACAGCCACACAATTTGGCTTCTAGGTCTTTCTACAATTGTGCACATTGCTAGAATTTTCTGAATTTGTGTAGAATGGGCTGGGGTTGGTCTCTTTTAACAATATCCTCCTTTTCCCTCTCATCCTTATTCAACTTTAGAAACTCCTCGCATTTGATCCCCTCATGCCAAGGAACCTTACACTGAGCGCAGAACATTCTCCAACAATTCGGACACACCGATTGCCTCACAACCTCTGTCCCATCATCAATCAACATTGCAGAGCAATCCTTATAGGGGCAGTAAAATTTCTCTGACCCAAGAATAACGGCCTCACACAATGCACTTCCCCGCCGATAAAACACCTCTGGAGGCAGAATCGGCCGGCAATACTCCGGCTCCAGCAACCCTATACAATTCGGAACAGGGCACCTAATGCTGGTAATGTTATCTTGAAGCTTGGAGACCACGTATTTGACCATGCAATCAGTACAATATGCATGACTGCAATTTTTTATGTCAAACCTGTCGTGTGCTTCCTTGTGTTCCACGCAGATTGTACACACAAAATCAGCCGGGTCATCAACATCCTTTGAAATATTAGAAGACTCCCCAAAAGTTAACACATATCAAGTCTCAAGCTCTAATACATACATTTTTCATTTTATTACTCCTTTGAACAAGATCAAAATGAACATTCACAATGATCCAGTATCCACATGTAAATAAGATATAGAGTTCCGTGTAAACATTAATCTACCCAAGGTGACTGTAGTTGCAACTAGAATTTATATTCATATATACGACATTAGGTTAGGAGCGTTAACTATTTATTGGTCATTATTTGTTAGGTAAATTTTTGGAGGGAGGGTTGGAGGGCTTGAGGCTTTTAAGAAACTTGGTTTCTTCAGCTTCATCTTCATTTTAATCATCATGTCACTCAAGATATTTCTTTGATTCTGTTGTATCATTTATCGACCTACCCGAATCTTAATTAGGTTAGAAGTTTGGGAATAAATAGTTTCATCTTCTGCTCGGCCCTTCCCACACCGAGTTCATCGACTTCGGCCACACAACGTTATCGAACTGTAAAGATCAAAAGATTTCAACCTAACCCAATAAACGAACGGAAATTGTACGTGTAAAGAAAAAAGAAAAAGAAGGAGAGGAGTACCTGGAATTTAATATATCAGTTCAATATCTACTGAGGAAAATGCTTGTGAAGAACAATGAAATTAAGAAATCGGGGCTCATGGAAGAACCTTGACCTCAAAATTAGCTTAATGCTATTTGCTTAACAATTCTCTACACTTAATTAAATAACTCTCTACACTTCACAAGAAAATAGTGGAAGATAAGTACTGCCATATAGAAGTTCTTTAGCCATTACGAACGTCATTTTGCTACAAACGAGGCCCTATCCTAACAACTAGAAAAATAAATGTGTTTTTTAATCAATATAAAATTGCATACAAACTCGGTTGGAGTTTGAAGCTGCTGAGAAATCTTCACCTTTCCAATGATCCATACTCAGAGCTCAAGCACAGAAACCTTGGCCTTTGGCTTCACCACCGCGAGAATCGATGCTAATGTGACTAGTCGATTTTTCATTTTTGGTTGTTTTAAAACTAAACTTAGGAAAATTTTCACAAACACCACATAAGGGAGTATCACGAAAAGACCGTGGTGCTTTCAAGGATAGGATTGTCTAGAATTTCATTAGGGGCCTGGATTACTGGTTTTTGTGCTAACCTTGGTAGAGGCGAGGTTCTAGCTAGCTACTACATTTTGGGGTGTTTTTATTGGTATGAAGCTTGTGTGAATAACGGAATTGAGAATATTTTGGTGCTTTCAAGGATAAAATGTTGAAGTTATTTATTGATCATCCTTTGGGAAGTTTGGTTATGAATTATTATAATCTTTTCAAAAAGTTTGTCTTATGAATTTCTGAAAATTTATCATGAAACCAACTTTGTTGCTAATATTTTGGCCTTTCCAAGATTATCCTGCAATCGATGTCCCTTTTTTTGGTGAGTTCTTCCTTTTCGCCATTTGATACTAATCGCTAATATTGCTTGCCTGGTTGGCTTTGTGACATTTTTATGTAGTTTTTCTTTTCTTTCTGAAATTATGCCTAGTTGTCGACCAAAAAATAAAAAGACACATGTTTGTTATTTCTTTTTCTGCTAGGTTTATATACTTATGATCCTAAATTTACTTTGAGAATAGCCAATTTTTTTGAACATCATATAAGCATAGATCCCAATTAAAGATAACAAAGTAAAAATACCATAACTTCATGTTCAATAGGCACAGAAGCATTGTTTCTGACACGATGCAAGCGCACAAACTTTCAAACAGAAAATGTCAACAAAATCAATTACTGAACGAGTTCAGATAAAAGTTGATGAAATCAAGTACAATATAAGTTCCAGAAGATACAAACACAAAAAATAGTTATACCAAGTATTTGGAATATTTGATGTATTCTTCTCCAACGAAATAGTAAAACCAAGTATAAGGAAATATAGATAGGAATAGATTAGGATTCAGCACTGCAACTCACAACACAAATTTCATACGGATATAGAGTACCATATGATGAACCAAATCCAAACAAGAATATTATGAACTGATCAGCACTTCAACATGAACATGCAAACAATCAAATTTTCACAAAGCACTTGCCCAACTGTCAAACAGGTCAGGAGGGAGAATGGGACGACAATGCTCGGGACTTAGCGAACCTGAAACGCAATCAGGAGTGGGGCACGGAATGCTTACGATGTTCTGTCGAAGCTTGGTGGCCACGTGCTTGATCATGCAGTCCTTGCAATAAGCATGTCCACAGTTTTCTAGGGCAAACCACTCGGATGAAACCTTGTGCTGAACACAGATTTCACAAACAAAAGAAGAGTGGTTGTTGTCGGAGGAGTGTTCTGGTTCATCATCCCACTTTTTGGCAGGAGGAATAGTACTATTTTTGAGATCTTCTAGTTCTCCTTCCGTAGGTGTTCTACTGAAGTCAAGGTTGGACCTGGCAGTATTGGGCAACCTAACAACTTCTTCTTCTTCTTCTGATGGATGCCAAGATTCTTCTGACCTAACCTCTTTTTCTTCTGCTTGGTAACATCTTTGATCTTCTACTTTGGATTGGTAACAGTATTGATCATCTTCTTCGTCATCTTCTTGGTACTGATCTTGTCCTTCCTCTGGCCTAACTTCTTCTTCTTTTTCTTTTTCTTCTGCTTCTGATTGGTACCGAACTTCTACTGGTCTGTCTTCTTCGTCTAATTGGTACTGACGTTGATCTTCTTCCTTCTCCTCTTGCCTAACTTCTTGTTCTTCGACTTCTTCTTCACTGAGAGGAGTGGAGTTAAGATCAAGTTTGATTCTTTTATTACCCACGTCATCGTCGTCATTGTCATCATAACCACCATCATCATAATAGTCCTGATCATTGCCGTCGAAGTCATCATGATCATCATCACAACCTCCTACTTGTTGGTCCCAATCTTCTGGCCAAACTTCTCCCTCTAAGTTATATCCTTCGGCGCCTTCACTGGGAGCAGGAGTGGAGTTAAGGTCAAGTTTGATTTCTTCAACTTCTTCTACTTCACCGTCACCGCAATCCCTTTGCTTTGCGTTGTTGGACCAAGTACTCTCCAAGAACATCCTATCGTCATCTTCTTCATCAGTAGAAGCAGGCATGTTTAGATCCAAGTTAATCGTTTCATTTATTTTCTCCGTTTTGTCGGAAGAAGTACTCGAACTTGACCTAGTACTTTTTACTTCTTCTTCCTTATCGCCATCGCCGCTCGAGATGTTTCTTCTAGCTCGCTTGCTTGGACGATTGTCGCTGCTGGACGCATCATAATCACTGATCTCGATCTTTCGCTTTTCAGAATTAGGGTTAGCCAAACTACCAAAGCTCTCCAAATTTTCCTTGATCTCCATAAACTTCATATCTTTCACAAACTGACTGTGAATTAGGGTTTAAAATTCTCTTAAGCTTTGCACCCTTTCGTCTTCTTCTTTCAAGTCGCACACTTCTTGTAGGGTTTAGGTTTGCTGTAAAGGATTGTAAAAGTAGAACATGTTGGTTTAGCGTGAGATCTTTGCTTAAATAGGAAAGTACGTAGATACGAATCGAATCCTGACCTTTTTCGGTTCGAAGATCAAATCCTTACAGAAAAGGGGATCCATCAAATTCGGAAAGTAGGGCCATGGGCGGCCCTGTAGTAACGCTGAGCTTTTATTTGGGCCTGGGCTGGACTAACCTTTACATCTTCAAAACGGACCGTGTCGAAAAGTTTAAGAACGAGTAGGGCTAGAGCGCTACTACTCAATCCAGGCCGGACTAACCCGGTCTACATCAAACAAACTCAATTTTCAGCTCACCAAGTATTTGATGTAATGCATGTTAAGTATATCTCGGCATCACTTGACATACTGCGTGGAGAGCACTCGAAAAATTCTTTCGTTTAGCACTCATCAAATTGCTTTAGCATATATCGATTTGTTAGCCTTATTCCTCCAATTTGCATCATGAATCTGCTGCCACTGACTACATCTACATAATATTTTATTATTAGATTTAAATCTACAAAATAAAAATTGATGTTTAGGAGAGACTAGTTAGCCTTATTCCGGCCTTTCCTTCTTGTCTCCCTTGTGAGTTGTGACTAGAGCTTCCCTGATTCATAGTTTTCCATCCCAAATAAATAAACATGCCCATTAATCTTGTTGTCGACTTTAAATCTCTTTGCTTTTAAATTCATCTAGCCCTTTCCTTTGTCAACCAAATTCATTTATATGATTTTGGTCAAGTGATTAATTTTCATCTATATGAATATATAATTTCTGCAAATTTGAGCTTAACTAAGTTGACTAAAGTGGTATACTTTATCTGTTACATTTGAATTCCAATCCCTCCTCATATGTAGATGATTCTAATATATAATGTAATTGTCACTTAAGTTCGAATCTCTTCTTTGTATTTAAATGAATTTAATGTAAAATATCATATGTATATGAACATAGACTTAAATACGTAGAGTGTCATTTGTATCCAAATAGAGCCTTAAATATACTCAGTAATACTGAAAAGCTGCTAATATCCTTGGTTAGTAAAAGACCAAGATTATTTATAGCTGATGGATGGATATGTGTCTATGTTGCACATGTTATTTTGGCAACTGCTAATGAAGAAAACGCAGCCGACGAGGAAACCGCAACCGGCGGCCGCTCTTAAAACTGTCAAGCTACATGGTCCTGCTACTAGCCTACTACTTCAGAAGTGAAAATTGCTGTGCTTCTGGGTCATCAACCACGTCGCCAATGGTGAGCTTCTCCTTATCAGAAAAGAGATGTTCTAGGTTGTATGGCCCTACATCAGAAGGGGGTCCATTCCAGAGAGCCTTTGCAAGCTGCTTGTGGATCCTCTCAGTGGGATGAAAAGAATCCCACCATATATATTCATCAGCATTATCGCATAACTGGTAATCCTTAACTTCCTTTGTGCCTCCACAGCTAAATATGCCCCCATATGGTCCAGTTCCACAACAAGCATTCACTCCATCCTTGAAACCTACACAGTAAATTTAAGATCAAGTTACTACCAGTCACTTTATGTGCACCCTCTGTAAATATATGAAATAAAGCATGCTTACCATATTTGGAGGGATCCTCTATTCTTTCAAGGAGCCAATCATAAAAATTGGAGTTGCAGTACTTGAAATCCTTGAGCATATATTGAAGACTGTTGAGTACAGATTTTAGGGCATTGTTATGTGCTAGTGCAAGGGCAGAAGCTGCTTCAAAACATCCCCCTCCACCGGATTCCGGGTTCATACTGTTCAGAGCTCTAAAGGCAGGCAAGCAACCTAGTGGACACAAACTTAGGAAGGCAAACTTTCGCCCGCCTTTCTCATATAACGCCTGCATAAGATTGCAACAACCCAAACATCAATATGCCACGTTTTGGGATAGATTGTCGGTTGTCACTGATTGTACATAACCATGCATGATCTTTATCTCTCTCTCTTCATGTTATCTCGTATGTGACGAATCATGTGATGAGAGTGAGAAATGCGCAGTTGTTATATACAGCTGGTGATATACAAAGCTTTAATAAGACTTACTTGAATTGTCTGTGTCAAGTTTCCAATGACCATTCCCACAAATTGTTCAGGGTTATATTGTTCCTGCATTTTTGGACTGCCTAAATAACCACCCATGTAATCGTTGCTTCCCATGCTAATGAAATAAACTGCTTCTGATATCACTTCCTTTGCTTCCACTTCTCCTAATTTTTCAGTCAATGATTTTTGCACCTCTTCAAAGTTTTTCAATTGTGTTTGAAGATCAATCGCCTAGAAATTACATATTGATCAAGAAAAACAGTCATAGACAAACCACAAATGTATATGAATCAACAAAAACATAATTGCCGTTTATAAACTTTTAATAAAAAATACAGACTGGAGCGCACTAGTATTACACACAGTAAAGAGGCACTAAATCGTGGTTCTATAGCTGCTTATTGGCCATCGATTGTATATTTCTGATCGAAAGTTTGTAACTAGCTCTATTTGTGCTTATTTTTTCGGAATCTAATTCAATTTCCTACACAATAAATAGGAGGATAATGATTCATAGCAATAAAAGACTGAAGGTTTTCCTACCAATCCTTGATTGGTTTCAGAAAGGACTCCAGCTCCACCAGATGCAAAGTTAACACCATTGGCATAATCAGCAGTTGATGGTTGTAAAAATGGAGGGATTAGTGGCAGCTTTGCATATTCAGCTGCATCATGAGCATTCAGCGCTAGTTAAGGTAATTACCATTTAAAAAATTTACGAAAACATACATCAATAGTACTCACTTACCTATATAATCTACGATGATTCGACCGTCGGAGAAGCGTCCGGTGGGAGTTTCAAAGAAGCCATTCTTCCCATATGGCTCGTAATGTGCTTGGTTCTCAGGAATGGTGGTGATGTGATTGTTGTTGCCAGGATCAACTGTGGAGTCACCAAAGATGAACAAGGCAGCAGTCCTCCTGCTTAGTGTTTGATCACTACCACATGATCCAAACCCAATTGAGAAAAGTAGAGTACTTAAACAGATGATGATTTTTTTATGGTTCAAGAGACAAATCTGCAGGCTTGCCATTTGAGATGAAATTACTCCCTTCTGTCCTCTAGGCGCTTGTGTATATATATATACAAGTGGATGCCAAAACGTCATTAATTTTTAATGGAAACAAATTACGTTGTAATTATCATCCTAAAGGAAAAGTCAATTAGTATAAAGCCAACTAACATTGGGCATTTCACTAACCAATCTTATTCTGGAGTAGATATCATATGGGTCCTATTTCTTGTATTATAATTCAATTAAATCTTAATCTTTGTCAGGCGAAGGACTAGGATGAATTGCTAAGTCACATCATCGAGAGTATTTTATTTGCAAGATAATATTAAAGCGACCGTTTTTATTTTTTTTATAATTATATTAGCTGATTACGTATGACAAGTGATGTGTTAATAATTATCAACAATTACGAAAAGTCGTAAATGTGGATGCAAATTTTCTCCTCTTCGATCTTGGACGATTTTGCACCTACAAAACAACTAGCACCTTAGGTTAAGGCCAAAAGCCTCACGCGCCCACGATGAATGGGGGGGGCTTTGGCCGAAGAACCTCCGATGCCAAAGTTAGAAATTTAGAGAGAAATAGTGTTTAGAGTGTTTTGGAATTTTTGCAAGAGGTTTGGAATGAATTTTTGGTGAGAATAGGAGCCTATTTATAGGATTAGGCTTCCCCATTTTTCACCAAGGAAGGGCCGGCCACACCCTTCCCTTTTCTTAGTCAATTTGTGGTTTTTTATTAGCCCCTTTATTGGCTAATAAAATAGAAATGAATGGGATCTTAAATGATTAGCTTTATTTGAGTAATAAAGTGGAGGAAAATAAAAAAAAAGGTAGGGAAAAGATGGGAGGGAATATGGCCGGTTACTATGGGATTTTTAGGTTTTATTTTAGGTTTAATTAGCCAATTAATTGGCTAATTAAATATGAAATGAGATATTTTATTATTTATGGTATTGATTGGCTAATTTAAAAGGGAAGGAAAGGTGGAAAAGGTAGAAAAAAAGGTGATGGAATAGACTTTGAATGGGGTAGCCGGCCCTATCCCATTTTTTAGGTTTGAGTGGATGTTTCAAATTGGTAATTAAGGGATGATTTTAGGAGATATGGAAAGAATATAATTATTTAGATAATTAATAATTAACTAAATAATATATTAGGGAAATTAAGTTTTGGAAATAATTACCTAAAATAAGATAATTTGGAATTAGTTACCTCTTCTGGAGCATTTTTGAATTGGTTGAGGATGATTACCCACTACTTGCGCGTAGGAATCCCGATATACCTCAAGGGTATTTTTGTCCTCTTTCGTTCACAAATCCACGTGTCGCCTAGTGAATATTTTTTGCTCCACAAATGCCCCCCCACACCTGTTGAGCTGTTTGCAGAAAAGGGCAATAGGTGTAGAGATTTTCTTGCTTTAGGAAATTCTGAACTGTTTCCTATTTTGTTGTTGATTCTTTCTTTCAAATAGGAAATTAAATCCTTCTAGGAAAAGGAAATAAATTTCCCCAAAGCTTATTTAAGTCCACCTTAAGTGGATTGTTAAATCAACTTTTAGAGTGAAACTTATTCATCCTTACAAGAGAAAAAGAGAGCTTAGAGGATATTTGTTCCCCCTCCTCTAGCAATCTTCTACGTCTTGCCCGTGTAAAGGATCGCTCTTCGTTGCTTCCAGGTAAGAAAAAATTATTTTTCTTGTCTTCTTGATTTTCTGGAATCTTTGGATCTTGATTCTTGGCCTGATGGGAATCAGAGACTTGTTATAGGTTGATCTGGTGAACCATGGCATGGTAATGCCATGAAAATATATATATTTTTTCTTGCTGGGCGTTGAAGCAAGCCAGGCCGTGGGGCCTGGCAGGTTTGCTGGTCCTGCGGCTTTAAGCCTAATTCCTTTGTTTTTTTTTTTTTTTTTTTTTTTTTGCTGCCGAGAGCTGTTTTTTTTCTTTTTTTTTTTTTTTTTTTTTTTTTTAAACAACTCTCTAACAAATCTTCCTTGTACTTTTGTAGAATTTTCAAGCATGTCTTCCTCGAGCCGTAAGAATGATGATGGTGTGCCCCCGCTGTACTGTCAAGGCGGGTCTTTGAGCAAGATTGGCTACTTCAAAGCTGCTCACATCAAGATTAGCTCCGACAATTTGTTTAGAGATTTTCTTGAAACGTATTGGCATGCCATTCCGTCGGGAGTGCGTGTGAGGCGAGTTAAAGATGGTAGCAGCCGAGAACCATGTAGTGGAACTCGGAGAACTATCAAGTTCCATCCTTACTATTTTGTGTTAGGGTTTACTTTCCCTATGCCGCGTTTCTTCCAAGAAGTGCTTTGCTCTATGAAATGTGCGCCTGCCCAATGTTCCCCGAATGCGGTCCGAGTGATGGTGGGGTTCCACAATTTGAACCAATTCTTTGACTTGGGACTAACCACCAACGAATTTTGGTATTTCTTTGACATAGGTCGTATTGATGGAGTTGGACAACTGCGAATCCGTCATAAGCTTTTTGATAATTCGAGTAAAGGAGATCATGATTGGGCCAAAGAGACTTTGGAGATAAGTGGAGAATGGGAATCTGATTCTTCTCCCGAGCTGCGTGTATCAACGGTCTTCATATCTGGTAAGCAGACTGCTTAGTCTTTTCGGCTGCTTTGCTTTAGTGCCAAATCATTCTTTCAATTTTCTGATTGTCTTCTGTTTTTTTTTTTTTTGTAGATTCGGAATTTGGCTCAACTCCTAGGGTTTCTCCAGATACGAAAAAAGTGCATGTCGCACTGGGTATTCCTTCCGAGTATCGTGAGTGGCGTTGGCTGCTTAGTCCTCTTCGTAGGGAAAAAGGTGGACTACCCCCAGAAGAAGAAATAAAACGAATCAAGGCAGACGCGATGGCTCGTCCTATCACTGTGGTGGAGCCTACTACCAATGAAGGTGGGAAAAAGAAACATTCCCCGCCTGCTCAAGAGATACCTGCTGAGAAGAAAATGAAGACTGCTCGTGGGGATTCTCCGGATGCTCCCAAGATTGTGATTGACCTGACTTCCTTAAGGGCGAGAAAGAATGCTACATTATTTGTGCCAGTAACGCCTATTGCTTCGAAGGCTGCTAGCTCGATTGCTGAAAAAAATGCTCAGCGTAAAAGTTCTTCCGTGCCTTTGGTACCGAAGTTTGTGCCAAAACGTCCGTCCGGGACTAAACCTGACTTACCCTTGAAGAGACTTGCTACTATGAAGAGTGATAAGGTGCCCCTGTCTGCTAAAGTGGCGCCGAATACTGCTTCTTCCGCTGCTGCAACCATCTCGTCTGCTGATAAGAATGAAGCTGCTCGCTCAGGCAGGCTTGAAGAATCCGCCAAGGTCGTTTCTGAGGAGGCTGCTAAGATTTGTGCTCTTTTGAAACCAGATCTTCTTGAAGACATGGATGTATGCGCCCAATTTGTTGATGGCGTCAAAGAGATTGTTGGTCCGAGTCTTTTTGCAAAGCATACACCCGAGTATAGGAAGACTGTTCTGCTAGCCATGATGCAGAAAACAACAATTCTGGCAGCCGAGTCTATGTTCCTTGACCAAGAGGACACCAAGGCTGCTAAAGAGATGGCAAGAACTATGGCTGCCGAAGCTTATTCCTCGGTTGAAAAAAAAAAATTGGAATCTGAGCTTGCTGCTTTGAAGGAATCTCATACTTCTGACCCCACTTCTCAGCAGCTTGAGGCCGCTCACCAGGAGATCATGGATTTGAAGACTAGGTTTGATGCGGTCCAAACAAAGAATGAAAGTGCAGAGAAGGAAATCGAGCGTTACATACCTCAGATTCGAGATCTTGAGAACGCTCCATAACGCTCTCCTGAACTTCGCTCCGCTGCTTATGCAAAGGATGAAGAATTGATTGCTACTTACAACCAAGCGATCCACTTCAAAGAGGTTGCTGACAGGCTTGAGCCTCAAGTGTCGAAACTTCAAGGTGTTTTGAAGACCAACGACAATCTGAAGAAAGAAATTGATGAGTTGCAGCGAGTTCGTGCTTGCCTGTTTGAGGAGAATGAGCAGTTGAAGAGTGAGAAAAATGGTTTCGAGGCTTCGCTTATTCAGAACCAATCTGATTTTTACAAGCTGGGCTATGTAGATCATCTCTATGGGCGGCCGTCTGACTTTGAGTTTTCCGGTAAAGACTTCGAGACCTTCTCTATTTCCCCAGAAGACTTGCTCGATTTTACCTTTGAGTCTTCTATCGGTGAAATAGCTGGAGGAGTTGATACCCAGGCTGGAGCAGTCGAGGGTAAAGGTCCGGAGGATGCCGCTGCTGAGAACACCAAGGCTGCTGAAGGTGTAACAACCGAGCAGTTGGGAGATGTCCAAACTACCTAAGAGTAGTCTTCTAGGTAGCTTTTAGGGTTTCATTTTCTTTCCTTTGTTGCTTTTGCTTGAACTCCTTTGGTATTTGCTTGTTGTTTATCAATTTTGCTATAAAATTTAATAAACTCGCTTCTTTTGCTTTTCCCATTTTTTTTTTAACCTTTAGACCTTATAAGCCAGTGGCAGGCGTGCTACTTTTCTATAAGTAGACAGGCCCACATAGCCTATGCAACCGTAGGTGTTGATGTAGAAACTTTTGCAAAGTTATTAACCATAGGGTTGGCAGCCGGATGCCTTACTTACAGAAGCAGACGAATCCGCGTAACCACTTGGCTATTCAACCTTGGATTTTTCCAATTCCGTAGGCTGTGTAGCAAGTATCACAACACTTTAGGATTTGGTATAAGTTATTCTGCGTTTGACAGAGGTGAAGCTTATCAACTACGTAGCATGTCGGTAGTGGATAAAATCTTCGTGTGTGCACGCTAACTTGTTTAACCTTTCACAATAATGTGCGGTTGCATAAGTCTAGCGTGGTTCTACTGCTCGAAGGGCAAGCCGTAGGCAGTCTTCTGGAAATCCGTAGGCTACCTTAGTGCACTCGGTAACAGCTTTAGGTTTCCAGGGCAGCCGCCCATTGGGTGTGCTGCATAATGTGCCCCCTCCGTCTCTAGGGCCCGGTTCCCTGCGGATTAAGCCGATAGACCCATAATCCTTCAACTAGCTAAGCCTTGAAACAGACCATTGTGGCTACTTCTAGGAATCCCGGTGCAAGCCATCATGCACCTAGTCATTCTAGGGCAGCCAAGCTCATCCACGTCTGGATATTCGGAGTGTTGAGTTTATCCTCCTTCCTTGGAGAGCACAGTTGGTCCCTTGGGGGGTGTAATTTTCTTTTGAAGTGCAGAAAGAAATAAGTTGTTATAGACATATATTAAAGCCAAATTACGAATTACTTTTGAATTATTTATTGAAAAATAAAATGAGCAAATAACTTGGTTGCAAAAACTGCATGATGATTGGATAGTCCTCGGTTTACGAGGTGGTGCCCGTTAAGATGCTCGAGTCCTCGGGTCTTGATATAGTGTGAAGTCACACATGGTATTTCCTCAAATTGTAGGCGTTCCATTGCTTCTCGATCTCTTTATCATTCATGGTAGCAAGAGTATAACTGCCTTTACCGCCGACTCTGTTGATCTTGTAAGGACCTTCCCAGATGGGGTCCATTTTTTTCGAGCCTTCTCTGCGGGCAGTGATGAAAGCTTTTCTTAGGACTAGGTCTCCGGGTTGGAACTGCCGGATCTTGGCCCTTTTGTTGTAGCTGGAAATGAGTTGCTGCTGGTAGGCTGCAATGCGGGTGATGGTTTGTTCGCGCCTTTCTTCTGCCAGATCTAAATCTGTGGCCATTTCTTTACTGTTCTGCTCAACGTTTTGGCAATAGAGTGTTGATGCTTGACACGATGATGTTGGGAGGTATGATTGCTTCCGAACCAAACGCCAAAGAGAAAGGGGTTTCACCGGTTGCTCGTCTTTTGGTGGTGCGATATGCCCATAAACATCCTGGAAGCTCATCTGGCCATTTTCCCTTTTTATCGGTGAGGGATTTCTTGAGACAGTCGAGGATCGTCTTGTTGGATGCTTCGGCCTGCCCATTGCCTTGAGGATATCTTGGACATGTGTTGTTTGATGCCGTATTTTTGGAAGAACTTTGCCAAATCTTTTCCCACAAATTGAGGACCGTTGTCAGTGACGATGGATTGAGGGATGCCAAATCGGCAAATGATGTTCCTCCATATAAAGTGCTCTATGTCCGTCTCTGAGTCGTGGTTGTCATGGGTTCTGCTTCTACCCATTTGGTGAAATAGTCGGTTGCCACGATCATCATGCATCTGCCCCCCGTAGCAGGCGGCATAGGCCCTACCAGGTCGATTGCCCACTGCATGAATGGCCAAGGACTCGTTTGCGGGTGTAACTCACTAGCGGGTAGTGCTGGTACTGGTTTGTAGCGTTGGCAACGGTCGCATTTTTGTACTAACTCCTTAGCATCTTGGTGTGCATGGTAGGCCAGTAATAGCCTGCGTTAAGAGCCTTTTGGGCTAAGGATCGACCTCCAGAGTGATTCCCACAAACGCCCTTCGTGGATTGAGCTTAGAACCTTCAAGTCATCGGGAGGTGCCAGGCAGCGGAGATGTGGTCCGGTGTAGGATCTTCGGACGAGAATGCCATTCCACATATAGTAGCGTGCCGACTTAATTTGGAGCTTCCTTGACTCCAATCTTTCTGTGGGTAATGTGCCGTTGACCAAGTAGTCTATAATTGGACTTTGCCAAGTGGGAGTTACACTAACCTGTGACACTTCGGCTATCGACTCCATCTCTATGCTTGGCTTGTCTAGATATTCCACCGGAATGGAGCGTTTGAATTGGTGGTCAAGGGCGGAGCCTAAACCAGCTAGTGCATCTGCATGTGCATTGTCTGCCCGCGGAACTTGAGTGAGAGTGTAAGTCTGAAATGCTTCAAGTTGCTGGCGTACTTTCTCTAGGTATTGTGCCATCCTTGGGTGTTTTGCCGTGTATTCCCCAGTAGCCTGGCTGGTGATTAGTTGGGAATCAGAATGAATTGCGAGTTTCTTCACCGCTAAGTCTTTTGCCATTCGGAGACCCGCTAGTAGAGCCTCGTACTCTGCTTCGTTATTGGATGCTTTGAAACCTAGGGTGATCGCCTGCTCGAGCATTGAGCCATCTGGAGTAACAAGAACTACACCTGCTCCCGAGCCTTTATAGTTGGATGCACCGTCGACATGCAAGTTCCAGAAATCTTTGTTGGATGGAGTAAGTGTGGCTAAGGTACTCTCTGCTGCTTCTGGGGCGTCGTTGGGCCGCACTGTTGCGTTGCCTAGGCTAGGTGTGAATTCTGCCACGAAATCTGCGCCAAGGGCTTGGGCCTTTATCGCTGTGCGAGGTTGGAAAACTAAACCATATTGGCCAAGTTCCAATGCCCATTTCATCACTCGTTGTGATGCGTCCGGACCATGTAATATTGATCGTAAGGGATATTGAGTCATAACAATGACTGTATGAGCTTGAAAGTAGGGTCTGAGCTTCCGAGCCGCAACAACTAACGCCAAAATTAATTTTTCAATCTTCGGATATCTTGTTTCCGCATCGAGAAAAGCTTTAGAAGTGTAGAATACCGGCAGTTGGGCCCCCAGCTCTTCTCGTATGAGAGCAGAGCTCACTGCTACCTCGGAAACTGCCAAATAAATATATAAATCCTCCGCTGCTTCCGGCTTGGATAGTAAGGGAGGTGATGTGAGATAACTCTTCAAGTCTTGGAAAGCTTTTTTCGCATTCTTCATCCCATTTGTTTCTTTGTGCCCTCCTGATAGCTTTTGAAAAAGGGTTTGCATCGATCGGTGGATCGTGAGAGGAAACGATTGAGGGCGGCTGCTCGTCCGGTCAAGCTTTGGATCTCCTTCAAGGTAGTTGGAGATTTCATCTCTATGATTGCTTGGATTTGCTTGGGATGTGTGCTTCAATTCCTCGTTGGGTTACTAAGTACCCTAGGAATCGACCTGAAGATACTCCAAACGTGCACTTGGTGGGGTTGAGCTTCATCTTGTACCTTCTAAGGATATTGAAAGCTTCTGCTAAATTGCGAATGTGATCTGATCGCTGCTTGCCCTTTACCATGATATCGTCGACATAGACCTCCATGGTTACCCCAATTTGCTTTTTGAACATCATATTTACTAGCCTTTGGTAAGTGGCTCCCGCGTTCTTGAGGCCAAAAGGCATGACCTTGTAGCAGTAAGTGCCTCGCTCTATCACAAACGCATTTTTCTCCTTGTCGGGCTCATGCATGGCTATTTGGTTGTAACCGGAGTATGCGTCTAAGAAACTAAGTAACTGGTTTCCAGAAGTTGAATCTACTAATAGATCAATCCGGGGGACAGGTTAATGGTCTTTTGGGCATGCCTTGTTGAGGTCAGTGTAGTCTATGCAAACCCTCAATTTGCCCTTCTCCTTCTTCATGACTAGTACGACATTAGCAAGCCATGCCGAGTGTGCTACCTCCTCTATGAAACCGGCCTCCAATAGTTTGTCGATTTCTGCCTCGATGATCGCTATTCGTTCGGGAGCGAAATGTCTTCTTTTTTGAATTACTGGTTTGGCAGTTGGATCGACGTGCAGCTTGTGGCAGGCCACTTTGGGATCAATACCAGGCATGTCGGATGGTGACCATGCGAAGATATCTCGGTTTTTCCTAAGGAAAATTGTGAGTTCTTCCTTCTCGTCTGGGCTTAATCGTGAGCCAATTTTAGCCGTCTTTTCCGGCTGCTGGGGATCAAGAATGATGTCCTCGGCGTCCTCTTCGGGTTTCCATCCTATCTTTGTCTGCTTGGGCGCCATCTTCTCGATCCACTGCTGTAATTGCTATTTGGCAATTTCTTTACCCTTTTGGACTTCGGTAACCTTTACGGGGGTAAAGGTCTTCTTCTTTGTTTCTTTTAACATTTGCACAGTGCATCGTCGGGATGAAACCTGGTCAGACTTGATCTCTCCGACTCCTCCTCCCGGGATGCGGAATCGGATTTTTTGATACTTGACGGAAGTGACAGCATCCAGCTTGATCAACCAAGGTCTCCCAAGAATCCCATTGTAGGGAGATGGGTCGCTTACAATCGTGAATGTTTGCTTTGAGACGACTGGCGGTGTTTTTACGTCAAGTATGATATAACCGATGGCAGTTGAGGTGTGTCCGTTGAATCCAGTAAGTACCTCTGCCCGGCGTATGATTGTACTTTCCAGGCCCATCTTCTGAATGACTGAAAGTTGAAGTAGGTTGACCACACTTCCATTGTCAACCATCATCCTGTCGACTATAGCATGGGCTAGTTGGACAGATACTACTAATGCATCGTTGTGTGGGAAGTCGACTCCTTCTGCATCCTGCTCTGTGAAGCCAATGATAGGTCCAGGTTGGGTATCGACTGCATGAACTTGTGAGATTAGTAAAGCCTGCTGGATCTTCCTCTTTTTGGAGTTATTAGTAGCCCCTAAGTGCTCGGACTCAGCGAAAATGCCATTGATTCGAATCGTCTTAGTTGGTGGCTCCTCATCTCCGTCTGCATTCCTTTTTGGCTGCTCAGCTGGCTTGTCCAAATATCTATCGACTTTGCCTTCTTTCACGAGTTTCTCTAGGTAGTTCTTCCAAGTGTAGCAATCGTTGGTTGTGTGACCGGGACCTCGGTGGAATGCGCAGTACTTAGTATGGTCCAACTTGGAAGTATCTCCTTTTGACTGCCTCGGCAACTTGAACCATGGTTCATTCTTGACGTCTCGAAGGATTTGATGAATCGGAATTGAGAACTTAGAATAGTTGTTGGTCATTGGGCCTTCTTTGGTCGTGGGTCGGTCCCTGCGCTTGAACTCCTGCCTGCCCTTGTTGGGTTGTTTTTCATCCTTCTTTTGAGCAGTTGCCAACTCTTTTCGAGGTTGTTCGGAAGCTTTTTCTGCTTGTCGAGCCTCGTCCCAAAGCGCATGCTTTTCTGCTAGAGCAAAGGAATCTGCTAGAGTTAGGTCTTCTTTCATGATCATTTCTCCAAACAGTGGGTGGTCTGCTGGCAGTCCTTTTTGGAAGGCTGCACTTGCTATCGAGTTGTCGCATCCGACGATCTTCGCCTTCTCTGCTTTGAATCTCTTCACGTAATCGCGAAGCGACTCTTTTGGGTTTTTCTTTACGTTGAACAGGTGATCGGACTTCTTCTTGATCGATCGATAAGATGAGTATTCTTTGGTGAAGACCAAGGAAATATCATCAAAATTCTGGATGGATCGTGTCGGCAAGGTATGAAACCAATCTTGTGCCTCGCCTTGTAAAGTAGTGGCGAATATTTTGCACATAAGGGCGTCATTATTCCGATAAAGGACCATCGCATTTCGGTAATGCTTCAAATGTCTTTCGGGATCCCCATCTCCTTTGAAAGATGTGAAGTGTGGCATGCTAAACTTGCGCGGAGGTTCTGCCTGCTCGATCTCATCCGCGAAAGGTGACCTGCTCATGTTGGTCATATCTCGCCTTAGTGCCTCATCAACCATTTCGTTGCGCCGAAAATCACGCATCCGTTCATTGAAAAGCCTTTCTACCTCTTCTTGGATTTGCTTTTGTTGGGGTAGCGGAGCTTTTTGCTGCCCTTGGTCTTTTTCTACCGGTCTAGGCTGCTCTTCTTCTCGCTCGGCTCGTCTACGCTGTGGCTGCAATGGATGAGATAGATTCCTAGCAGGCGAGGGATTTCTTTGCAGGCTACCGGTTGAACTAGAGCCAGATTGAACGATCGTTTCCTTCCGTTTGTCAGGCTGCCTGCTCCGATGTGATGTGGAGGATACTCCTTGTGAGCCTAATCGCGAATGAATGCTTTGCCTGGAAGGTTGCCCATGTTGATTATCAAAGCGTGGCCCCAACCGTGAATGTATACTTGCTCGTGGGCCTAACCGAGAGTGCACGCTCATCCGCGCGCTAAGACGGGAGTATACGCTATTTCGGGGGCCCAATCGAGAGTGTGCACTGTCTGAATGCTCCACTTGTGATGGGTTGAATGGCTGCTTTCCAGGACGCTGTTTAAAAGGCTCCTTGTCTACCCTTGTTCTACTCCGGGAAACTTCATCGTGAGCGCGATGCATCTTAGTACGTTGTAAAAGTTGATTCACCAAGGTGGTTTGTTGTGCAAGGGCGCTCGTCAATTCTATGACTTGTCGGGACAAGTTTTGTTCGCCATTCGGATTGGAAGAACTTGGATGGAATGCACCTCCTTGAACAATGAAAGGGTGGTTGACTCCAAGTGCGAGATTTGAGTTGGGGAATGTCAAATCTGCAGAGAAATGTGGTGAAAACGCCTCAGCCTCGATAATTGGTCCGGATGGTTGAGATTGTCTCGGGCGGACTTGGGCAGCTTGGGAAACCATGAAAACAGGCTGGGCTGCGGGGGCAGGCTGGATCACTGGGGCAGGCTGGATCGTTGGAGCAGGCTGGGCTACAAGAGCAGGCTGGATCACGGGAGCAGGCTGCTCAATGCGCGGTGCATGTGAATGCGAGGCTTGGGCTTTGGTCCACGTAAACTTGGATGGCACGACTCGGGCCGTGGTGAAGGCTCCATGGACCTCGCCACGAGTGGCTACCGAAGTAGCCACCGTGGTGGTTCCCATGGCGGCTGTGGTGAAGGCTCCATGGACCTCACGAGCGGCTACCGAAGTAGCCACCGTGGTGGTTCCCATGGCGGCCGTGGTGAAGGCTCCATGGATCTCGCCACGAGCGGCTACCGAAGTAGCCACCGTGGTGGTTCCCATGGCGGCCGTGGTGAAGGCACCATGGACCTCGCCGCGGGTGGCTACCGAGGTAGCCATCACGGTGGTTCCCATGGTGGAAGCTCGTGGTGATGATGCCGCTCCCCTTCTTGTCGCATTTTGCCTCATGGATCTCCGTAGTCCCATTTCTTGAATACTAGAATTTTTACTTGCGGAATTTTCTAAATTTCTAGTCATTATATTTTTCTTATACGTTTTATCAAAGAACCTTTGCAAGTAGAAAATTCTAATAATAAGAACGTATGAAAAATATTCAAATAGACTAGAAAATAAAGAAAAAACCTTTTTGTACGAGAGTCTTCTACGAGTATGGATTACAACTCTCAATGAAAGCACCAATTTGTGGATGCAAATTTTCTCCTCTTCGATCTTGGACGATTTTGCACCTACAAAACAACTAGCACCTTAGGTTAAGGCCAAAAGCCTCACGCGCCCACGATGAATGGGGGGGCTTTGGCCGAAGAACCTCCGATGCCAAAGTTAGAAATTTAGAGAGAAATAGTGTTTAGAGTGTTTTGGAATTTTTGCAAGAGGTTTGGAATGAATTTTTGGTGAGAATAGGAGCCTATTTATAGGATTAGGCTTCCCCATTTTTCACCAAGGAAGGGCCGGCCACACCCTTCCCTTTTCTTAGTCAATTTGTGGTTTTTTATTAGCCCCTTTATTGGCTAATAAAATAGAAATGAATGGGGTCTTAAATGATTAGCTTTATTTGAGTAATAAAGCGGAGGAAAATAAAAAAAAAGGTAGGGAAAAGATGGGAGGGAATATGGCCGGTTACTATGGGATTTTTAGGTTTTATTTTAGGTTTAATTAGCCAATTAATTGGCTAATTAAATATGAAAGGAGATATTTTATTATTTATGGTATTGATTGACTAATTTAAAAGGGAAGGAAAGGTGGAAAAGGTAGAAAAAAAGGTGATGGAATAGACTTTGAATGGGGTAGCCGGCCCTATCCCATTTTTTAGGTTTGAGTGGATGTTTCAAATTGGTAATTAAGGGATGATTTTAGGAGATATGGGAAGAATATATTATTTAGATAATTAATTAACTAAATAATATATTAGGGAAATTAAGTTTTGGAAATAATTACCTAAAATAAGATAATTTGGAATTAGTTACCTCTTCTGGAGCATTTTTGAATTGGTTGAGGATGATTACCCACTACTTGCGCGTAGGAATCCCGATATACCTCAAGGGTATTTTTGTCCTCTTTCGTTCACAAATCCACGTGTCGCCTAGTGAATATTTTTGGCTCCACAGTAAATACATAAAATGTTAGTCTATTTTTTTTTAAATTGTTTTATGAAAATGTTAGTCTATTTAGAAATTTGTTATTATCATAGCCAAGTCTTATGGTCAAGGGCTCAAAGGAGATAGTGAGATGCAACGATGTCGTTGGCTGGTCAAATTCCAAAATTAATTCTCATAAATTTATAAAAAATTGTTAAAAAGAGAAATGAATGTTCACGGACGGTGCGTTTCAAGTATAAGGGTTCATCCGTAATTATACCGCACAACGAAATCCTCCCTGCAATCTTGTTCCACAGCGACCTCGTTTTCGCGAGTTCGCCACTGCTCTGCAAACCCTAATTACTGCAATTTGAAACATCTCTTCCTCCGCCCTATTCCAATTCGATACCCCAATGGCACCGACGACTTCGTCGAAGAAAAGTTACAAGGAGAAAGTTACTCGCCGCAAGTGAGTTAAACATTTCAATTTTTTACTATTTTTCACTTTCCGACGCACATTAGGCTTCCAAATTTCCAAGTCAGTATATTTAGTCTTCATTTGGATTCAAAGTTTAAATTTTTATTCTATTTTTATTTTGTTTTAGTTTTTATGAAATTAAGCTGCTTTGTTAAAATCTGGGAAAAAATTCAGCTTGATTTGCATTGTCACGTAATTATTGGGAAACGAATTTGGAATGCAGAGTATGTGTTTGATGTAATGCTTGTGTGGTGCTGCATGCAGGGAGGAGAAAGCGGCGGAGCAACCGGACTTGCCGAAATACAGAGACAGGGCTAAGGAGCGAAGAGAAGATCAAAATCCCGATTATGAGCCGACTGAATTGGGTTCTTTCCACGCCGTTGCGCCTCCGGGGAACATTGATCTCCGGTTATTATCTAATTTTTCTTGTTCAACTTGTCAATGGTTATGCCATTTTAGTAGCTAATTATATTTAAATTGGTATTTGCAGGGCAGCTGAGGTGCAGAAGTTATCCATTGAGAAGAGCAAGTATCTTGGAGGTTCGTGTTACGCATTATTTTAGAAATTTGTTCCCACTTATTTGCAGGGTCTCTGTTTTCAGTGTAGTATTCATTTTTTACCATGTTTATGAAGTGAAGTGGGATAGAAACGACGTTGCATTTGTTGCTATCTATGAGAATTCACGAAGTCACCTAATCAATAGTTTTAGGGCTAGCCACTTTGTTTACATGTGGAAGGGCATTGACTTATTTTATGCTGAACTCAATTAATATTGTTCAGGTGATGTGGAACACACACATTTGGTCAAAGGATTGGATTACGCTTTACTTAACAAAGTAAGAAGTGAGATTGACAAAAAGCCAGATGATGGAGATGATGTTGATGCAAAATCTAGGTAATTCCGTAATTGTATATGGATTACTTGTCTTACTGTCAAGTTTTGTGTAATCTTAAAAAATTCGGTATTAAATTTCGCAAACATGATGTATTGGGCATTAAGTTCTTTTGATATTGACCTTTTCAAGTGTTAATATGAAGAATGATGGCCATATCTCAAGAAACTTCTTTAGCTGTTTCATAGTGTGTGCTAACACGTGTGTGCTTCCTATTCGCTGACAGAGCATCTAAGGAAGACCAAAAGTTGTCATTTCGCACGGCTACCGCAAAGGTATGTTACTTTTGGTGATATGATGAGGCAGTTATATTCTTAAGTCATTATCTGTTTACATTGATGTCTCATTTCTGTGTTTCAGTCAGTTTACCAATGGATAGTCAAGCCCCACGCCGTTATCAAAACCAATGAGATGTTCCTTCCTGGTAGAATGTCATTTATTTTTAACATGGTAAGAGCCTTTGTTTCTCTTTTGATATTAAGTCTGCTTAATCTAGATCGGAGTAGCCTTTCTTGGGAACAATTTCTGCTCATGTTTTAACTTGCCTGAACCTTTATAGACTTTGGGTGGCCTGTTCAGGATAATTGTGTGTTTAGTTACCACCTAAATCATGTGTGGAAGTCAAACTTTGAGTAGAAGTGTGTGTAGACACTTCTCTGAGAGCATCGAGCTTGCTATTGTAGGATACTGAATGAATGTGAACTCCCATTTTCCTGGCATTAACGTCTTGTTCTCTTATTTTGCATCTCAGGAGGGCGGATACACTCATGACATCCCAACCACCTTGCATAGGAGTAAAGCAGACTGTCCACAGACAGAGGTAAAAAGATTCTCAATCTTTCATGAGGTTTTCCCATCATCGTTGGACTGTTTATCTGATTTTGGCTTCTACATTGTGTAGGAAGCGGTAACTGTCAATGTTGATGGTTCTGTACTGGACCGAATTGCTAAAATCATGTCATATCTTCGTCTTGGATCTTCTGGGAAGGTTCTCAAGAAGAAAAAGAAGGAAAAAGATGCAAGAGGTAATTTCCTATGCTGCTTTTGGTAGAAAATGACTGAATAATCAGTTTTAAACAACATAAGACCTAGATGCAATTGTCTATAATAAACTGCCATAATTATCCTTATAAGTCGAAGCAATCAGATACATAAAGCATGTATTTCAAATCATTGTCCATGATAATAATTGTATGGGCATTTTGCCTAGATGGCTATATGGTTCTGTGCTTGGAGCTAAGTATCCCAAACTCGTGGTGAAACAGGGCAGCTAACAACCGTTCCAGATAGTCATCTTATTCAACTCAGATTTTCAGACGGAAACAAAACCAAACTAAACTAACTTATGTCGGATGTTGGCATTTTAAAATATGCTGTGATGAGTGAAGCGATCAGATTCCATTATTTAATTTTGAGATTCCACACCAACTATTTTCATCCTTCATCCTTTCTGCGCTTTGTGGTTGTTTATTAGTGTGATTACTTGATCAACAATTTTTATTGGCCTCATTTATTTTTGGTACAGGAAAGATTTCAGTTGTTGGTAATGAGTATGCTGGAGAGGATAAGCCCTTGAAGCCTGATGTTGGGATTTCGAAGAATGGAACTAAAAGAGAGATTTTGCCACCACCACCTCCGCCCCCTCCCAGGAAAAATCACATAGATTCAAAAGCACCACAAGGCCCAACTGTTGCCAGAGTAGATGAGGATGACATTTTTGTTGGGGATGGTGTCGACTATGTTGTTCCTGGTAAAGACTTGAGTCTAAGCCCTCTTTCGGAAGACATGGAAGAGTCTCCTCGGAACAAGGAAAGAGTTTCTTATTTTGATGAACCTGCTTATGGTCCCGTCCAACCCGTCCAACCCGTCCAACCCTATGGGGTGCCTCAAGAATGGCAAGATATGGTATGTCTATCCTTTCCTTTTCATTCTGGAAATTGTAGTACAACTGTATATCTGAACAGAAACTTGACTTTCATTTCGCTATGGATGAGTTATTTTCTGTTGCATTTTGGGTTCAGAACGGATACGATGCGGCACAAACACAGCCAATGGTTGATGCCTACCAGGGTGAGTGGCCAGAATACCAATATGCAGAGCAAATGTCTTATCCTGAACAATACCTCCAGCCAAATATGGAAGGTTACGATGCGCAAACAGGCTTAAACATGCAGGATCCACGCTTTATGACTCAAGAGCAGAAGGATCGGGGTTTAGGATCCGTGTTTAAGCGGGATGACCAAAGACTTCAACAATTAAGGGAGAAAGATGCCCGAGAAAAGGATCCCAACTTCATCTCGGAGAGTTATTCTGAATGTTACCCTGGCTATCAAGAATATAATCGTGAGGTTGTTGACAGTGACGATGAAGATGACTTGTCAAAAATGGATATGGGTGGACGAGTAAGTTTCTGATAAAACTTGAAGAAAATATGTTTGATTCTTTCTAAAATTTGTTGCAATCATTGCTTATGTTATCAATATATTTCTCTGACAGGCTAAGGGTCGCCTTCACCGGTGGGACTTCGAGACAGAAGAAGAATGGGCCACATACAATGAGCAAAAGGAAGCTATGCCCAAGGCAGCTTTCCAGTTTGGTGTGAAGATGCAAGATGGTCGTAAGACACGAAAGCAAAACAAGGACCAGAAGATCACTAATGACCTGCACAAGATCAACAAGATACTTGCTAGAAAGAAGATGGAGAAGGACATGGATGGTGGTGAGGGTGGCGGCCATTATGACGATGATGAACAGCCTGGCAAGAAGATTCGAGTTTGAAGCTAGTTTACTTATTAGGGAACTCAGAGGTCAGTCAGCTCTATGTTAAGAGTCTTGGCTTGTTTCCTTCTTGGTGACAAGCTCGTTGGCGTACATGGACCCAAACCTTGGCTCTAATACCATGTTGAAATTTTTTAGATCGACGGGCCCAGGGGACCCCACTCTATCTACACCGATATTGTCCCTAACTTTCCCTCTTGCCCAATTCGTCAGGTGTGGAGTTTTACCACAAAAAGCTTCGATATTAGTTAGAGTGGGGTAATCATATTTAAACCCCATTATTTTCTTTTCACCCACCGATGTAGGATTCCAACAAGCTCGGAGCCCATCTTTTGAATATAGAAGCAGCAAGTACATCGGAAACTGCCTTAACACCCGTTGCATAAAGTCATTTCTGATGTAGTGGTCGATTACGTACTTTCTGTAAATCATCATAACATGTTCAATTATCTATCTAGTACTCATATTGTAGAACCAACAACTCTTGTTACAGGCTAGGGGTTGAGTTTAAGGGTCAATACATTTCTATCATATTTTTGTTGCAATCATTTCTTCTGTTATATATTACCCGACAGGCTAAGGGTATTCACCGGTGGGACTTCGATGCCGGCGGCCATTATGACGATGATGAATAGCCTGGCAAGAAGATTCGAGTTTGAAGCTAGTTTGGTTATTAGGTCAACAAACTGTAATATTTAATGGGAAAATTTTGATGCATCTTCAAACTGCGCGTTGGATGGAGGGAAGTGAATGAAAAATATCCTTTTCGTTGTTTGGGTGTTTAACAGAAACGAATTGAAAGATCACAAATCAATATAATTATTTTTAGCACTTTGTTCAGGGTTTGGCTCTCTTTCTTTCCCCTTCCTGAACCAAAAGAAATCCGACACTCATAAGTCCGACTCATCAAATTACTGGAGAAGCCAACAAACTAAAACAGTATCGTTATGTTTAGATGAAAAAATTTAAAATTATTAAGAAATTTTTTAAAATTTGTGAATTTTCTTATTTGACAACTTAAAACTAAAAGACAATAAAATTTGAATCCGAAAATTGTTAATTTAAAAATCTCTCATAAAAATTTGGAAATGCCACTTATTTATATGGAATTTAAACTTGGGAATTGAAGGTCCCAAATTCCAATTTTTTTTTTGCACACAGAATTTCTAAATTTCTATGTTTATAAATTCAAACAATGGAATCAGTGTATGTCAATTTATGAATAATATTTGTCAAAATTCTAAATTTATTTTTCTCGTCCAAACATACAAAAATTATTTTAAAAGGAAACAACTTCTTCTCGTCGTGCTCGAATTAAGTGCCCGTATTGATCAAAAGAAAAAAAAAAGATATAATGCAGCCAAATTCCCATTCATCTACTTTACAAAACCATACTTTTTCCACGATGGCCAAATAAAAACTTGGCAACGTCGGTATACAAACTTCTAGTTAAATTGTTTCGTCCTGTTAATCCTCCAGTATCTCTAAATTTCGAGAAAGACTTTTATGATATAAATATACTATCACAGTGACATCTTGTGCAATTAAAAACGAAAAAGCCAAAACTAGATGAGATTGGACTGGATCAATCTTTGGATATCTATGTCTATATAAATGCCCATTCATTTGCTATCAAAAGAAATATATCTCTTATTTTTATGTTGGAAACAAGCAGTGAACTCAACACCGAAAAGAAATAAGAGTAAACAAACAGGAATAAAAACCATCCCCATCAACAATGCAATTTAACTGGTCGGAAAAAGAAAACGTAAACTAGCATGCAGAAAAACAAGCCAAGAAGAGAGTTGCCCCAATGGCATCTCATTTTTCGAGCGGATTGAGAACATGACCAGTGAACAAGATAGTTTCAGTCATTTCCTCTCTGATGAAAAGCATGAAAGGGTGATCTGCCACAAAGTCTATATTTTGGGGACGAGGTGGACGACGACTTTTACAACCGAAACCCTTAACTACAGCAGTAGAAACAGCCGCAGCTTCTGTGCCCTTTTCATTAACTTCAATGAAAGATTTATGATATATTTTGCATTCATCAGGAGATGCTTCCACCATCTCCGTTAAGTCACCGCCATTGAAAGGCAGCAGCAGTCCTAAATCCTTGAGAATTTTGGATGCTTCAAATGTAGAGGTAAATTTAAACATTGGAATTTTGAACTCACCAACTCTGACTGGTGTCTGGGGACGGTGGCTATCTAAGAAACCAGGCTCGGAACAAACTCTCTTCACCAAAGCAGGGAGCCCATCTCTTGAATCCGGAAGCAACAAGTACATTGAAAACTGACGCTTCATGTCTTTGCCTTGTTCGTAAAATAGTTTCAAGACTTTGAAACCGTCAAACTCTTCTACAAATTGTTTCTTGGAGCTTGTCATGAACGGAGCCTTAACAGAAGTACCGTTAAGAAGGTGGAAGTCGTCCTCTTTTGTTTCCCGTGCATTGAACTTGTCGCTCCAAAGGCCTTTGAAGTATAAGGCATTTGAAAATATAAGCATGGTGTACTTGTCAACTGACTTAGGAGGAAGAGCCTCAGTAATATGGCCTTTCGTTTCCTTTTCGGCCCATAAATTCACTTCATGTCTCACTTCTTCAGGGTTCTCGAAACTAACATGTCTTATAGCCGCCTTATAAACAGTGTCCACAACCTCTTTGAAAGAAGGTTTGATGGGGAGATAATCCTTAACCCAAAGGCTATTGGCAAAGCATAGGCGGGGTCCGCCTCTATTGGATCCGTCTGCAAAGATTAGAGGGACAAGATGGGAGGCGAGAGAGTGGAGTTGCTCGGTGGAGTCAGACTTGAGGAAAGAAAGCAACTGGTCCTGTGTGGGACCTTTTGAACCGGCCGTTAACAGCCACAGTACGACCTGGATGGATAGCGGCGAGTACACGATGTTCTTCTCTTTTCCTTCAGTCATAAGAAGATGACTAGTGATTTTGAGTGCGACGTCGGTGAGGTTGCTGGCTTCTTTGGGATCCATGGTGAAACTGTCAATGTTTGTGAAACTATCTAGGTTTTGATCAGAAGTAATGTGTGATATCTTCGGTTTTTTCCTCGATTGATCGCTATCGGACAAGGGAAACGAGTCGTTTGCCTCGGCTACGGCAGGAGCAGCCGCACCAGTGGAAGCAACTGCCGGAGCACCGCCATCCAATTGTACGGAGGAGGTCAACGTGCCTTCAGACGCAAGGGAGGGAGCCGTTGGGTTTTGTTTGGGATCCATTCTTTGAGAGTATAACGTTGTTAATGTGAAAAGAGGGATATGAAACTGTTGGATCGGTCGGTATGTGGAAGGAGGAATTCCGGTAAATATTCAAACCCTAGAACACTGACGGCTGTGTTGTAAAGTAACCCTAAATTAGGCTTCTTATATAGGCACAAAACCAGGGACCTTGGGATGTGGAAGCCCATCTCTTACTTGCCGCACAAGAATATTTGCTGTAAATTTCCTTAAACGATTACTTTTATTTGTCATCGCCTCCTGAAAATTTTCCATGTGTTTACCAACAATGGTTAACAATTTTTCATTTTGCATTAGAATCTGATGGTATTTATTTTTATTTATAAGTAAGAAAGTTTAAATTTGATCTACATGAGTAACTTATTTTGCTATAATATACCATATGATATTAAGAAAAATCATGATTTAACCAATCACAATCAGATGCTCTTTTGACTAACAGAAAATACTTTTAATCATTTCATAACACCTCATTTACCGACATTTAAAATGATATGCATCGCATTAAAAAATCATTTTTTTTAGTGTAGTGGTCGATTACCGTCAGAATATGTACACTACTATACTTCTCTTTAATATCCAATAAGGAATTCCATTTGCTAGAGAGTAGGATAAGTCCCTGCTTATCGAAGGGTGACATGCTTGATGGTACTAAGTTCTTTGTTATCATGGCCGAGTAAAGGGGCGTGTAAATTTTTTTTTTTTTTTATAAGAATCGATCTTAAAAATTTTTGATTAAAAATTTAAAAAAATATTATTAAACTATTATACTATGTGACGACTAAAATTTAAGGGATGTGCTATCCACACACCCCATTTTACTTCTTACACAACTCTTGATAATTTCTATTCGTTGATCTTCTTCAATTCATCCGATCTGACAGCCAAAAATTAAAAAGGTGTGTAAGAAGTAAAATAGGGTGTGTGGATATCACACCCCAAATTTAATTGCAAGAGAATGTCCCATCACCCCTGTCTGGGGCACAGACAAGGATTGTCTGCCCTCCACTTCGGGTCCCCTTTCCGTGCCTTTCTGTTTGTGTGATCACGGTTAAGCCACGTTAACATTTTATATTATTATTTATTTTTATCTTATTATATCTATAAAAAAATAATATAAAATATTGACATGGCTTAACCGTGACCACACAAAACAAAAGGGCACGAAGAGGACACCGGAAGTGGAGGCAGACAATCCTCGTCCCTGGGGCACTAGCCGAACGAATTTCATTCGTAATCTTTTGCCATAAAGCAAACGACATGTCAATTCCTTTTTAAGATTAAAAATAAAAAATAAAAATGTGCACACGACGGGATGTTTGTTATTGTGATCAAACGGACGCCAAAGTCTTTCCGTACATCTCAAGAACTCCGCTGTCGTTTTTACTATTTTCGTCTTCTCTTCTTCGTTGATCGCGAAACCCTAAAATATTAAATCCCCAATCGAAGCAGCTTTCTTTCTCAGTTTTGTTCAATTAACCGCTCGAATTGATCATCAGGTACGACTACTGTCGGTTTATCTGTTTTTTTTCTTTTTCTAATTAATTTAATTCAATTCAATTACCCTAGAACAAACCAGAAGCAAAATTCCCAATTCCCGAATTCGAATTCGTGTTATTTTTGCAGAAAAAGGATAATTAATTTACGATTTTTATTTATTTTTCAGCTGCATATTTGTTTCGTGTTCGTTTCCCTTAATTAATTCCGAATTTTTACCTTGCTTTGCTTGCTGTAGACTTCAAAGTTTATTCTTTTTCTGGGATTTATTTGTCTGATTTTTGTGACATATTCTGGTTTCGATTCGAACCGAAAGCTTGAAACTTGTGCAGGGACTTGAGGAATTGTATGGAGATATTTGAGGGGACAGTTCCTCGTTCGTCCCTTCCGAAGATAGACAAACACCAACCCCAATTCCGTTATGATGACGAGTATGATGGGTCTGATTGGCCGGAGCCAGAACACTGCGGGAAAGTTAGTTACCCGGCAGTAGCATCCAAGCCCGAGATGCATGACTATTCGTACCAGTTTCCCCTGGAATCCAAAGATTTTGTTGATGGCAGTGGGTATGATTCGAGCGAAGAGCCTTGTGATTTACCTCAGAATAATATGCAACCTGAGGTTAATTTGAAGAATGTGCTGACTGGGGTATTTTCCATTCTGACTGGCCGGAACAAAGCGCCTGGTCTTCCATCAGACAAGCAGCTACCCAATTCGAATGTTTCGTTTTTGGGCTCAGAAAAGAATGGTGATACCTACGTGCACTCGTCGGTTTACATACCCAGTGCCCCACCCCTTCTTGAGCCAACAGCCTTTAATTACAATGCGTACAAAGATGTTTTGGAAGCTGAGCCCCCTGAGTGGCTTCCTGATAGTTCGACTACAGTTTGCATGCAGTGCACTTTGACTTTCACTGCACTTGCTCGTGGGAGGCATCATTGTCGGTTCTGTGGAGGCATTTTCTGCAGAACATGTAGTAAAGGAAGGTGCTTGTTGCCTGTCAAGTTTAGGGAGAGGAATCCTCAGAGGGTCTGTGATGCCTGCTATGATAGGCTAGATCCTTTACAGAGTGTTCTAATTAACAGCATTAGCAATGCTGCGCAAGCGGCAAAGCACGATGTCATGGATTGGACTTGTACAAGAGGATGGTTAAATCTTCCAGTTGGGTTTTCCATGGAACAAGAGATATACAAAGCATCCAACACATTGAGAAGTTATTCCCAGGTGCAATTCTAAACTTTAGCTATGTTTCGTTAAGTTAGTTTTTCCTATGCTTCTGGATTTTTAGTTTCCTGCAAACTCGTTTTTCATTTCATCTGCATGGAAACTAGCATAGAATGGCTTCTAAAGAGTTCTCATTTTCCAAACTAAGTTGATTTCTGACATATTATCTTATATTTGACAGGTTGCTAGGTTGAATCCTGAGAGGTCCATACCTGCAGCAGTTCTCGGAGGAGCCAAAGGTCTGGCAATCTTAACGGTTGCAAAAGCTGGTGCGCTTCTCTCATACAAACTCGGTACTGGTTTGGTAATTGCTCGAAGGTCAGATGGATCATGGTCTGCTCCATCATCCATATTTTCTGTTGGCTTAGGATGGGGTGCACAGGTAAATTTGCAAAATCTTCATTGCTTAAGTTTGAAGAAAGGCATTATTGAGGAGTAAGAACTCATATCCATCATTTACCACATATATTCATATGCATTTGTCTACAGCACTTTGAAATTGATTTTGGTCTCTTCCGCTTCAGTAAGTTGAGAAATTCTAAATGTTGGCAGAATTTTCTACTTAGTTCTATCTCAGGCGGTAATCTTTGCATTCCCACTGTTTCTTTTTCCAGATTGGGGGTGAGCTCATGGACTTCATAATCGTGCTTCATGATTTAAAAGCTGTGAAAACATTTTGTAGTCGCATGCATTTTTCTCTTGGTGCTGGGTGTAGTGCTGCAGCAGGACCTATTGGTAGAGTGCTGGAAGCAGACATGCGTGCTGGAGACAGAGGTTCTGGAGTGTGCTATACATACAGTTGTAGCAAAGGTATGATAACATGTTTGGATTCGTAAATATTTCTAGTTAATAACTAGGATCATCCGCTTTATATCATGGCACGCGAGTCTTTTCATTGGTACGAGTAGAAAAGCTTAGTATTGGTTTGTCCTTTTATTTTCAAACTCTTAATACGTAGCAGCCATTGTTTATTTAACACATTGAGGGTTCCATTAATTGGGGTAGTATGGAAGCTTGGGAAAAATCCGACTCCTGATGGTGTGCCGTTGCAATGTTATGACAGGTGCATTTGTTGGAGTATCATTGGAAGGGAACATTGTGGCCACTAGGATGGATACCAATCTACAGTTTTATGGTGACCCTTACTTGACGACTTCTGATATACTACTCGGACCTGTGGACAGACCAAAAGCGGCTGAGCCCCTGTATACGGCCCTGAAAAACCTGTACTCCTGTCTACAGTGCTAGTTCCGGCTGCATCTCCGAAGTCTACGTGTTTAAGCTTTCTGTGCAGAACGCGATCGATGGGGTTCGTGATTCTTTTCTTAATATTTCACCTTTGGTATGAAACTGTACATTAAAGTTAATAGAATGAAGATTCATGCCCGACAGTTATTATTATTATTTTTTTTACCCCAATTGTGAAATCACTTGGAACTCCTCTTGTATATAAGCAACCCATATATGTATACATATCAAATTATTTGACAATGCAGCGCTGCACCGTATTACTCGCTGCCTTTGTGCCAGCGTTGGCATCGGTAAGTCTGTAGAGAGTAAAAGTGAAAATGTCTTGAAAAAAAGCTGTGCGTTTGGGGAAGAACCAAAGCTTATTACTTACCAGGCTTCGTTTCTTTAACCGTGAATGAAGATGCTTTATACTTTGCTGTCTCTAAAAGATGAGAACTAAAATTCCCAAGTAGTTGGGGGCTGCTTGAGTTTGCTTTTGAAAGGGTTAAAAACGTTTTCTTTGACAATCAAATGCGCCTATAGCTGTAGTTGGTTTAAAAACTTGAAAGATATAACGATTCATAGAAATCAGAGGCGCTTTTTGAAGGACTTGACAAATGCTATTTTTCTTTTTCTTTTTTCCAAAAATTCCAACGTATTTAAAATAAAAACAGGTCGACCGAAGCAATTCTCTATTTTTATGTTAATTTATTCTCATTGATTTTCTTCAATTCATTCGATTTTATGACAAAAAATTAAGAGGGATCTGTGAGAATTAAAAATGGGTCGATGGCACTACTCTAGACGAAAATGTTGCCAGTGCACTGGTGGAGTTGCTTTCAAAGCACATCATCCAACGGGACATAAAAAGTGCAAACATTTTGATTGATTTGGATATCAATCAAAGAGCGGATGGAACACCTGTTGTGAAGGTCTCTGATTTTGATAGAGCGGTCCTCCTTCCAGCTTACTTGCACACATGCTGCATCGCCCCCATAGGAATACCTCCTGCTCATGTTTCCGTTAGGACACCTCGCGGGATTGCCCCTGAGGTTTTGCGAGCAGTGCAAGAACACAATATGTATGGATGGGAAGTTGATCAACTTCTGACGAGGGGAAAACGACCATATATAGTTAACAGATGACTTTGAGGTGGTTCGGTCGTTGAATGAGCCAGTAAAGACTCAAGCTGGTGTGGCGATTGAGGGAACAGAGGCTGACTTTAGACACAATGAGATTTCTTGTTGACTTGTTCTACCAATGTACTGAGGTGAATCTGCAGAATCGTCCTACGGCTGACATGACAACCTCTATGAAGTCAGAACTGATATTGGAGCACAGCAAAAATCTTTTGACATCCGGAACTTAGAAATCCTAGGTTAAAAATTAGGTAATAAATTCTTATTTGTTTTGAGCCTTAATTGTGCAATATCAATTGGGATCAATATTAGTCGATCTACTCCAATTGTGATTTTAAAAGAGGCTAAAAAATTGAAGTATATAATTAGGATTCTCAATCCAATGAATAAACTCAAGATTCAATAGGATAAAACTTAACATTAACTGTGATTAAATCCTTAAATGACGTGACTAGGGATGGCAATTTAATCCATCAAACCCGATACCCGCAGGTAACCAGTCTGAACAATTCGGTTTCGGGGATTAAATTTCGGGTTTTTTACAATTATGGGTAACCGTTGGGTAAATTATTCGGTTTCAGGTTCGTTTATGGTTATAGGGGTATCCGTTCCAAACCCGTACCCGAAGCCGCCCCGTTTTCATTATTTAATAAAAAAAAATATATATATATTTTTTTTATTGGCTTAAATGTTAATCCTTGTGTTTTAGTCATTGAGTCAATTTAGTCCCTGTGTTTTCAATTTGGCCAATTTGGTCCATGTGTTTTAGTCATTGAGTCAATTTAGTCCATGTGTTTTCAATTTGGCCAATTTGGTCCTTGTGTTTATCTCCGTTAGCCAATTAAGGACATTTTATCCAATTTTTGAAAAAAAAATTATAAATTATTATAAACTTATTTATAAAATTATTTATTTGATTCTAAAATATTTAAAAATGAAATAAAATTTAAAATTTAAAAAAAAAAATTCTCCTCCCAACTCTCCGACCTCCTCCCTAACATTAAAATAAATGGGCCTGATTTAATAATCCGGTACTTATTTAATACAAGGCTTAAATGTCAAAATAGTATCTGTGTTATAGCCATATAGCCAATTTAGTCTCCGTGTTTTTTATTTGGCTAATTTAGTCATCATGTTTGTCTATGTTAGCCAATTAAGGACATTTCATTCAATCTCTTTTAAAAAATTCATAAGAAAAATTTTATGAGATATAATTACCCTTTCTCTTTACAGAAAAATGAAAGTCAATGAGAAATAACACATATAAGAGATAAAACTTTCAATCTGAAAAATGATTAAGGTTGTGACATAGAAAAGAGAGGGGGTAAGGTTAGGGAGGAGGTTGGAAAGCTGGGAGGAGAATATATATTTTTTAATTTTTAAATATTTTAAATCAAATAAATAATTTTATAAATACGTTTATAATAATTTATAATTTTTTTTTTCAAAAATTGGATAAAATGTCCGTAATTGGCTAACGGAGATAAACACAAGGACCAAATTGGCCAAATTGAAAACACATGGACTAAATTGACTCAATGACTAAAACACAAGGACAATTTTAACATTTAAACCTTTATTATTTATTTTTTTTATAGAAGAATGAAAGATCAGGAGTTCACAAAACCATATACTCATCGACAAGGGAAGCTAAACAAATGAGATCAAAGTCTACATGAAGAGCCGCCCTATCTTCCCCAGAATGAACTCTCCAATGTAAAACCACCGATGCTGTCTGCCGTTGATGGTATGGAGATAAAATCTACAACTGACAAGGAGAAGCTTTCATAGTCTGTTTCTGTTTTGTAAACTTTGTAACTCCTAGTCCTAGATAAATTAGTATGATGTAGAACAGATGGCAGAGGTGACTGAAGAGCAGTTCGGAAGATGCAAAACTGGCAGCAAGACTAGCGGAGTGCAGGACTGGTGGTCGGTGTCAGAATAAGGCTTATAATACGCAAAACTGTCAGCAAGACTCACTAGGTTCTGTTGTGAAATAAGGGCAATTTTGGCCAAAACCTTCGTTTACTATCCCAAAACTGTATCTTAAGTTTTGGGGATACTTTTGGAATTTTGTTAATTATCTGTTTTCCTATTTGAACGTTAAGTCCTATTATGGTTTGGATTTGTATTTGAACTTATAAGTACACCTTCTTGGTGTTAGGGTTTTGTTATCTTATTCTTATTACCAATCAAACTTGGGTTTAATTTACCTCTCTTTCTCCCGAGAGAATTCTAGGTTTACCAGTATTTTCTAGCCAAGGAATATCCTTCTATGTTGTATCCCAATGCGTCAAGTATTATGTCTGTAATCTCTATATATATTAACGTGAAGCCTCAGCTCAAAACATAGAGTTGAGTTTACACAATTTTCAATTATACATCTTTCATCCAGTTCTCTAAATATATAGAGAGAAAAGAAGATGGGCAACAAAATATGCAACGGAAACAAAAGGGGCACCAGCAACAAATTCGGTAAGCACCTTTCCAAAGTGGTAAAAAATGTATGCGACTTCTGTCTTCAGTCAATTCATCTCGAAAACTCATTCAACATCAAAGGGTGCACTCATTCTTACTGTCAACAGTGCATTGTTAAATTCATAGTGTCCAACCTCCAATTAAATGTCACTTCCATTACCTGCCCTGTACCGGGCTGTGCCGGTGTCTTAGACCCAGAGCACTGCCGCCAAATCCTCCCATCCGACGTCTTTGTTTCATGGAGCAATGCCTTATCTGAGTCTGTACTTTCCCCTGAGAGCGATATTGACTCAACCTTCATATGTGATTTCTGTGTTGAGCCAGTTAACCTGAAAGACTCATTTAACATAAGGGGTTGCACCCATTTTTACTGTCAAGGTTGCATTGTCAAATTCATAGCTTCCAAGCGCCAAGACAATGTCACTCGCATTATGTGCCCTGTACCAGGCTGCACCGGCACGTTAGACCTAGAATACTGTCGTGCAATTCTCCCGAAAGATGTTTGTGATCGGTGGGGAAAGGCCTTATGTGAATCTGTGGTTATGGCCCTTATGGGGACTGGGAAGAAGTACTTATACTGTCCCTTCAATGCGTGCTCGGCGCTGTTGATTCATGAGGATCCGGAGGGTACCACTCAGTCTGTGTGTCCTCATTGCAAAAGAGAATTTTGCGCCAAGTGTAAGGTTCCTTGGCATACCGAATTTGATTGTGCCAATTTTCAGAAACTGGAAAAGAGGGGTGAAGACAAGATGCTGGAAGAGCTTGCCAAGAGGAAGAGGTGGAGGAGGTGTCCAAATTGCAAGTACTATGTTGAAAGAAAATCTGGGTGCAGCTACATGAAATGCAGGTCAGTTTTGTACTTCTCTGCTCTTTTTTTTTTTTTTTTTTTTTTTCAGATTGATTAATTTTCTAAGGGGCTGTTTTGATAGATAACCATTTTTTTTTTCAATTATCAAACGGCCCCGTTAGTGTAAAATGCTGTTGTATCAAAAAAAGAAAGTTTGATTGATGCAGACCTAGGTATAGCTAAGTTGCTTAGATTAATGTGTGCTTCCTCCCGTTGACTTTAATTATATAAGAGTATTGCTCGAATAAATAAAATTTAATTAGCTGATGGATTTCCAATTTGAATTACTTCTAGATTAAGATACTATATTACCCTCCTACAACTTAGATGGACTTTATATTTTGGTATAGATTTTTGTTTCATCGTCATTCATTATTTGTTTTTTCTGATGGATTTCTTGTAGGTGTCAATATATATTTTGTTACAAATGTGGAGCAAAAAGATCAGATGCTTTTCACCACTGTTCTAAAAATCCCCGCCTAGCGCCGCCTAGGCCCCCCCTTGCGCCGCCTAGGCCTCGCCTAGCACAACCTAGGCGCTAGATGACTGACAACCGTCCCGATTAATGTCTAGGCGTTTGAAATTAAGAAATGGTGCCTAGACTTGCTGAGGCACACGCCTAGACCTCCTAGGCACCCGCCAAGCCCGCCTAGACCCGCTTAGGCACCTGCCTAGGTTGCGACTCACTTATATAGTAAACAGATAACTTTCATTTTGTATTTTATTATTTTCAATAAATTGTAAGAGACTTGTTGAATACTTAAATGAACACACATTATATGCGTGTTCTCCATATTTTCATTATGTTCCAATACTTCATAATATATATGTCATTTTATTTTGTAGTTTATGATGTAATTATATATATTTTAAGTATAAACAAACACTTATTTACACGAAATATAATAGATTTACTTAAATCCGCTTAGGCCCCTCCTAGCCACCTAGACGCTAGGCCCCAACCTACCGCCCGACTAGCGTCTAACATCTTTTAGAACCTATCTTTTCACTGTCCGTAGGAATTAAATCTGCTGATGATGACTGAGCTCGAAAAATAGTGAAACGATTGATGTACGTAGTTGCTGGTCATGTTTTTTGTGATAGGTTTGGTAGCTTCTTTTTTTTTCTTTTTTAATTTTTTAATTTTTTTTTTTTGTGATTTCCTAGATTGATGAATGTAATTATTAAAAAAGCTCTCACTGCGTTTCCAATATGCAAGAATCCTAGATGTTCAGGATATCATTATTGCTTTGATTTTGTTTGGAATAGATTGAATGGCTAATGGATGTGACGGTATATTAAAATGGTTAGCACAATAACATGGAATGAAATTTTGTTGGAAGGGATTTTAATACTGAAACAAGAAAAGTTATAGGATTAAACTCAGTTTATTACCCTCAAGTTTCATGGTTTTCAACATTTAGTACATCAAGTTTTTTTCGTCCTAGAGTCATACCTAAAGTGTTAATTTTGGGACAGTCTCATACATCCGTTAGTCAATCTGTTAACTCTTCCGTTAAATGATGACGTGGCGCCCACGTGGACAATGACTGGGCGCCACGTGTCATTAAAAAAAACTATTAAAATAATTAATTAAATAAAGTAAAAAAAAAAAATCCGCAGATCCCCTTTGTCTTCCCCACCCCGACCCCCCTCCCTTCTCCCTCTGCACATCCGCACATCTGCACATCCATCCTTCCCCCTTCTCCCCAGATCCCCTGAATTCATCGGCATTTCAGCAAACAGCTGCAAACCAACACACAACACAAAGCCAAAATTAACCAAACCATCATTCAATTTTCCACGCATAAAAACAAATCTTTCCACATTTGCTACATTGTAAGCCAATAAAACACAATCGAAAAAGGCAAAAACGAACCTCTTCATCGTCGGGCTTGCAAACAGTCTTATCGATTTCCCTGGTGTTCTCAATCGTCTACGGGATCTTCTTCGTCGGCTGCTACAGAGCGCAATTAACAACACTAATTAGCTAATCAATCCTTTGTCTTCCCCACCCCGACCCCCCTCCCTTCTCCCTCTGCACTTCCACACCCCCTACCACCCTATCCTAACGCGCCGCCTCAAAGACCACAGATCTATGGAAGCAGCTTCTTCCACTCCTTCCCTGTCCTCCCATTTACACCTGCTCCAATTTCCCATTTCAATAACCCACAAAAATCATAAAAACACACCCACAAAACTTATAAAAACAGAGAAACAGAGAGATAGAGAAAGAGAGAGACCGCTGGGATTGACGACGAAAACGAGGTCGCGGTGGCGAGCGGAGGAAGACCCATTTTGCAGAATGGAGCGGTCAGCGCACAGATCAGGACCTTTGGGGAGCTCGGCTCTCACAGCCCATGGTGTCGCCATTGAAACTCTCGCTCTTCTCACAGCCCATGGTTTCGGTTTTGGTTCTGTCTGTGGAGGGGATGGAGAAGACGAAGGGGGTGGAGGGGTGGAGAGGTGGAACCGTGGAGGGTCTTCCAGAAGGAAAAAAGGGGCTCCAGTGGGGAAGACGAAAGGGGAAGGAAAAAAGGGGGGTTTTGGTTTTTTTATGTTTTTTTTTAAGTACTTTATTTAATTAAAATTTTAATTATTTTAATTTTTAATTTTTTTTAATGACACGTGGCGTCCAGTCATTGTCCACATAGGCGCCACGTCATCATTTAACGGCAGAGTTAACAGTTTGACTAACAGATGTATGAGACTGTCCCAAAATTAACACTTTAGTATGACTCTGGGACGAAAAAAACTTGATGTACTAAATGTTGAAAACCACGAAACTTGAGGGTAGTAAACTGAGTTTAACCCAAAGTTATATTAACTTTACTCCTCCCAAAAACAATTAACTTCTTATTTCCTTGGACATCCATTATTATGAATTTATGTGCCCTGAACAAGGCTGCACCGGCGTGCTAAACCCCGACTAATGTCATCCAATCCTCACAGACGACGTCTGATGGGTTAGGCAATGCCTTGTGTGAATCTGCACTCACGGTTGCAAGTGATACCAGTTGAACTTTCGTACGTGACTTCTGTGTCGAGCCAATTGATTTAAAAGACTCGTTTATCATGAGGCCTTTTTTTATTAGCATCTCATATAAGATTGAATACACCCCACATTAAATTTAATATTAGATAACTTATTTAACCTATTACGTAATGACAATTTCAACCTTAAAAAAAAAATTAAAAACACCCCAAATCATTTAACTTATATATCCGAAGATTATATATCTTCTTCAACTCTCAGACAAAAATGAATGTTCTTGATGACCCTTAGATGAAGACACTGGTTCTTGTTCTTTCTCTTTCTTATCAAGCAAAGAAAATTGTCATGAAGTGGTGATATCAATGCACCTCCAGGAACAGGGAAGGAAGTCATAACTTGTTACAAAACATAAACAACACCCATCAATGCAACATATCATTTTAGGTTCATCTATAGAAATAGAAACTGCACTAAAGTGTCTTAGCGTACCTGAATATGTTAAGTGGGAGAGTCATCCACAATCACTTAAGATGGAGGTATCATCTCCTTACTTTCCTCAGGGCTGTTCTCCAAAGATGAAGATGGAGAGCCAAGTCCAAGACCACTATATATTGCTACATTCTTCCGAGCTGTGTTATCACGATTCATTTTGATTTGAACCTTCAATGTCCTTTGATCAGTTGGATTGCCTTGTCTGTTTGAAGTTTCATCTTTTAAGGAACACCTTGTTGGCGCGAGCCTATTAGATTAGGAATATAATAATATTTTCTAGTTTGGTTAGAACTCCTTTGATATTACTTTTGTCACAAGTTGTATCTTATATATATTGCTTCCTAGAAGGAGAAGAATAATTCCAGTTTTAAACCCTAAAAATGATAGTTTTAACTTCTCAACTACTTGAGTAGAAGGCAAACATGACTTCCGTTTAACTGAAATGTTTCGAGGGATTACCCTTGAATTATGTGACAAATGAGCATTGTTAGCAACTAAGCCACCTTGTACACTACCAAATAAGTTCTGCTCAGTTGGTCTCTTGTGAGCTGTTTATTAAAGCAATGCAAATATAAGAACATGCTGAAAGTTTTATACTTTTTTAGTTTTCTATTCCTGAGTTTTTTGTTTTTGTGGCTGAATGTAAATGCATAAACAAAAAAACTGCAGTGATTGTTTGGCACCCAAGAGCTAGACATTCCTTATGGCTCTCTCCATATGTCTCTCTGCACACACATCATGATCTTAAAACAAGAAGGATACTTCCTTGATCATTTTTCAATTCCATGTTCTTAATTTCTTTACTTAAAATAAACAGAAGAAGGATTCTTCCATGATCTTTCACTTGCACCTAAGATGTGAAGAGTATGAAGTGTATGTAGAAAATGTGGGGTGAAAAAAATGACGTTTTATGGGGAAATATGTGGAGTGTATTAAGATAAATTTTAATTGAAAATCAAATGTGGGGGATATTAAGTATGTGAAATGTATTCAATAATATGTGGAGTGTATTCAACAATATGTGGGGTTTTAATATAACAAGCCTTTATGAAGGGTTGCTATCATTTTACTGTCAAGACTGCATTGTTAAATTCGTAGCGTTCAAGCTCCAAGACAACGCACTTGCATTACGTGCCCGCTACGAGCTAGGCTGCACCGGCGTGTTAAACCGTGATCACTACTGTCGTCGACGTCCTATCCTCCCGACTGAAGCCTTTGGTAGGTGGGGCAAGGCCTTATTGAATCTGGGGTAATAGGGCCTGATCAGAAGAAGTACTTGTACTAGAGGAGGTTCCATGGGGTAATAGGGCCTGAATCTAGGGTAAGGTTCCTTGGCATACCGGGAAGAGAGATAAAACTCAAAATGGCCATTTGGGGCTAGAATTCAGTCTTGCCTAGGCTAGAATGCCTCCATTAAATCTGCAGAATCGTCCTACGGCTGACAACCTCTATGAAGTATGAACTGATACTGGAGCACAGCAAAAATCCTACGACATCCGGCACTTAGAAATCCTAGGTTAAAAATTAGGTAATAAAATTCTTATTTGTTTTGAGCCTTAATTGTGCAATATCAATGGGGATCAATATTAGTCGATTTCAAATCTTCCTCTATGTGGTTTAGATGTATAGGACCCTAAACCTCAAAAACTTGGAAAATTTGGAAAAATAGCCAAATTTTGGACCATGAATTGAATTTTAGCCAGCCATTATACATTTTTATAATTTTAACCAAAACTTAACATGAAAATACTACAATACCCTTGTTAACTAAAATAATTACAAAAATATATCTTCTCCATCCATTCATTTTGCAGTTCTTTCGACTCTATCCTGCAAAACAGTCAGTACTGCTCCCGCGCATCGATTTTGTTTGTTTTTTCAAAATAACTACACAAAACCCTAAAACACCCTAACCAATTTCCCGCTATTTCGATGAGATCTGCTACACATTTTGCATATTTTATCGAGAAAAGTTATACACTTTATGTTTGGTGGATGACTATTGAAAGTTTAATTCTAGAGCTTTATGAAATTTTGTTAAATATATTGTTCTTCCTTCAATTTTAGCTTCATATATATGTTTTATTTTTTATAATGATATTGATTCAAATTGTGAATATTTTTTAGATTTGGGGTCAAGCAATGGGCGATCCCGATTGCCCGGCGGAGAAGGCAATGGTTCCCAGAAATAAACACATCGTGCCCGAGGGTTATTGAATAACCCCGGATGACGCAAACGTGACTCCGTTGGAACAGACAATTGATGAAGATGAGGAAGTTGCTAGTTCTGTAAACTTGACAAACATGAATATAGTTATGCAATTATTTTGGTTAAAATGGGTATTGAAGTATTTTCAGGTTAAATTTTGGTTAGAATTATGAAATGTTATAATAGTCGGTTAAATTCTATTCATGATCCAAGTATTGGTTGTTTTTCCAAATTCCCCTGAAAAGGTCTACCCCAATCTACAGTGCTAGTTCTGGAGTGTATTGTTTAAGCTTTCTATTCAAAACTATCGATGCGGTTCGTCTATGAAAGAACCGAAATCTGCTAAGATTTGGGACAGGGTTGGGTTTGCTTCTGAAATAGATAAAGGCGTTTAATAACTACCAAAATCTCTTATGACTACCGTGTGTAAAAAAACCTTGGTTCTTAAAGAAGCACTTGAATTTCTAATAATTTTTGAACTTATTTATAATAAAAAGAACTTCTAGCACAAACCCTTATGAGCAAAAGTGCTTTCCAAATAAGCAATCTCAAATATACTCTTAGTGAAATAGGATTGTATTATTTG